TGTAAGATAGCATTATGCTAAACGCGATGATTAAAAATCATTTCTGGATTCACGAGAATTTGATAAAATTGAAAATTTATAAGACCATCATCGATAAACGATAAAGGTTCACAGGACCTCCAAAAAATCCATTGGAACCTCCTAACTCCTCTCAAGAATCTAACAAAAATCTATACAACCATCAATAATTAATCCTAACAAATTTTAAAAGCCCCAGCTTCCAAAGACCATAGGACCTCCCAATAATTCTCACCTAATTGACCAAAGCCAAGAGACGCCAAAATGACCAACATCCTTCCAACGTCCACTAAAAGAACTGTTCGATGATTCTATCTGGTCGGTGTGCTAGAAAAGGAAGAGCCAAGAGCATCGGTTTTTCAACTTTCATGGTAGATACATCTATGGCTTGATCTCGAGGCAATCGCAGGTGCATGCTGCACCGAGACAGAGAAAAGGGACACGTGCATTTTCCGAATGTCTCCGGCGTGCTACACGTATGGCCAACGTGAGCCGCATGATACGTGTATACGAGGTTCGCGAAAAAGCAGAAGGACGAAGATGTAGCGGGCTAGGAGGTGATCGAGGGGAGAAGAAAATAGAGGGAAAATGGCTGACCGGCTGGCTAGTTGCCTGCTCGCCTCGAGCCTGACACCCTTTAACCGAGTTTAGGCCGACGGCGTGTATTATTAGACAGCATATCGCGTGCTTCCGTGTCCTTACCTCGTGGAACAATGAGATCGTCCACGAATGATACAAGGTACAAACAGTATCTGGTTCACGCGACCACCTTGGAAATCCAATCATCCTCGTGGCAATTCTTTTCCACGGTGAACTGCCACTGGACCCGTTACGGCTCTCCTTGAACTTGCTGGACGATCTGTTATCTTTCCTCTACTTTAACATTCCTAACTCTTTCGTCGCGGACCGAAGAGCATGGACGAAATTCACTGGTTGAATGTATAAATAAAAAATGATGAGGAAAATATCTGAAGAAATGTAAGTCTTTATGATACGTAGGGGAAGAAGGAAATTTCGCAAGAAACGAGCCGTGGACATCGTACGACCTTGACACCTTGCAGACATCGAGTACCGTTGTCTGTCTAGGGAATTTTTTCCCGGTGACACGGTAGGTCGCGAAAGGCACGTGAACGTAGACAACAACAAAGATTGTTACACCGTTCGCGTGGGTGTATCATCCGTTCGAGGAGGTCACTTTTGTCTAACGGTCTGCGCACACGGCAAATATGTGTGGAATGTCAACAAACGAACTTTTACCTACCGTCTGAGCCGATTCTTATCTCGGTGAATCATTCGTTTGATAGTTAAACTCGTGTTACCAACTTTCCCTTTCGCCCTTATCCATGGGCATCCGCGGGAAGAATGACGAGGCGGGGAAAGGGGCCCTTTATATATACAGGAGTCCCGCCCAATCACATGCGCGTAAACGTCTTCGCGCGAAAATTTGAATTGATATTCATAATATACACTAGTGGAATTAATTCTGGACACTTTATTAACACTTTACTCTAATTTTTACTTAAATTTCTCATTTATTGGCTATATATATTATTGGCTGTGATTGGCTATTTCACATCATGTGACGTTTCGTGCTGTCAGGCGCAAAAACAAAAATAACATCACAGTTTAGATTTTTTTTAATTAAAATTTTAAAACATTTACAAAATAAATCATGTGAAAATATGAAGTATAAACATTATAGATTACAACAAAAATATTACGGTATCAATTTAGCATAGCAGAATATACCATTTCTGCAGAAATATGAAATAAAGAATATTTTTATTCAAAGTGTCCAGAATTAATTCCACCAGTGTACATCGAAGTTCGTGATTTATCGACAGATAAGAAACGTTCTTTTTCCATGAAATCAAAGAAACATCTCGCAATTCGCTTCGACGAGATTATATCTCCTCTGATGCTCGAGGCGGATTCACCAGTCGGGAAACCCGTCGCGTTGTTTCTACGTTAAATAATTTGATTGGCTTTTATTGCACGCGCCGTTTTAATGCCTACGTCTGACATTTTCTTCTGAATACGCTTGCTTGGAATATTCTTCTATTTTTTCATGAAATATCAACTCGCTATAGCCTGGCTCTCTCCCTGGATTCTCCAGAAATTCAAGGCAAATCAATAAGTCTAGATTGCAGCAAAATACGTCAGACAACTGATAATCAATAAATCAGTATAACAAAAAGGGACTTTGATCGAGATACTCACAGAAAGGGGAAGAAAGTTAGAAGATAGAGAAATTTATCATCCTCGGTGACTATCTACTGTGAGAAACGAGTCATTTTTAACCCATTTGCTACCACGATCCCCAAATGAGGATTTGAATATATATATATATATTTTTTTTTATCACTTGCAATAGGATTATATTAAATAAAATGTTAAATAAAAATATGAAAAATAAAAGTTTGGCAGTTAATGGGTTAAGATTAATACCACCGTTTGTACTAATAATGTATCTAATTCTAATATATATTTCCTGTAAGGTCTGTTAAAATAAAAAATATTATTTTCAGAATTGTGAAGTAAAATTATTACCACTTGATATTTTACCTAACTTATGGTTCTATTCGCTGCTAGATCGAGCTGTTACGAAACCGTCTGGCGTAAAAGATTGCCAATGATTCAACATTTTTCTACTTTGTTCAATACCGAACAATGCCGAGGACGAAGTTGGAAATGCTAGAAACTAATTTTCGTACGTTTCCTTTAAAAAACAAAGGATTTTCAATCGATCAACTGTATCCGATATTTTTATCCGGCTTCTTTTCCCCTTCATCAAACGAGACACTCGTCTCATTCACGTAACTCGATTGAGAAGTATTTCAAAACCGGAAGGGAAAAATGAGATTAATCTCGGTTCGGTGTATCATCGAGATTTCCGGGTGTTCGTCCTCGGCTTTACGAAGGGAGAAGAGAGCCTTGCAGTTACTGCAACCGCAAATAATCGATATCCTTGCTGCGTCTATACTCTTCACCCTACCTGGCCCTTCTCCCTTCGCCTTTTCAATTCTACCTTTAATTTCCCCCTCGGTAAGACATTGATTAGAAGAACAATTATATTTGCAAACCAATAAAAGAAAAAAAATTGAAGGTACAGTTTGAAGATTAACAGTGTCTAACGGAATCGATGTAAACAATCTATCTTAGCGATCGTCTGAAGTGGCCGCGATTTACAAGCGGATCGACTCGCATATCTAATCGCGATTGAGACAAATCGGTTCAATTATCGTTATGAATTCTCAGCATCAATCGACGTTCACTGACCAACTGGTGAATAAAGCTTGATTCATACTACCGCTCGCAATGCCTTCGTTTTCTCAAAGGTACACTATTCTAGCTTCCAATTGCAGAAAATTTTAATATTAAGACTACGGTACGCGACCCACTCGGCATTAGACGCGTTGACGACAAAATGGATCCTGAAACATGGATCCCTGGAATTGGCCATCTATTATTAGTATTTTACGATCGACAGCAGGAAGAAGAAAAGTCGTTAAGGTCGCGTGCCCTATTTCAGTAGAGTAAATCAAATATGAAATATCCTTTTATCTGAATGCACGCCAATCGAACGCGTGCCTCGATATTGCAAAACAATATCGTTCTGTTTCGACGACGGTTATCTCCGGAGGGAGCCTAATCAGAAGTCGTGGATCGTTGATTCAACGCGCGCGAACCAGCGATTTGTTAACACGTTTGCAACCGTTGACGTAGTACAACGGTATTTTAATACGTTCTATGATCTTAGGTTAGAAATTCCTTGCCATCTACGTTTGTAGGTGCATCGATTATTTTTCGAAATTAAAAGGTTTATGTAACCTACTACGTTAACGTTTTCGGTCGGTAATACCATGGCGCTACCGTTACCGTAAAAATTTTAAGGTTAGGAATTTACATAACTTAAGAAATTTGAGGTTAGAACCATGCAACTTTCTATATTTATGTTTTCAATTGCCGGTATCCGATGCGATTGCTGGCAGTAAGTGATTCGAAGCGTGATATTAGAAAATCAATTCTTTTTTTTTCTTGCTTTAATCGCGAGGAATTACCAGTCACGAAAGTGTTAATTATCGAGTTTCGTAAGACTTCTATATAGCTTCGAGTACGATCGATTTCGGAGCGCACAATCGATTACCTCGCAGGAAAATTGTTCTGCGCGCAAAACATTTGGGAACATTTTTCCGTCTGTTAATGCCAAGGAGATAAGGCACGCAAACAATTTAAAATCATGTAAAATAAAAAAAAAAAAAAGGAATGCACTAAATGATGCACGGATCGCTAAGCATAAATGTGTTATGAATAAGTTTTCATTATCTTGATCAAATGTTTGATTTGTTAATTAAACACTTGAGATTATGGAGTTCAAAGTACGCAAATAATAAAAAGAAAATTGTTAATTTTAACTACAATGATTTCAAAAGTTCTGACAATATGTTTTCAATATTTCCTAATAATTTATCTTTTTCATTGATTTCTATATTCTCAATTAAAAATTTTACGAAATCCTGATCATTTAAAAATATGTTATATATCAACACTTCGTTTTCTCGATTTACATTACTGCGATATTCAAGCATCAAGTTGACGTTGGCAACACTGAAAAGAACAGCTGTTTGCACGTCAATCCGTTTGAACGCATTTACCGTGCGATAACCTTTCTAATGACTGAACTAACAATAAATAGACTTTAGAAGAGCTTAAAAGACTGAATTATTTATAGAACTGATAAGACAATGTTCTATCTCTGCAATCGACATATACTGCTACCTTTACATCAGAAAAATTCATAAGTTTCAGTAAGGTTCATTGTACTGTTCTTCTAACATATTTTATAACGTTTCATATAATAATACGAAATTAGATTCAAAGATATTTATGTATGAAGACGAACGAACGTAACTGTCATTGCATTGTCACTAAAAGGCATACGATAAAGTTGGCTACACTGGCGAGCGTTAGGTCGAATTTCAATGTGCAGATTAAGAATGCTTCCGGATAGTGGCTCCACGTCGCTTTCACAAGCAACTAAATATTGCATTAATAAACCACAGAACTCCGATATAATATCAGAGAACACGTTTCAAAAATAACAGATTAAATAAATACCACACGAAACATTTCATATCTCACGCGAATTTATAATAGAAAAATAATGAGAATTTTACTTGCGTCAATAGGAAAAAATGCTAGAAAAGGAACACCACGGTAATTTATGCTATTTTACATAAATATCTTATTCATAGTTACACGCAACACGTTTCTAAATTGAGTAATCGATCGAGAACTGAAGAATAGCATTCGTGCACGTAATGTAAAATATAATAAAAGTATAAAATACGATACGAATCGGATATAATATAGAATTATTTCACGAAAAACCTAGCAATTGAAAGTAGACAGAGAACAGGAAGAGACGGCAAGAGCCTGCGCAGAAATGTCAGGACCGTATGCATGAGAATGAGAACCTGTTTTCACGAATATTTGATAACAAATATTTAAGAACAATAAAAACATTGTTTCTTTTGTCGTTTTTAAATAACTTGACTTGTATATCTAATTAAAATCAGTGATTAATAAGATTTAAATTATTTCTCAGATATACATCGAATTTCATAAAAATTCAACAACATTTACAATGCAATAAACGCAAAGGAAGATACTGACCACGCGGACTTATACCCGTGCCTTCTACTTCGCATTATTAATCAAACTAAAACGTGAATTATCAAAACTTCGAAAATGATACACTATATTAAATGAAAATAACAAAATGTCATTAAAATGCTAGGTTATATCAGTAAATACCTTTAACGTGTTACCGGCAACTAGTGGTCCATTATACACTTTCATCCTTCAAGTTCATCATTCACGATTCATTGAAACGTGTAAACCTTCCGATGAGATCACGATTTTACATCAAGACACGATGAAAATAATCAAGAACACACATATTCGAGACCGTTTAATATGAATCTCTTCGAGCACAATACGATAGAAGAAAGGAAGAAAGGAAAAAAAACGGAAAGAAAGAAAGAATACGTGAAGACGTCCGAGAGAGGTTAAAGTGGGGGAGAGAAAGAGGAGACTGGGTGGGGCAGCAGACGCCCCGCGGCAAACTGTCAAACTACGCCGGTTCCGCAAGGTTCGTGGCCATCGGCCGTCCCCATGGTAATGCTACGTTTTCCAAGAGCGTGTATACACAAGAGTAGGTATGCACGCACACTTTAAACGACGCTGAACATATACGATGGGTGAAATAACCGGCGGGATTCTATCGCCAATAAATAAGAATACAAATAACATAGAACGATTAAGAGAATTCTGACTTACCATCATTTTATAGTTCATTTTCCTTGGCGCGGCTACGTTTTCCATTCTCACGGACATGTTAGCGGTGTTATCGCTCGTGGCGCTTGCTCGAAACGATACCGTGCCGTCGTCGGTTCTATTGCTACGGTTAAAGTATGTCCCTCTTCTCTGTTCGTGGTTGTACGTCGTTGATGGTTTTTGGTCTGGCGTTGCCAAGAGAGCGGCGTCACCCGCGTTTTCGGATCTCCCGACACTGGTTAGATGCAAAACTCGCACAGCACGGTCACGAACGAATTTGCACTCCGATCGGCCGATAAACCGGGGTGGAGCGGAGGCAGAAAAAGAGTGAGGAAGAAAGAGAGAGACGGATTGAATAGGTGTGGGTGAGACGCTTGGTAAAATGAGGGGGGTTGCCGGGAGAGGGTAGAGCTAGGACGAAGTACGGTATGTATGGTTATGGACGCGAAGGGACACGATAGCCGGGGTCGGTATGGTTTTAACACCGACGAAATCCGATGCGACAAGCGTAACGATAAATCACTTTGTACGGAAAGAAAGAGAAGACGATTGGACAATCTAGAAGAAGAGAAAGAGAGAGAGAGAGAGACAGGAGACAGAGTAAGAGACAACGAGACGAGGGGTTGAGACGGGAGGAAGAGCAAAGAAGAAAAAGAGAGAGAAAGAGGAACGTGGTGTGCGGCTTTCTGTTGCAGTGACCGAACAGTACACGCGGTACTACGTAAATGTAACCCGCAGGAAGGAGCGAGAAAGAAGAAGAAAGATTAGGAAAAGAAGGGGGTAGAGAGCTAAACCGATGGCGATACGAGACGAATGTCGAGTGTCAAGAGGGTGTGTCGGCTTATACACTTCACTACTATCAGTCGTACACTTTTCTCCACGTCGTAACTCGTTATTATATTAAAACACGCACCACACCGAAAGAATCAGCTAGCTACACCGAGCTGAGTCAACGAACAGAGACTAAGCGAGATTATCACCTACTTCGCTGTCGTTTTCAGCCTCAGTGGCGGCCACTGTTGCGGTACGATCGTCCTTATCCACCTCGCCTACCGTCTTCGTCGGGATTGTCCCCTTTGTCGTTGTCCTCGTCGTTTTTTCTCGCTGTATTCTTAATCCTTGTCTTCGTCCAAGCACCTCCTTTCGATCACTATATCCCTTTTTCTTTCTTCTTCTTTTTCTTTTTCGTACGTTCGCACTTGCTCTTCCAACAATCGCGAAACCTTCCTACCTTTTCATACTTTCTGTCGTCGTCTTCGTCCGTTGTATCGCGCGTGGCCACGCACCAGTTTTTTTTTTTTTTTTAACTATCGTACAAATTCCACAGAGCACTACTAATACAGCATGTTACAAAAATAGAGTTTATGTTCCCTTAAATAAAATAAATGTACAATTAATTGTTACTTGTTGTTAGGAAACATTTAGTGTATGTGTTGTCTTGTAGGTAGAGTCTAAGCTACTGCCCGGCGAGGTTCGCCCATCTTGCCCGAAACTAAGATGATTCGCCGCGTGGAGGCGCTGCTAGCACCACCACCAACGGTGGGGCTCCAGCGGCCGCACCTGTCTGCACGACCGCCACTCAACACACACTCACCCGTATCACAATATTACCACGATATCTTACAGAGTTTCCTAAGAGTAACAAAGAGATAACTAACCTACCTACAGCTTGTCGAACAAAGACCGAAACCTTACTGCCTAAACGAATGACGTAGAGGAGAGAGGGCTATGATCACCGCGGTTTTCTCGACAAGTTTCGGCGTCGCGCAGTTGGCAGGCATGCGAATGAACGAGCAACGAGCACGACAGAGACCAGTTACCAACAGCGTTACTTGACTGACGAAGAACAAAAATGAAGGACGATACGAGGGAAGAGAATGAAAAAAGAAAAGAGAGGAAAAAACGGACGACAGACAGTGGCGGGTGGTACACTCACCCCCGTATACGCGACCGTTTGCGATACGACAATAAACCTGTGTACCATATGCCCTCTTATGTAGAAATCCTACCTGAAATATATGTATACGTCTACAAAGTCTCGTCTTGTTCATTCGACCATTAACCAAAGGAGAAACCGGTAGATATCAAAAATCTCTCTTTCTTCTTCATAGAAACCGAGATCGATTCTTTCGGCCCTTTACGTTAGGTACCAGACGAAGTTCTTTCGCACCTTCTCGCGAGAGACTCGCGTTATCGATCGTGGAACGACCTCACTCACTTCTCCTACTCCCTCGAGGTCAGGAGACGAGATTTTCCTGTCGTTTTTTTCCCTTCTTAACAGGAAAATCTTCGTCATTTTCTTCGCGGTCATCGACACTTTTCATTCACCAAATGTATCATTATCCAAATTTGCTCGTATGCAACAATTTCCTATGCCTCTTATAGACATCATTTTTTACTATTCGGTATTATAAGTTAAATGCTTATTTGCCATTGGACCAGAGTTACCTCGTTCGCTATATGCTGCAATGTTTCAGCATCGAGCACGCGATATCGTGTAATTTAGCGTTGACAAAGTGACCAGCACAGAATAGGGTCTATCCAATTATGCATATTATTCATCCAAATTTCTTCTTGTTGCCGCCTATTGGCTATAGTGCACTGGCCACAAATGATGCCCTCAACATATGCAACCATAGATGCTTGCCCAGTGGCGTAGGGATTGGGAAATTTGCATTCACCTTATTCATTCTTATTTTTATATTTTTTTTCTTTGCGAACAATGGCCTCTTATCTTCAACGATAAATTAATAATACAAATTGGTTAATAATGTACTTTTACGTACTTGTACTTGTAAGTTGAATGAAAGTGTAGAATTTAGAAATGATACATTGTAAGCAATAAAGTATTCATAATTATACGTCAAACTTATCTACAATCGCAAAAAGGTACAGTATTATCGAAACATTACTTTCGATAATAGCAATATTGACTTTACGAACAGATGTCTGGTCATGTGGTTTTACTACGTAAAAACCTTGAAAAGAGCTTTAAAAATGAACATAAATACCTTTCTGATCTTGTTCGGATTAATGTTCATGAAATGTATGTTTGATAGAAGAATAGTGTTAAAACAAGAGTACCAAAATGGCAGCTATGATACGGAGATCTCTGACTAATATAAATAATATCATAAGGAAATGACTCATGTCCTGCTAATTACTGTAAAGTTTATCCACCATTATTACTCACAGTGAGTAATAAATCTGTCCTTTAACTTCCATATCTAAATAAAATAAATTTTCCAAATCATAAGCTTCCAAAAGAAGAGGAAACTTTAAGAATACATCTTTCCCTGTCCCGAGATAATACCAAAGCTGTTACTTACACGGTCAGTGTCTACAACAGTGACGCATAATTCGATAAACCCGTAACGACTTATAAGTGTATTTCCACCTAATTGAACTTCGTCATTACCCAAACAGAAGTCTGAAGCAATTCCTTACATTTCCTGTTACGGTGGAACGTTGGCCCGGTCGCTTCTACCTGAGCCATCACCCAAAGCCCCTAGCTAAGGGGTCCTAGTGACTTAGTCATTAACATCGACTGGCCGTTTACCTGGATTTGCCTGTCGCGACCACGCACGAGACGAAAGAAGAAAGCAGGCCACTTTGTTTTGACCGATGTCTTTTCTTGTATCATTCCCTCTCTTTCCTTCTCATTCACTACGAAGTCACGGACAAGGTCAAGGCCGTTGGCCTTCATTTCTCGACATCCTCCACAACCTCCTACGAGTTCTCTCTATCTCTTTCTTTCTCTCTTTTTCAGTCTTCACCCGTGTTCTTTCTAATCTTACACATTTATCTTTCCATACGTAACATCTAATAAATATTCGATCTGCATCCAATGGTAACACGATTAACACGATTTCATATGCATTCAACTCTGTCCAGTTATAAACGTGTTCTCTCGTTTTTTGTTTTTTTTTTTCATTTCATGATACTCTTCGTCTCGCCCTTCCGTTTTCCATCCGTTTTTTCCGCTAGCCCCGACCACCGTCCCGCCATCCAGCACCGAGGTTCGGACAAAAATGTCCCTTGCAGAGAATGAACGATCTCACCTGGTCGACTCGTTCGTTCTACTACCCGTGGAATTGCACGGAGATGAGAGGAGGACGGCAGCCACTCAGACATTCCGTTGCTCGTACGAACAGGTTTCCTACCGATTGCAGAAAAAAAGCACCGTGAGCCGAGTAAGCTAAACAAAGTTATTCGCGGAGAACCGATACGCCCGGATTTCGGTAAGGGAAGAAAGAAAATCAGCCCTGAAACCTTCAACGCGAGACGTTCTCCAAGGTACTTTGCAAACATTGTATTATCTTGGAAATAAAATACTTTTACAAAAATCTGAGTACACTGGCTAATTTGTCATTCGAAAATCCACAAATTATGTATTTACCATTTTTTTGTATAACAAATAGTTCCAGAGATATTTGAGAAAAGCTATTTATCTATGGAACTATGCACATACAGGGAAGAAAATTTTGTTTAAATTTAGCGCAACCGTAAGCATGAATCATCAAAAGAATTATAATCTATGATATCAATTTTACTACGGATTATAAACGGCTGCCATAAATATGCCAGGTTGATCGTGATATCGAAAGTGATATTTTTCAAAGACTGCGTTGACGTTGATTAAAAATCATCGAACGTGTCGCAGACAGCGTTTCAGTGTTATTTATCGAGACAGCAGAGTGATAGGATAAATTCTGACTAATTGCAAAACTATATCAAGCATTTCAAATATGGCTGTCCGTATAATCACGGTACAACATTTTATATTCACATATCTCTTGTTCGAAAGCTTACGGGGGCGCGTGGGTAAGGGAAAGAAAATTGATTAGAAGGGACCGTTGAATATCGCGGTAAGAAATTCCATGAGGTACGCCAAAATTCCCTAGGGGCAGTCGGGTCAACAGGAAGTCAAGGCCACGCGGTCAATTGCCCCGCGATCCGTCGCCGTTATAAATAGATACGAGCGGCCGGTATCTACGCGTCTATTTCGCACGCATGCTGTAAAATCCGAATTGGTGTTATTTCGATACCGTACATCTTTCCCCTAGACTCCACTTTTTTTCCAACACCTCCCTTCGAGGTCCTTTCCATTGATAAAGCGTCACGTAACGAACGTATCGATCCTTCGCACCGCTGACCGCTAATTGTTATAAATATAGCCCGGTTAATGAAAGAATAACTTCCCTCGATAAAGCCATGGAAACGCGTGACACCTGATCCTGAAATAAAAATAATTCTATTGCTGCCGGACGCATAATAGATTCTTACAATGTAGACTAATAGTTTACAGTAATGCGAAACAATTCAAAGCTAACGTGCCGGTTTAATACCCATATAATCTTCACTCCCTCCTATAATCACCCCAAATGTATGTTATATTGGTACACAATTGACCCCATGATTTACAAACAGAATTTCTGTACACGTGGTTAAATATAATGTTAATGATCGTCGTAGTACTTGAAGAAAATCTGAGATCATTGCAATGTGTAGGAGAAAACAGTTCCTGTGAAACAAGAAGAGTACTTATTGATCCGGTATGTGGTAAATGTAGCTAGCAGGGCTTATAAATGCCATCCGCTACGAAAACTATAACCAGTGCCAATTTACCCCCCTTTGACGTAGAATTATTATGCAAAGCCTATGCAGACCAGTCGTATGCAAGAAGGATCATCAAATATTTGAATGAAACAAATTATTTTCTATCGTCCTTGTTGAAAACTCGGTTAATCGATATCGGGGCGAAACGTTGAATCCTCGCTGTTCGTTATAATTGAAGCTCTCAAATACTAAGAATAAAACGACTTCGTTCCTTCCACGAAATCGTTTAAAATTAAAAGAATAATTTTTCTTTCCTCTTGATATTAAATAATCTATGTTTAATCGCGCGAGTTTGTTTCGTTAAATTTTTCCGCTATTCTTTATCGATAAATACGAGCGTTTTTTGTAAAGAATTACGAGTTCAATGTGATTTGTTAAAACATACAGTACCGTGAACAAATTCAAGGGGAATAACCCTGTACCACCCTATACCGGCAGAATATATAATCTCGAGGTCATTGCTCGAACGATCTTTGGGGGTTCCACCATGCCTGGAATGAGGGTGAGGTGCCTCGGTATACTGGGCAGATATCGACCACTTTCCTCCAAAAGCTAGAATGCAAAGCTGCAATTAAACATTGCCCCGTCTAATGAATTTGTAAAAAATATATAAAAAGAATGAAAAGAAAAATAAAGAAGTTTACCGCGATGCTTTCGTAAGGTTTCATCCTCGCAGACAAATTGGCTGATTCACGCTTTACCTCTGAAACTTGAAGCATTAAATTACAATTGAATATTCCTTTAGTCTACTCAACGTAAAAGGAAAATAAAAGGAGAGGGGTATGCTGTCTGAAAGAAACATCTTACATGGATGTTTCAATTGAAATCTTTGAATTTCATTATTAATCAATCCATGTGCGGCCATGTCCATCGAGTTGGAACAGGGGTATGTCTTCAGAGAGACGACGAGGTGTAAGGACAAGATTCGATCTTTTCAGATGTATGAGACGACCAGTATAGAAGGAGGATTTCAAGGAGTGTCTTATGGGTAGGAGGGAGCGTAGGATAAGGGTTGTTCGACGGGTGGCCGTGCCTTTTGGGGCAGTGGCCCTTGCTACGATGCCTCCGAGGGTGAGAAGGGGCAGACGAGGACCTACGCGTTATTGAGCGGGCATTTCCCACAAAGCGCAGACGAGGGCAACCACCCCGTAGCGTTGCGGCGCGCACAGTTCTCTACTCTCTTCCTTCTCCCTCTCTTTTCCCCCCTTTTTCCCTATTTCTCCGTGCGTTCAATCTCTCCTTCTCTCTCTCCCTTTCTCTCTCTCTCTCTCTCTCTCCATCACTGCATCACCCTTCTGTCTCATCCCATCCCTTCAATTTTTATCTTTTTCTGTCGCCTTCTTTCTTTGCCTCCCTCTTTCTCACAGCCTCCTCTCGCGTCCTCTTCCTCCGTATCCCTTTCCACTCTCTATCTATGTATGTTTCTCTCATTCTTGTCCCGTCAACGTGGAGACCCTTCGTTCCCTGCAAATTTCTCGACGCCAATAGGCGCTTTCGAGTTTGGTGCGCGCATTAAATTTATCGAACGCGACCGTGCAAGCTTGAGGATGGTAGATACAGGAAGAGGGAACTCGATGACTTTCATCCCTTTCCTTTCGTTTTTTCACTTTAATGCCGCGTCCAACAGTGCCCTACTTGTGCCTTCCCTTACCTTTGGGATCTAAAAATGATGAGGAATTTATTAAAATCAATCTTTGAAGATACGGAATAATCGGACGTCCTTATTTTAATAAATAAGATTCACCCAAGTAATGCATGAGAAGTTCTATGTAAAAAAAATATTCCTCCTCTTCTCTCCCTAAGTTCTGATCTTTGTCTTCGTCCTTTTGTTCCTTGATGTCCTGTGCACATGCTTTCCTACCGCTCTGTCTGCGCAACCCCTTTCATTTTCTGCAAATCCTTCAGCAAGTACTGCAAATATTATACTCGATTTCAGCGCTTAATCCTTTATTTTACAAATTTATTTTTATATTCGCGAAAAAAAAATGGATTTCAATTTTGGTTTTTTTTTCGAATTGGTTGAAATCGACGAGTACTAACCCCGGTAAAAACATAAGGGAAAGAGAAATGGATGTATCGATCTCACCCCTAGGGACTTGGTGGGATTAGGACATCACGGTAGCCACCCACGATGAGCCATGAAGCACCGTGCAGTAACGGAAGAAGAAACTTGTAGCCCTTAGCAACGTATTCTCGTGGAAAGGGACTCATGTATTTAATATCTTTAAGGCAATAAAATGTTCTTCTTAAACGGTTACAGTTAATCTTATACTTCCTCCTTTCTCTCCTGATCTGCTCATGAAATTGGAGATCGTTTATTTTATAAAAAACAAGTGTTCTATGAGGGACGAATCTCCAACTGATTATTTGTAGTGAAGATATTAAAAGGTTACTCATATTCAGCATCAGTATATTCAGATTGTAACCATGTATTGATCTTTATCATTTAAATAAACGTAGCCTATGAATTAGCTCTTCATTATCTTCCTCTTCTATACTGGACAATCTTGTACACTACAAAGGTATAATGGATTAAATAAACGTAAATATTAAATTAATTAGAAAAAGAAAATTATAATCGTACACGATTTTATCCTCGTGTTTCCAATCACCCAATGACGCAATATACCACCCTCAACCTGCACCCTCTGCGTCACACCCATCCTGTTTCCGCATACCATGCGCCCTCAACCTATATCTGTCTCCTAGGTCGTTGATCTGCAAGTCCTATTGTATCTACGATGATCTGTAACAAGTTTAATTTGATAATATAAGATTTACTCATTAAATACAGCAAATATGTATAATTAATAACAATCCAATAATAATTACATGGCATCAATTGATAAAGTCAGAAAAACTGTCTCAATATTCCTGTTACTTTCATTTACTTTAAATCAAATTGCAAAATATTTGTAATCCAACCCTATAACATATTTAAACGTTTTTGTATTAATTTGTGAAAAAATACTATATTGTTTTTATGTTTTTCTTGTTTAAATCATCATTGATTAAGTTTTTGATTTTTTGTTAAACGGTACCCCTGTATAACAGATACTCGTGTATCTACGCATGCTTTTAAAAGAGCATGTAAAGATGGAAGAGAATTCATTACAAGAAGAAAGAGGCGATTTAAGTAAAAGACCGCAATTTGGAAACAGAACGCTTTCTGATAATGATAATGTATTCCAACATAACTCATGGTATATATGTATATGTATCGTTTAATATTTAATGCGATATTTGCGTTATTAAGGTTATCAGGTTTTAACCTATAAGTTGCAATATTTTGAACTTTATCACTTATTTTTTATTATAAATTTAAAGGGACAATGTTGTATGGAATGAAGAACAGGAAAAATTGGCTCAACAAAAAGTAAATGAAAATTCAACTGTGATGTTAGCAGATGATAAAGTGTGGGAATACGAATGTGAAGCTAATAAATATTGGGACAAGTTTTATGGAATTCATGATAACAAGTATATATAAATATTAACCCATGTAATTATTATGAGAAAGTATAAATGAAGAAAAATTTTACTTATAACATTGCAGATTTTTCAAAGACAGACATTGGTTGTTTACAGAATTTCCAGAGCTAGCAGTTGATACTGTAAAAGAAAATTTAAAACAATCTTTGAGATCTGTAAATGAAAGCAAGAATGAAGATGATAAAGAAACTCATATTAGAATCCTTGATTTACCTAGTAAAACTGGACATAAAATTTTAGAAATTGGCTGTGGTGTAGGCAATACAGTGTTTCCAATACTTTTGTATAACAGAGATCCAAGTTTATTTGTATACTGCTGTGATTTTTCTACAAAAGCAGTAGACATATTGAAGCAAAATCCTGCTTATGATGCATCTAGGTATAAAACATTGAATACAATACTTAGCAATGGTTATTGAATGATAAATTATTGATATAATCTATATGTTTCAAAGATGTAAAGCATTTGTTCTTGATGCAACTCAAGAAAATTGGGAAACCCCGTTTGAACCTGAAAGTCTAGATATTATAGTCCTAATATTTGTTCTCTCTGCTATACAGCCAGATAAGTAAGTATTTCATTGAATATATGAAAATTATTGATTAAAGTTAATAAATTACCATTATTATTAGGATGAAACATGTTATACAACAAGTATACAAATATTTAAAACCAGGTGGATTGGTTTTATTTAGAGATTATGGAAGGTATGACTTAGCTCAACTGAGATTTAAAAAAGGCAGTTGTCTATCAGAAAATTTTTATGCAAGAGGAGATGGAACTAGAGTATATTTTTTCACACAAGGTACCATATTTATCATTTAATATAAACTTATTTTCTTCAAAATATAAAATACAAGATATTTGCTTATAGATGAAGTTAGAACATTATTTACAAATTGCTGCTTTACTGAGGAACAAAATCTCGAGGACAGAAGACTCCAAGTTAATAGAGGAAAGCAACTTAAAATGTACAGAGTATGGATTCAAGGGAAATATAGAAAATAATTTAAGAATTGTATCATATTCATATTTGTAATGTTATCCTACGTTTGTCAAAACAATTGTATAATATAAAAAAATATATCTATACTATATTAAATGATAAATATGTATAATGTTTTTCCTCGTACATACATCTTTTTAATTAACAACTGATAAATGACCGTGATAATGAAACACAGTCGGATATTATAGTTTAAGAAAGTTTTTATTGGTAGCACTGCTACACTATTAACACGTAAACATGGCGATCACCGCAATCGTTCTTGTTTAGAGAGAAACAAGATCGTTTTTTGTATTTTAACACTTAACTTTTCACTTTAAACTACCAAAAAACAGAACAACATGGGTAATGCCGATACAAAATTAATCTTTCGAAGAGCAGTCGTTCAATTGACGTCGAAAACACAGGTAAAAATTATTGTTTATTATTCCACTCACCAAGCTGTTTGACGTTTCAGTGCAACAAGATATATACAAATCGTTAATTGTTAATTGATCTCGTCTTTTTATTTGGATAAATAATAATACTTCCTTCAGTATAAAGTTCATTGAATCCTATCCTTCACTGACCACATATAATTTAAGTTAAAAAAATACACCTCATTCTTTTTTAATTGTAGGTGATTGATGCTTCAGATGACACATTCTGGGACCAATTTTGGTCTGAAAACGTTACTAATGTGCAAGACATATTTACTCTAGTCCCTGCACAAGAAATTCGTATATTAAGAGAAGAAGCACCTTCCAATTTAGCTACATTATGTTATAAAGCTGTGGAAAAACTAGTGAAAGCAGTTGATAATAGCTGTAGAACACAGAGAGAACAACAAACAGTTTTAAATTGTTGCCGCTTATTGACAAGACTGTTACCTTACATTTTTGAAGATCCTGATTGGAAGGGATTCTTTTGGTCCAGTTTACCTGGTAAAGAAGATGAAGAAAGTATCCCCTTGGCCCATTCTCTACTCAATGCACTTTGTGTGAGCATTGATATACTTTTTAAAATTAACAGGAGACAAAAACAAGTTGTTTTAAACTCAAATTTTTATTTTAGGATTTGTTGTTCTGCCCTGATTTTACAGTAGCTGCAAATAGAAAATCTGGTCCTGTAAGTTTTCTTTTAATATTCTGAAAGTTTTAAAAATTGAAAAGTGCTAATGAAATGTTTTTTAAATTACCTAGGATAAGGCAGAAGAATTACAGTCTATAGATAGCTGTGAATATATTTGGGAAGCTGGTGTAGGATTTGCGCATTCACCTCCTAGATACCCAATTCTAGATTCAAATAGAACAGAATTATTGAAGCTGTTACTTACATGCTTCAGTGAAACCATGTACAACCCTCCAATGGATCTTTCAGTTACACCAAATAGATGGATCCAATATTTAACCAGTTCTGAAAATAGGTGTGTTGTAGTAAATTCATCGTATAGACCAATATGTTTAAGAAAAAATAATTTCCATATTTTTATAACAGACATGCTTTGCCTATGTTCACATCATTGTTGAATACAGTATGTGCGTATGATCCTGTCGGGCTTGGAGTACCATACAATCATTTATTATTTACTGACTCCTTGGAACCACTAGTTGATGTTTCGTTACAAATTCTCATAGTAACATTGGATCATGATACCAGTGGTGGTACTCCGTTAGAAGAAGGAGTTGTTGGAGATAATTTATTTATTAATTATCTTAGTCGTATCCATCGAGATGAAGGTAAATTTTGTACCTGAAACAAATTATTTAATGAAGAAATTGAAGGAATTATTTCATTGAAGAAAATTATGCTTATAGATTTTCAGTTTGTATTGAAAGGTATCACTAGATTATTGAATAATCCATTGATGCAAACGTACTTACCAAACTCAACGAAAAAAGTACACTTTCACCAAGAGTTATTGGTGTTCTTTTGGAAAATGTGTGATTACAATAAGAAATTCTTATATTATGTATTAAAAAGTTCCGACGTTCTCGAGGTGTTGGTACCCATACTGTATCATCTGAATGACTCACGAGCAGATCAGTGTAAGCTTTCACGATACTATGAATTTAATTAAGCTGATTACACATAATAATTAAGCATAATTGTATAGCGCGAGTTGGATTAATGCACATAGGAGTATTTATTCTACTTTTATTAAGTGGAGAACGGAATTTTGGCGTTAGACTGAATAAACCGTACACAGCTACAGTACCTATGGACATTCCTGTTTTTACAGGTAATAATTTTATTGATAAGTTATCGATAATTCATGTTATCTAAATCTCATTATATTATAGGTACACATGCTGATTTATTAATTACCGTTTTCCACAAGATAATTACAACTGGACACCAAAGACTACAGCCGCTATTTGACTGTTTACTAACGATTCTAGTCAACGTTTCTCCATATCTTAAAACATTATCAATGGTGGCTAGTACTAAATTATTGCATTTACTCGAAGCATTTAGTACACCATGGTTTTTATTCTCGGCCCCTACGAACCATCATTTAGTATTCTTTCTTCTTGAAATTTTTAACAATATTATTCAGGTGATTTGTACATATATTAAATAGCAAGTTTTCTATGAATGATACTAATAACATTTGTTTCTTACCAGTATCAATTTGATGGAAACAGTAATCTGGTTTATACTATTATACGTAAACGACAAGTGTTCCATGCATTAGCAAATTTACCAAGTGACTGCAATACAATTGCAAAATCCCTGAGTAAACGACAACGTCGTCACGTACCTGCTAGTACATCTAATGAAAATGTTAGCGAAGCTGCAATGGAAGGTTCGCATCCTGCACAGCCAGCTGAACCTGGAACTTTAAAAGCATCCCTATTAGAGACTCCAGGTAAATTTATAATATCTGATTATATATCTGATTACATAAACGCATTGTTATCTGTTCGTATTTGTTTTTAGGTATTGAGAAAATGACTGAGAAAGAATCTGCGCATCCATTAAGTCCTTCAGTGAATGTGGATGTAGGAAAATCTAATCACCAAAATAATGGGACTGGTACAGAAGAATTAATGAACTCTGCTAAAAGCTCTGTTATACCTGTAAGAACATAACGATATTAATAATTTATTATATTGTCTAATATTTATAAATTGTTCATCCATTATTTTTTATTCATTAAATAGAAAGGAGGTATCAGAGTTGCGGAACACACAAATTCTTCTAACAATATAAATCAGTGGGTTCCTTCTAGTGAGTGGGTGTATCAGTGGAAGAGTAAACTTCCGTTACAAACTATTATGCGTTTACTTCAAGTTCTCGTACCTCAAGTTGAAAAAATATGTATCGATAAGTGAGTATAATTTATTGTATCAATTTTTCAAATTGTACGATTCATTCATATTTTTTCATAGGGGTCTGACAGATGAAAGTGAAATATTGAAATTTTTACAACACGGTACATTAGTTGGTTTACTACCCGTACCACATCCTATTCTTATCAGGAGATATCAACCCAATGCAGGAACAACTGCTTGGTTTAGAACGTACATGTGGGGTGTTATATACTTGAGGAACGTCGAACCCCCAATTTGGTATGATACTGACGTAAAGTTATTTGAAATCCAAAGAGTTTAAACACAGTGAAATATTATTAGTAACTTGCACTGAAATTTCTATACTATTCTGATATAAAATATTATATTCATAATATTAAAAAACAAATGTTAGTAATATATAATTATCATAAGTTATTTTAAGAAGATGGTAAAAAAGAACAATAGTAGAGAATGACCTATTTTGAAACTTTTCTTTTCCGTCCAGTTCCAAAATTGGCAACTTTCTATTAGAGTTTCTAGAACATTTTCATTACAGTCGTAAAATCGTAATTCTTTTTTTATTTACTTCGCTTTTTAAATGTAGTTTACAATATTTGTATGTAAAGTGAAATATGCATGACATCTAACTGTAATTCTTTTTAAAAAAATTAATTTAATATTAATTTATTAACTTCTTTGAAAGTTTCCCTCATGGTTTAAATTTGTACAAAATAAATAAATATAGTGATCTAGGGAATGTAACATTCTTTAAAATTGATGATGCAATTATATAATTTTGATTGTTAGTTTATGAGAAAGCGTGTCGTTTCAATGTGTACGATTATTTTCGTAATAAAGTAATGTGTACTTATTCATGCTGTGCATACAGAACAAGCGCCTATGTTTAATTAAACAATTGTAATATTGCCTAGAGGTTTGTAATAAATTTGGTATAAAAAAGAATGTAAAAAGGGAACAAAATAACAAACCGAATGATTCTTTATTTCAAGCTACATTTTTGGTGTACAAAAATATAGCTTGAAAATCGTTAATAGTTATAAGTACTAAATACAATATTCTATGTAATAATGTATTGTAAAAATTTGTTTCAAATACAAAGCAAAATTTCTTTGCAAACTATAATTTACATAATGTATGCAATTTTAATATTAAAACACACACAGAAAACATAAAATCACATATATATTTATTAGTTGAATTTATACTATAGTCAAAATCTATGTATGTACGCATCGCGTGTATGCACTTACTTAAATTATATACACGTGTATAAGTAAGTATTATAAAACATATACAATACTTAGCCTATGTTTTTATTTAATCTTACATAGTAGAATTAGTGTGTGTTGAAGCATTTTACATTTTATGGATTGTAGGAAGAACAATTTATGCGTTAAATGTGACTCTAAATTTCATTTTCTTTTTTTAAGAAATAAATATATTAATATAAATTTAAATTATATATTTTACTTCCTTCTTTGTTCACAATGTACAGCTTTTCACATGTGAAACGACAGTTACTTTTTTAAAGAATGTATTATTTTCTAATGAAATAAATCACAAGTATTTATTTAAGTATGTGAACGAAAAACACGTACCTTTTTGGAATTCAAAAAATACCTTAAGTTTCGTAGATATTGTGTTTATCTTTTATTCGGGCATTAATCTTCTTATGCTTCTTTTAGTTCACAAATGCTATAAAGAATGATATCTTCAGATTACTTCACTATTTATATCACAGATGTAAAGTTTACCTATCCTAGAAAAATCGTGATGGTTTTCATTTTTCCTTCAATTGCATAAATTAAAAGCTCGATGATGAAATATTTATGTTTAATAACACACTTTGATGATATCACTGATGAGTGTTTCATTCCTTAAAAAATGTAATGTATGAAAAAATAGTGATAGCATTCTATACAATCTTATGTCAATTTAACGATGTTAAGTCATCGCATAACTTTATCATAAGACGGCGGTGGAGCTTCGTCCGATGAATTATGCGGTGGAATCAAAATAGCAATATGATAGGGTGGTGGTGGATTTTGCCTTATTACAGAAATAGGTCTAGCGTTTTCATTGGACATTGTATTTGTAGCAGTTACAGACGCAATGTGGTCCTCTTGAACGTGGTGTTCTTGATGATTACTCCGGTGATTTCGGCGGCATAGAATCGAATACAAACATGCGAACAATAATAATAATGTTAGCAGACCCCAAAATACAAAAACTTCTATGCCTTGACCCTAATGGAAAAATATATCCATATTAATAACACAAAGAAATTAAAACAGTAATAAAAACATTTCAGTTTCAGCTTACTTGATCACCGAAGTAAAATTTTGCTGCGGCAACGAATCCAGTTGCAAATACAAATGTTATCCAAACACCGCATCTTAATCTGTAACTTGCTAGTTCTGCATCATTAAATTCAGAAAAATCCAAAAGACTTCTATTCGTTCCACTTGTAGCAGTATTTGACAATATTAATTGATTATTTCCAGCAGTTGTTACATTACTGTAAATATGAAAATAAATTATATTTCTGTTACTATTCTTGTTGTTATTGCTTAAACATCCATACTCTTGTGTAGAAAATTTATAATTGAGGGCGAATCATTTATAAGTACTTTCTGTTGATAGACATGTATAAGTGAGTCACCCTGTATATAGGAAGAACATGTTCCTCAGAATCCTCTTAGTAGACCTTTTTCTTTAATTACTTGGAGATGTTGTTTAGCTGGGTACGTTGAGTAGAGTCAACCGGAAAATTGTTTCGGGTATCATTATTAGTTCTTAACGAAGTTCTTATCACTCTGCAACTATTTAAATTACTAGGACCAGCTGCATTTTCCATAGCATTCAGATTTTGAAATCGATGAAGAGGGGTAACCATTTGTCTTACATCTGAATTATATCTACATTGATCTGTAAAAATGATAAATACAAACGTTTTAACTTAAAACTGTACTATCCTTTTTGAAACAATTAAATTTGTACAATTTTTCAACAATTTTTTGGATATTATATACACAGTACTAAATACTAGAAACGAAAGGAACTTTAGATTTTTGTTTAGTAATCTTACTGAAATTTGTTTTTGGCAGAGGTGTGGCGGGGTATCGGCGGCCAGTAAAACCGTAATACCTCCCCGCCGGTTTGTTAATCCAGAAATGCATACTCTGTGCAATGTTCTTTAAATATTCATTGCTATTTGCCAAATTCCTTGAGATTCAAAGCTACAAGTAACTTAATATCTTCTTTGTTGCTTTCATAAATACTTTTCCAGTAAGCTCACGAACAATCCTGGTTCAAGTTCCATTACTCGTACATTTGAAATCAATGCACTGTGTTAGCACATTTTTGGTATTCATCGTTCATAAAAGAGAAACTTGATATATCTTAAAATGCCTTTTAATTTCATTTATTCAAAAAACTTCAATCACGTTTTGTGAATATTACAACAAATTCAACGAATACATAACTAATAATCTGCATTCAAACTCAGGTCAATACTGAACTAAACTCTGGCTTGAATTTCTACCATTGTCATTTTAAAAGCAGGCATACCAACACCGATGAAGCAGACATTGTCAACTTATGTTTGTTGTTTAAAAAACTACCGAAAAATGATTTCCTAGTATAACCAAGTATACAATAAATAAAAATTGATTTGTCTATTATTTAGCTTGTAGCCTGTAGCATACTTGATATACTACTTAATTTTCATAAATTTGGATATGAATTAAAACATAACCTGTCTATAAGAACACCAGCATATATATATTAGAACTAAATATGTATTAATTTTATGAAAGATCCAACAGTGATTATAATGGTGTTGTTTATAATAAAGAATTGTTTATGCCGAGTTGAATCACATTTCTTGAAACGATCTTTGTTTTGCACTACTGTCTGGAATGCTAATACTGGTGAAACAGATTATCCATTAAAACACGATGATAGTTTGATATCCCAAAGCAGTAAAAAATGTGTAAAAGTTGCTTTCATAGGTTTACCAAATGTTGGAAAGAGCACATTAATAAATCAACTGACACGTAGATCAGTATGTATTTTTAGCTATTTTATGTTAATCATTATAATCATCTTTTCATCACTTTTACTGGAAACAAATGTTTGATAAACAGATATGTCCTGCATCTGCCAAAGTTCATACTACAATGCACAAAGCAGAAGTTGTATATACAGAAGATGATACACAAATTATATTCATGGATACACCTGGATTAGTAACACGTAATGAAATTAAAAAGTATAAATTAGTGGAAACCTTTACAGAAGATCCTATAGTTTCAATTAAAGAAGCAGATGTTATTGGAATCATACAGGATGTAACTAATGTATATACTAGGCATAAAATTAATAATTTTGTTAAGGATTACTTAGAAAACAAAAGGGAAGACACTCCATTGATATTGGTCTTTAATAAAATTGATAGAATAAATAAGAAATCAGTTTTGTTAGAACTTACAAAATTATTAACAAATCCTGAAAATTCTCCAAAATTTGATGATATTTTTATGATATCTGCACTAACTGGAGATGGCATAGATGATTTAAGAGTAAGACAATGTAGATCATTTATGACTATTATAGCAGTAGTAATTATAAATCATTATTTGTACGTTTATATTCAAATTCATTTTAATTTACATTGCAGAATTATCTACTTGATTCAGCCAAGGTACAAGAATGGAAATATGAAAAGGACTGTAATACTGATCAAACAGTTGAAAATATAATACAAGAAACTGTAAGAGCTAAGTTAATGGATGTTCTTCCAGCAGAAATGCCATTCAACATTAAATTACAAATGGAGCATTTTGATTACACCGAAGATGATGGTATTCAGTGTACTCTAGCATTAAACTGTCCCAAACCGAATTATATGAAAACATTGTTAACGCATAAGGGTGAGAAAATTAAGCATATAGCATTTCATGTAGAAAAGGAATTACGTAATGCATTTAGAAAACCCGTAATCGTACGTTTATCTGTACAATGTGACAAAAAGAAAAGGACAACAATTAATTAAAAAAATCGACAACTTTATAAAAATGATTTTTTTTTAACGACACAAATGTATAAAATTCCTTTGAAAATAAATGTACATATAAATAACTACAATTACACATGTAGTAATATCACTTACAGTCATTAATGTTGTTAAAATATGGAAAGGTGAAATCAGTTTCTCTAAGATTTTCTTCTATCCATTTGTTGGCCTTAGCATCAAGTTCAGGGGTAAACATATCCCTCCAGTTACCACTTTGACCAGTCCTAACAAATGTTCCAGCAGTTATAATACCACATTCTTTTAACTCAGATGAATTCACCATTGGGTTATTCCGAAAGTTTTTAATATTTAAATAATTTGCAACTTCTTTTATTTGTTCCTCGCTATAGATTTTTCCAAGGAACATAGCAACTTTTTTAATTGCCTTTGGAAAATCCTGAATATACGACATATAAATAAAAGCACCTTTAAATAGAAATAATATTAAATGATTTTCTGACTCACATGTTGCATTTCTTCATAGAACATGAATAAAAGATTTGGATGATTTTTATATCCCCATGCTTCCTTTAAATGTTCCCAATAGGGACTCCATGGTGCTGAAAAAAATGTTAAATTACTTAAATCGTATTTAATAAAAATAATCTGTCATATCTGTTATACTTACTAAGATTATTTTGAAAATAATCCCAAAATGTTGCAAAATCACCTGTATACCCTTGAGTTTTAATTGCTTTGTTTAAATGATACCAAGAGACAGCAACGTCTTTTGGATTTCGTGCAATATATATTACCTTTAATTGAATAATATAATATTGTATAAAATTATATAGAAACAAGTGTTCGCTTTCATAATTATAATTCTACCTTACAACCAGTATCCAAAATACCAGGTAACAAACTAAATGGAAAATGTGATTTAATGAATCTCTTAGAAGGTATTCTCGCTAAGACTTCGTACCCTGGCTCCGCAATTTTTCTACATAATTCTTCTTTATCTTTATCGCCCTTGTTTATTTTTAAAAATTCGAGCGTCACTTCTGGATGATTGAACAAACTAAATCTAGAAAGCAAATTAATTTTAAGTTAATAACGTTGTTGTTTTAAACTACCGTATAAACTTTCGAGGAAAATGTAAGTTCAATTATACTAACTCAAGAAACGGAAATCGTTCTGCCAGAAGTTCTTTCTGTGCCCTTTCGAAATCTAAATCGTTTGACAATAGCCAAACTAATTCTTGAGTCCATGTTGTACCTGAAAACAAAAAAATAGTTATTGGAAAATTCATATACGATACCTGTATTATTTAACAGTAATTCGTAATGTATGTTACTTACCGGACCTTGGATAAGATAGAACCCAAGTATCATCTGATCGTGCCTTAAAGTTATAAAAACCTTTACCTTGTTCCGTATATCTATACGGAAAGAACCACTTTTTAGATCCTACTAGCACCCAACCTGTTCTTTCGCCTTTAAATAATCTCAGCATTTTCTTCGTGTCTTCCTCATTCAAAAATTCATATTTTGGAGATTCAAGTTCCATCCTGTATATTTCTGTACGAGTTTGAATATATAAATTCATGACAGTTAAATAATAAAATAATTAAAATAAATAAATTTATTTGTAACTTATATTTTAATAAGCATTTATTTATCCTGTACTTGAAAATTATATCGTTAGATATGACCGTTACCGTTAACTTTACCAATCCGGAAGCGCGGGAAATTATACCGTTACGTCTAGCATTCTTTTTTTAAACATATCGAACTGTCATTTATAGCTATAAAATATGAACTAATAAATATAACAGTCATATCAACGTTTTATAAGTAATGTAAATTAAGTTGTAATTGATGTCGGAAATAAAGCACCAATTTTAGTTTAAACCAAATACAGGGTCGGCCCTGGGCCTAGGCAGACTAGGCCCCCATAAGACGATTTTGCGTCTAAGAATGCAAGCTTAATGTTAATTTTATAAATTTTAATTGAGGTACTTTTTTTTATGTCATAAATGCGAAGGGGCCCTTTTTCGGATCTCAGGATCGGCCTTGACCAAACACTTCCTATGTATCTAAATATTATAAAGTTGTCATTATTATATTTAATAAATAATGTATCTAATTAAATATAAATACTTACAAAGTAATATCAATGAAGATTTGAATATATAATAAATTAAAATACCATAAAATTATACGAACGTCATAGCAAAGCAACAAACTGACGGAAGACACGAAACCTAATGATGAACTGAAGAATTTAACGGGAATTCGGGTTAAAGGACTTTCACCCAACTAAGCTGCCCAGTTTCGTTTTTCTCGTATTGTTTTATTCATTAATAATTTTAAAATTTGAAAAAATCTTGCGACGATTACTTTTATTCAATATTTATAAAAATAACTTCCGGTTTATATTTATATGACTAATGATTAAATACCAGAAACACGACTTACTGAATACTAAAATATTTTTAGAAGAATTTTTCCATAAAAAATGATTTAATTTATTGCCACTATAATTGTAATACAGGCAATTCACGACGCGTGCTTTCATATTAAAAATTGTTCTCTAACAGAATAGAGAACAATCATATCAAACTGTAAAGACTACTTACTAGATAGGAACTTCTCATAATAAATTTATACTTGTATATTGATTATCAGTCTTATTTCCTTACTTATAACTAAAATAAGCGTAAGAGTACCTCGTCTTATCTCGATGAAACGTCGCTTTACTTTTTAAGAGATAGAAAAAAGGTTTTCTTTGGTTGTAAAATACAAATTTCCATCAGGGACGAGTTGCAATGAACTGTCTAACTTGATCACATGTAAAAAAATATAACTTATTTTCATATTAATCTTAATAAAAATATTAATCTAGTCTTAACTTTAAAATTCAGATCAAAGTCTTAATCTACTAAATTAAAGGAATGATAATTTTTTTTTAATACAACAAATGTAAGAACATTGGTAGTTCAAAGGCAATTGTATAAAATTTTCAACTTACTAAGATTTTAGTATTTTTAAATAACATACTTTGTCCCAGAAACGTTACTTAATTTGTTATTGAATGATTTGAGAGTATATTCTCTAACTTCATGGTTCCATTAAATCTTATATCACTGATTTGTACTCTTAAACAATATCGTTGTAAGATATTCATTATAACTTATCTTCTTATCTTTACTAAAAACTTTCTGGTCTCAAAACGTTTTCAAGTACTGTTAAATTTTCGCTTTTCGGATGTAATTTATCACTGACTTGTGTAATCTGAATTATATTGATTTCGGTGGAGTTTGTTACTTCTGATACTTTTTTATATAAATCAACACGATCCCATGTTTTATCTACTGGTTCGATACAAGAGATATTCAATCCTAATTTACAGAAATTTGATGCAGTCTTTCTCTGATTGTCTACCGTCCTTACTGACAGCTTATTATCTTGATTTTCAACAAATTTAGAAACAGGTATTGACACATCCTGACTTCCTAGATCATCGTCTACCTTCGTAATCTTAGTAAACGATGAAGATCTTTCTCTTCTATTAAAGAAGTTTTTAAGATCTGGATTCGTCAAAAACATTTTGCATCGTTTGGTATGTATTTTCATATTGTCGTGCCGATTGAAAGGTCTGTCGCATCCAGGACAATGAAATCTAGAAATAAAATATATTATAACAAAGATTATATCGCTTAAAAAAAAACATGTGAAGAAATGTACCTAATTTTACTGTGTACTGCCATGTGAGCAGCTAAATGAGACTGCTGTGCAAATGTTTTTTCACATATGTTGCATTTATAATTCCTAATACCCTTATGTTTCAAAATATGTTCTTTTAATATTTGATTACTTTTGTATACATTTGGGCATAAAGAACACTTATACTTTCCAACAGCATGTACCTGTAAAGAAAATTCAAAATCAATCGGTGGTCTTGCTGGTTATTCTTTAGTGGTGCTAAATGACCAATTTAATTTCAAATATATCTTACATTTTGGTGATTGTGCAAAGCTTTCTTCGACTTAAGACGTTTACCACAAATTTTACATATATAATCTTGCATGTCCACTTTTTTATTATGTGCTTCTAGTTTCTCTTGTTTTACAATAACAGATGTTGCTTTACTTTTGACCAAATTATCTTTTGTTGTCTTTGAACTTTCGTCATTGAATTTCATTTCTGTTGGTTTATCAGGGACTGTACTATCATTAATTATATCAGTACCTCTATCCTTAATACAAGTTTCGTTTAATGATGAGTCCATTGCTACCTTTTCCTTCGCAGTGGCTTCCTTGATTTCCAGTTTAATTGGAACTACAGTACTTTTGGTTACACTATTAACATTTTCACAAATATTACGCAGACGGTATTTTTTCAATTTATTCTGAAAATTATCCTTTTCATCGACAACATTCTCCTTCTTTAAAAGACTAGCTTCCCTCATTTTTTCCAATTTACTCTTTCTACCTCTCTTACGTCGTACAGGGAACACCGAGTTTTCATTAACATTCGTTTCATCCATCAGCAATAAATTCATTGGACTTGTTTTCTTTATAATACTATCCTTCTCGGATATGAAATTTGTATCACACTTTTGTTCGTTCATTGAATTCTTCTCACGTATGGGAATGTTACGCCCTGTAGACTGCTTATTAGAAATTAAATTTTCTAATGGTACCAATTTACATGTAACCGGCTGAATATCATTCGAACAGTCACTGCTATCATTATGTAAATTATTACTGTCCTTATTTATGGCTACAGAATTTTCAGCATCTTTGGAAGCAACAGGTGATAAAACTTTTGGTTTGTGTTTCGTTGATGTAACATCATTCTCTTTATCCGATTCAGCATCATCTTCTCGCTGAAGTTTCTCTTCAGCTTTATTTTGAACCTGTTGAACAGAAAATGTATCATTAATACTATTATCCATTTTATAATTAAGATTATTGTAACTTACAGCCTGCAAGAGTTCCTTTTGAGTGTGCTGACAACTGTCATAGAAGTCATATAAGAATTCCAACGTGCCCAGACAGCGCATACAAATAATTTGTGGCAATCCATCGTTCTTCTTTATCTGAAACAATAAAATCAAACTTCTGTGTTAATGGAATGAATTCATCTGCAATAACAAAACATCAAACACACAAAAACACATACATAAAATGGATATTAATAGAGCTTATTTTGCAGGATAATTTTGGGATTAAATAGCGAGGGATCCAAGTTAAAATTCTAGCTGTCCACTCAGCAATTATCATCGTTAATAGACATGCCATATAGAAATTGTTATATGCAAGGTAAACAGATGCAACAAGCACGTAAAGATAACGATGAAAATTAAATAATCAGCAGTCCCAAAAATATCGTACCTTTATTGAGAAAAATTGTGGAATCGTTAAACAAATGTATTTTTTGTTCTTATTGTCGAGAGAGATTGTTATGTAAATAATATATATATATATACATACATATATATATATATACTAATTTATACTGGACATTATTTTTAATGACATATTAGTGTTTATCCTTATTAAAAAGTGTATATATATTTTTATTTCTATATATATATATACTTTTTTCGACAAGTACATTATTTCCTAGACGAAAAAATAGTTTAGCTTAACAAACGCCTCGTAAAAAATAATAGTTATTGCTTATCACTTAACTATCTGAGGAAAAAGTGTATATGTTAATTATAATATCTTTCGCGCGTTTTCAGTAACAATTCTCGCATGAATCACTTGCTTAGAGAATATATAATAATCATAAGTCATACATAATTCTTTGCGCTCCCAACTTTTGTTTAAAAAAAACTTGGCTTTTTCAAGATCATCCGTAGTAAAATGTTACTTGACAAACAAAGAGTTTTAGAATTATTGTCTATTTAAAAAAAAAAAAAAGAAACATTGTTTTTTATTTTACAATATTTAAATTGGTTGAGCAATATTGTATATTTATCTAAACCTTCATTTTAACTAAACAGAACTTATCATTTCAATTGAAAAGAATCTTACAACAATCTTATGAAACTATATTCTATAATATAAATCATGTCGAAGTAATTTATTTACTTTAAGAAAAGAAATAATGTTCGAGCGCAAAGAATTAATATTAACTTCCTTTACAGGGAAGAACAATGTCACGAATACTCGATTCATCGACGCCTTCGTCAAAACGCTCACACAATGTGTGATTAAAATATGTTGAGTTCATCAAGGCACTTGCATACAATTCTAGTTTCGTTTCATCTCGCAGATCACATAATAAATTTTCTTCAAACACCCTTTATTATCTATGCTAGCTTTCTAGCGAAATTTCTGTTACTTTGATATAGAATCCACTAAAAAATAATTTGATATCCGTTTAAACGTGTAAACGTTTATCGTGGATCAAAGGCAAATGTTTTGTTTTAATTTTAAATTTTTCTCATTGGACCTCTACATATGTACACATAAGAATCTTATATGTAAAGTAGATTCGAAAATAGAGTAAAATGTACATTGCACATGTATCATTTAAAAGTTTTGTGATTCTTCTAAAAACAGTCATGTAAAAATACGTAGAAAATATTTTGTTTTTATACACTTTTTTTTTTTTAGATGGAATTATTGACTCTGGAAGCCCTATCTATACTGTATTCACATTTCTGTTGAAACATACTTTGTTAGGAAGCTAAGTGTGCGATAAACAATGCAAATATTTTTGTAACAATTCATTACTGTGATATTCTTTGGCTTCCACACCATCAAAGATTTTCATCACTTTTATATTTCTATCAAATTCCTCGAATTCTTTTTCAAACATCTTTAACAGTAGATTGTCGTATTACGTTCAATGGCTTGTCTTTATTACAGCTTTGGTAAATTCTAATCGGTAATCTTTCACGTGCAAAAATTCTGCTTAATGTAATATACGTAAATGGAAAGAATACTTAAAAGAGCTCGGTAGTTTCTTAAATGCACACCTATATTATGTACAAAAAGAAAGGACTCATATTCCAAGAAGAAAAAAAAAGAACGCCAAAAGAAAAAGAAGAAAGTAAATTGACTGATCGCTATTGTCATTCGTTTGGTAATACGCATTGCTTTCAAAAATAAAAAGTAAAATTTTCCAACTAAGTAAATCTAATCAAATCCACAATTATCACCTTGTTCTTTTGTTTAATTCAAAAACCAAATTTTACTTTTAATTCTTGCAATAGTATCCTTAAAAAGAAAGTCAATATCTAAACAGATATTATTCATTCGCATAATCTAACAATTAAAAAGCGTTTCTTTCGGAAAGTTCTGACTTACCCGTGAATTAAGTTAATCTTACAAAAAATATCAGAACTATTCTCAGTACAATTACTTTTCGTTAGACGTGGTGGAAATCACGTCGGCGTTAGAAGCATTCTTTTGTTTAATAATACCAGTCTTTTTATCTTCGAAATGTCTTTTTCTATGTACCTTCATGTTATCGCGCCTGTTGAACTTACGCCCGCACTCTGGACATGCGTGCAACTTTTCGCCGTGCACGTGCCGATGCGCAGCCAGATGACTAGCCTGAGCGAATCTCGCACCACATTTCTGGCATATGTGTTTCCTCAACCCTTCGTGTTTCAGTAAGTGTTCATTGAGGAATGCTTTCGACGCGTATCTATTGTTACAAATGTTACACACGAAGGGTTTAGGATTAGAGTGTTGCAACACGTGTGCCTTATACTTAGACGCGACTTTGAACGTTTTGCTACAAACCTCGCAGGTATACGTGGTCGCGTGTCGCGTCTTAATGTGTTCGTTCAAAACCGAAAGACTCGAGTAAAGATTATAACAAAATCGACACCTAAAATTGCGACGGTTCTTTAAATGTACACTAGCAACGTGGCTCAGTAATCTCGTACGATACGGGAACACTTTGCCACAATATTCGCATGCCAAATTCTGCGGTGGTAAATGCGATTTCATGTGAATTTGTAACGAAACTTTATGGTGGTAACTTTGACCGCAATCCGTACAAGAATATGGTCTCACGCCTTTGTGCACGTTGTCGTGTTCCATTAAATAGAATTTTGATTTGAATCGTTTAGGGCACTTCGGGCATTGTATCGGCCTAGGATTGGTATGCGAACATCGTATATGTTTCATAACGTCGGACTTACATACGAATTTAGCATTGCATAAAATACAAGTGTACTGTTTGATACCGAGATGAGTTTTCACGTGAACCATACACTTGTCTTTACGTTCGTAGAATTTGCAACACAATTTACAAGAATAACCGTTCTGACTGTCGGACACAACGTGTTCGACGTTGTCGTCCACGCGAATCTCTTCACCGTCGATTTTGAACAATTCCTCAGGATTCTGCGTGGCCTGCCATTTCTGTTCAAACTCAACCGAGTCTTTTGATTTTGTAGAATTGCCATTCTTAAGGCTACTGCTGATAATAGTATTTATTATACTATTCACTTCTACGCAACTTTGGCTCTGTAGAAGATCAACGATAGCTTTATCCACCAAACACGAGCCCTGATCTGGAAACACTCTTGCTCGAACCGTGGTCCCGTCTTCGCTTTCCTTTTTACATAATTCTACAGTGAAACTGATGTCTTCGTTGTCACTGCTTTGAGTTCTGGATTCTTTGACAGATACATCTATGTTTGGAGAATTTGAAACAATAGTGAGAAGTTTATTTAATGCAGATGTTGGAATTTGAATGGTAGGTGATTCTTGTTGCTTTCCAATGATTTTATCAACATTTTCATTTGAGCTGTCGCACGAATTAATATTTACTTCAGTGGCAGTATTGTTGTGGCTTCTAAGTCTATTTGCAATTGGTATATCACTTGTTACTTCATCCGTAGTAGCTTCTGTACTCGGCCTGCTTCTGAGCCAACGTATAGTAGTTGTTTCCGAATTTTCAACAGGCTGCACATCATCTGTATTCTTCTCATTCGTGTTTTGAACATCATTCCTATCTTCCTCGTTATTTTTTCCTTGCTGCTGAGCTTTTATGCTTTTCGGAGTTCTTGTAGCTGCCTTTGGAACACGTTCTATTTCTCTGACAGTCTTTTCGCTTGGAGAATTTAGGTTCTTGTCAATATCATTGTTGTTATTATTCGTTGATGTGCTTGGTGTTGTATCTTCAGTCTTTATCTCAGCCTAGGGATAAATTGACAGAAAAATAGAAATGGGTACCAGAAATGTACTGATTTTATTGAAGCATTAAATATAATCTGGTATTTATGGTATATATTTTTCATTGTAGATTCAAAATATATTTAAAAGATCATTTAAATTTAACAGAAATTGCAATTTTATTTGTTATATTTTTACTTGTATGTGACTAAACCAAAATACCAGATAATACTTTTTTCTTTTATATCATAAGAAAAATGTCAATTGAACAATCTAATAACATCAAAAATGAGCGGTAGAGCTGTGCATTAAGTTGAATACAGACTTACAATTTCTGATAAGGGTGGTAGATTGTATCGATCGCGTAACACTTGTTGGGTGCGAAGACACTCCTCTTGGAAGTCGCAAACGAATTCAAGCTTGCCCAGACACTGAACACAGATCGCCTTGGGCAGAGGATCCCTCTCATCTATCTGCGATTCAAACAAAATACCTAAATACTAAATGTTCGTAATTTTTAAATCTTAATCGAAAATCTGATTCTGTACAACTTCTAATCGATCTTCTGATTTTCTGGTAACAGATAAGTACACATTGTATCGTTAACCCTACCGCTCTATACATACATCAGTAAAATTATCTTGATCTGGTACCCACTCTAATATCATACATCACCTCGATATTTATAATTATTTATTAATGTAGTACATAGACGTATACTTTCTACATAATCATTAAATACATAAATTATGCAAAGTTTTACCAATAAAAAATTAAAGGAAACAAATTCAGTTTCATTCTTCAAATACAAAGAACATTACTGTTTATGAAAATTATAAAATACAATGTTTAACTAAAATACAATATGTATACAATTATTAAGCAAAAATGTACTTCATTTCGTAAGGATTATAGGACTGTATATTAAAGAGCTTATACCTAATAAAATAATCATTTTATAAAACATCGTTGTATCGTACAATTAATAAATTACAATTATATTTACCATTTAACATAAATATAAACAGATCACATGAACTTTAAAATCATAGCTTTACATAGTGTTTCTTTGTTAACAAATATTGATAGTGACAGTATTGTAAACATCATCAATCACACCTTTTTCATTGAAATCAACATACAGTCTATAAGAATAAACAATTATTATTAATACAATTACGAATATTACTTTGAATCATTGGAAAATTGTAATATAACAAAGAAAGTGGATAACTCATTTTTCTCATGCTCTTCTCCCTTCCGGCCATTTTTCTAACCCCCTCCTCTACAATGCAACTGGGGCCCGGACCCCATGGCACACCTTTTATATTGTACTCACCAAAATGTTGATTTTCGTGTAAATCTTCAATCCCAAAAATCGTTTGGTGCCTTCCTCACCGAACACGTCGATGTATATACTTTCACATTGGCCGCAAAGTCGACAAATCTTCGCATCTCCCTCCCCTAGCTCCATTTTTGTTTACGTTGAAGGCTGCCTGAATACGCTTTCGACTACTTGATCGCACCGAAAATTTACCATGGGAAAATTGGTGCCGATATAGTTTCTGTTCGATCCCCCAGCACCAGCCGCACGATACGGCGATACCACGCTCTTCGTAACTCGTCTTCTTCCCGGTGAAATAAACATAAACGATAAACAAAAGACAAAATTATAACGCTGGCGTTACTACTTCCTTGCTGGTCTGGCACGGGGATGTAGCCGCGTTTGGGCCAGACCAGCATACATTCACTTCCCCCCACGCAGTTGTATGAATTTCAGCCAATCGGTGATTTCTTTTTTGCATTATACGCGTACAGGGTTCGCCAATGGACGTCGTTGCCGCGCTTGCACTTAAAATATTCTATTATTCGTTCAACGAGAGAACATACCAATTTCGCGTAGCTTTAAATAGGTTCTCTACTCTTACTTCTAACTTCGTGGCATTTCGTGTTCGTCTACACGGTGGACAAAAGTATATGAAAAAGAAAATAAGAGGTAACATCGAAGATCGAAAAATACACTAAATTAAAGACTACCGGATATGCTGCTCGACGCAACAATGCACTTCCGCAGGAGAAGCATTCTTGAACCAATCAGAGTTAAGCATACGCAAAACGAACGAAAACTCGTCGTATAACAGACATGTTGAACAAATCGTTGAACAAATAATATAGATCGAAAATATATAATATACAAACGCATTTATGTTTCAGAACGGAATGGTATTTAACATATTACCGTATATCTTTATGTTAAAAAGTGGACACTAGCGCCACCTATCAGGAAATCCTGGAAACTGTTCGGCAACTAGTTTCCGAGCTTTCCCGATAGGTGATGCTACCTTTCCAGTCGGTAACTTGCTGAGTAGTTTCAGCCGTTTTTGTATAGATGGCGCAAGAATTTAAAAAATTTTAATTTATGGCGGTCTTTTTGAAATACCAGCTTGTCAAACAATTATTTTAATAATTTTTCGGTCTTGTGGCGATTTTGATTGATTTCTAAAAAAATAGAATCAACGGGAGTCAAAATTGCGTCAACTTACGTTAAATTGTTGCAGTGCGAAATTCATATTATTCATATTTTTATATTAGGATAGAGCAAATGGTGCTTGTTCTCGAAGCACAAGACCCCTTGAAAACAAAGGCATATAAATACAGTCTTGCTGGAACTGTAGTCATTAGTATTATTCATAGTTTACGTCAAACATTAAAAATTTTATTATGCATTCCTATTGTTCTTGTAAAATTCTTGTTCGTCCATTGTATGTATTGTATTATTCAAACCATTTATTTGTACGTTAATCAAGATCTATTTAAACGATATGATACAATACATTGTACGAATAAGAAACAAGAAAAGAATATAAAATGTTATTATATACGTTAATAGGAAGTTATGTGTTAACATCAATGATACTTTTCAAGTATCCAACGTTATTACACAAGAAGAAAAAAGTAAAATTTATATGTCAGCATATCAGTCATAGAGGCGGTATGTTTCTCGAGTTTTTAATGATGCAGTAATTACAATTATATACGTATAGGCGACGTCTGATTGCATATTCAATATTTTTTTTAGGAGCCGGAGAGGCTTATGAAAATACAATGTTTGCCTTTAAACGGTTGGTCAAAGTACTTACTCGTTATTTTATAGTTATTTAAAAGTGAATAAACATTTATTTTCTATTATATTTCAGGGCTGTGACAGTTGGAACAGAAATGTTAGAATTAGATTGTCATCTTACAAAAGATGGAGAAGTTGTTGTATCTCATGATCAAAATCTTTTGCGCAGTGCAGGTATAAATAGAAACATTTCAGAAATGAATTATCAAGATCTACCTCTGTTGAAACCGTGTCTTCCTATTGACTTTGATCCAGGTATTTAAATATTTTTATATACAAATACATTGTTAAGTAATGTGATATAAAAACTACAGTTTAACAGATGTAGAATATGTTGGCACAAAGAAGGAGGAAGACAGGCAGTTTCCATTATTGAAAGAAGTATTTGAGGCATTTCCTAATATGCCAATTAATATTGATATTAAAATTAATGATGATCAACTGATAGAAAAGGTGTCAGATTTAATTAAGGAATACAATCGTGAAGAATATACAGTGTGGGGAAATTTTAGTGATGAAATAACAAAAAAATGTTATAAAATGGTAGTGAATTACTTAAGTAATTTAAGCAATAAGTATATTGAATTCAAGATAATTTTCATTGATTTCAATAATCTTTTTCACAGAATCCAAATGTAAATTTGTTGTTTTCTATGAAACGTGTAACTCAGTTATTACTTCTGTTGTATACTGGTTTATTGCCATTTGTACCTCTGAAAGAAACACATTTGGAGATATTTCTACCTTCCATATATTTGCGGTAATTTGTTATTATATTTCATGACACATTTAAAATGAATTGAATGTGGTAATAACAAAAATGAATACCGTGTTATTATAGGCGTAAAGGCGGTCCAAATCCAACATTTCTACCTTTGGAAAAATTTGTTGCACGTACTATGAACGTATTATTAATGAGGCCATGTTTATTCAATCATCTAAAGGCTCGTGGAATACATGTAAGTTACTAATCTATTGAATTTTAAGGATTATTTTTAAGAATCTACTTTTATAGGTTTATTTTTGGGTCCTGAATAAAGAGGAGGAGTTTAAAAAAGCTTTTGATCTTGGAGCAACTGGTGTGATGACAGACTACCCCTCAAGATTAAAACTATTTTTGCAAAATTATTCTTTTGAAGAAGGTAAAATAGACTTAGAAAATGGCTAAAAAGATTAATAACTATTAGGCAAAGCTAAATATCTGTTTACTTTCAAGAGGTACTTATGTCATTGTAGATGAACACGTATAATGCTTTCTTCTTTAGGTAGTTAAATGTTGTTTAAAGAATATATTTTCATTTTTACATGTTAACTAAAATTAAGCAAATGAGAATAGCTTATTTAGAAAAATTACACGCGGTATGCACAAAGAAATACATCTAGGCTTAATGAAAAAAGAAATATTTTTCCTATGTAATCTAGTTCAGATCGACTTAAAAGCTTTAGATAAAATATTAAGAGATTTTCATAAACATTGTAACTCACGAGTAAAGCATTCTAAAAGTACATTTTCGACTGTAATCAAACGTATCTAATATTTCAGTTACACGTTTGTGAACATGTTGTATCAAACTGTTTTTTACATGTTAAAACTTTGCACGATTTAGTTATAATTTCGGTTACATTTTAGTTCTATTCCCATGTATTCTGCTATCAGTATTATGCTAACTAACAGTGAATGATAAACCAAAGTTACTAATAATACTTATGTATTATTTATTATTATAAATACTGCACATATAGAATGTATTTATTAAATATTAATAATTATTTACGTAAAATTTATTGTTGAATATTTTCAAACACAAAAGTTAGTTGAATTCACAAATAATGTATAACTTTATATACAACATAATAATAAATACTATTGGCAAGTTTTGGCAAAGAAGTGTATAGAACATAGTACAAATTACGTTCAAAATGAATTATTTTTTTAACTTACAAGTTTACATCATATATTTTAATAATTGTTTAAATTATGTATTCTTTTCTATTAATAATGCCTACCAAAGTACAATCTACAAAATGTTTCTACATATTTATATTTTATGAAACTGTCTCTACTGTTATGTCAAAAACATTGTAAATATTTATCTGACTGTATATTGCGTACAAACACATGTACCTTTGTATTTGTAATAAATTTTCATATATTCATAAACTCAAATTTTATACTTCTTACTTGTACAGCCCATAATAAAGATGGCGTCTTCCTATATTGCACTTGGTACAAAAAATTCTTTTGTACTTTTATCTAAATATTTGTAACTAAAAAGTAACTTACATTATGTTTCGGGTCTACTGCATTTATGATAAACAATTCTTTTTGGTTTTTCAGTAGAATCTTGACTGGGTAAAAGTATGTAAGAAAATACTTTGTCCTTACAATAGCAGCAATATTCTTCAGAGGGATGAGAATTATTAAAATGTTTACTTATAGCAGAGTGATTTCCACTGACATTCATATTGCAAATATCACAATATACTTCTGTTGTTCGAAATCTAGAATGTACAGAATCTGTTACAACTCTGCCATTATGTCTGTCATCATTTGTTGATTTATCATCTTGCAAAGACATTTTATTTCTGAAACAAATAGTAATTTACTGTTACGATAAACAGATAGAGGTTAGGAAATTATAACCTATGATGACATACTTACACCAAATTCCCTTTTATTACTTACAATAGTCTTTTCTGCGTTAACTGGAATTATTATTTAATATTGATGCATAATGTTAAATGCTTACAATATTTATAGTTACTTTCTATCATTTACAAATATATTTTTATTACAATATACATTATGGACAGATTTTTCTCACACAACTCATACAAAGTCATACAATAGAGAAGTATGAATCAGATTCTAGCACAACTATTGTTATATGTGATTTCATATGTTTATGTTGCTAAACCTTGATGTTATAGATAATTTAAAAAAAAAGGTACTGAAATAATTAAAAACCGTCATATATTTCCTTAGTCAAATACATTACATTTATTTAAACCTGAAGTAGATGATAGAGGAATTGTATGCATTTATATAGGCTTAATCTTAAAATGAAGTCCTATTAGAGAAAATACTAAACACTTAAGATCTTGTACAAGGTAATAGAAGCATCTTAGTCCTTCTGGATCGCGTGATTGATTTACATCTAACAAAGAACCAGTTTTTGAAGTTGTAAACGATATGTGTTCATCTCCAATTACTATTTCTAATTCCTGTCGCCCGACGCGGTCAGGTTGCGGCCACAAAGAATCATCTTCCTGCATGATTTCCGAGTCTTGAATGATTCGTTTCAATTCCTCCATAACACACTGATGTACGTACGCTTCTTTTCGAATCATTGTATCGTTCTTGTAATTCGAATTATTCGCATATCGTAATTTACCGTCTGGCCTGAATTCGAATTCAAGAAATTCATGACCGAACTTTCCTTTATGACCAACGTAATATCGTATATAGAAATCCGTTGACATCGTAAAGATATACTTTAAAACTTAATCCGATGATCAAAGAGTCACCTAAAATGATAAACCTTCAATTTCTATTTCAAAATATTGAGGACGCTCAAAGTAGAGGTTAAGTTACTTACTGGAATATTTCTTTTTCTTATTGTCGGTTTTTATATAAAGTTAGTGACGAAATCAGTAACACTTACGTTTCTGTTACAATTTTAATAAACTGCTAACTAATATAGAAATGCAGAATTATTCATAAACGACAATATATAAACACTTTTTAGCGTTACGAGTGTCCCAAACATTGGTGATGGCCGCGCATTAAGGCGATTCTTATGTAGGTTTATTATGTATATGACGTGAATACTTCCGTTTTCATAGTTATTACAATTGTCATTTTTAAGCTTATACAACCACTAAAAATTTCATGAAACGTATTCTGATCTAAGATACATCAAATATTTTATGTACTTGATGTTTTCCATGATTCTAATACTGAAAATAAATGTAACGTTCGACAATTTTTTACTCTGTAAAGCACCTTAAATCCAAAATTTGAATACACTCCGTCGTTGTCTTCGAATCGGCCTTCGATAATAAGACGTTATTCAGTGGTAATCCGGTGACACCTGAATTGTCAAAGTTTTGTGCCACGCAATTATCTGACTTGATCTCGAATTAATAATTGTAATCACATCGAATACTCAAAGTAGCCCATTATTTTTCTTACATTTTCCACAATGAGAACCTCTAACGACAAATACAATGCAAGTGACATGTGCGAATGTTAAAGGTATCTCGTGAATAAGTGAAATTTTTCTAGCAATCACTTTGATGTATGTACCAGGGTAGTAAACTAAAGGATGAAATTATTTTACTCGACGAGTTTACGTAAATTAAGCTCGTCATAGCAAAAGCTCAGCCAAGGTGTTGATTAACAATGAACAAAACTCATATGGATAAAAGACTGAATCAATTGCCAACTTGGCTGTGGACTAATTCCACTACATTACCACCGATCTATAAGATGGTATGGGAAGCAGTAAGAGAAGACAAAGTTAGATCCAATGGAATGCAAACAGAGTTACTTGTAGATACCAATAAAGTCTTTCCTTTATTGCTCACTAGTCAGCTTCCCACAGAAGTTCTTGGACATATATGGAACTTGGCAAATCAAAAATACGCCGGACAGCTTACGGAGCAAGAGTTATATATCGTTCTTGCTCTTGTTGCAGCAGCACAGGCTTCTTATACGTTTAATAGTTTAGACATATTGCATCTGCTTCCATTTCCACCTACTCCATATCTAAACATTGAATGTTTAATGAACTTGCAGCCTATGACGCAATTAAATTCTGCAACTAAATTTCAAACTCTCAATGACAACACAGAGGTGGGTTTTATAGACTCGGATGGAAAGTATTCTTCAGAGATTAAGAACAAAGCTAAACTGCATCAACATGGAATCATATCTTCAGATTTAAATGTGCAAATGATAAACACTGTACCTGGAAAAGTTTCATGTTTCGATAATAAATCGTATGCCTCTTCTACCGCGATATGGGATTCAAATAACGTATCGAAGGATGGTAAACAAATATCTTCTTCTCATTTAGATTCTAAATACTCAACAGCGACCGATCCTTGCGATGATTTCTCGGATTTTCAAAGCGCTCCAATTCCAAATACTCCTAACATTCCAATATGGGACACAAAACAAGGCTCGGCTATTGGCAGCAGATTAGCTAATCATAATTTAGGCGTTAAGAAACCCCTGGAGAAGTCAAAGAAAAATAATATAAATACTAAATCTGCTCACGGCACTGTTCAATCGCGTATCACACCACCATCTTTGCATACAGTATCTCAGAATAAAGATCAACCACCGCTAGAATGTTTAACAGAATTATTTCCAAAGTGTACAATAAAGAATCAGTCTAAAACAGTAATACTTAAGGATACAGTGATAAGGAACAATGATCCACCCAAGGACCATAGTGAACGCGTAAGAGATCATACAAACACAGAAGTTATATATTTAAGTAACGATAAAGACGTCGCAAACAAGCTAGAATGCATAGAAAAGGTAATATTATATTTAATAGCGATGCTTGTAAAGGATGTCATTTGTATAAATTTACCTTTTATAATAATTAGGTTCCGGCAAGAATATTGGAAATTTCTCATCAGGATCTTATGAGTCTTCAACTTGTTGAAGATAAATATAGTGCCTTGCGTGCACTGGTTCCGGAAACGAATGTAACTACAGAACCAGATGGAAATGCAAGTTGTAACAATCAATCGCTCGACGAATTTGGAGAATTTGTATCTGCAGAGCAGCCTGCTACCAATACTTCTGCCAGAAATGCTTTAGATACCAACAGTTTTGCCGATATTTTTACAGATTTTGATTTGAAATCTAATAACAATAACGCAAACACTGCAGATTTCAATCTCATGCCGGAAATTTCTGAATCATTTGACAATCTTAAACTTGAAGATACTGTAGAAGAACGTTCCTTAGAAATGGGTAACTAATATGGTATTATTTATTCTATTTATCTTTGTATTATATGTAACAATGGTGTTTCAATTGAAGGTAAAGCTTTGCAGAAGGAAGATGCCATATCAATTAATAGTATAGAATTCATGAATAGTGCATCAAATGCATTAACCCGATCAGGATCTGTGCCTAGTTTAGATCTTAAGTCTTTCTTACCTTCGAATACAGAAGATGAGCTAATAGTAGATACTACACATCAGGTTATTTCACATTTCTTTGTACATAAAACATTAGAATATACTTGCTATAGATAGTTTCAATTTTACAGGCAGAATATTGGGAATGGAAGCAATACATGGAAAGCTGTGTACTATTATTGCAAGTAGCTGCTAATATATTTACAAATATCAGTTCAGAAATTGTACTTAATGAAGTATTAAATTCAGCCCAGGGATATAATTTCCTTTGCAGTAAGCAAATACTACAAGTTCTCAATTCTGTTCCTTATAGTATTTTAAAAGACACTACTATTTTCAGATTTAGCCGAAGTCGCGGCTGTGTGTAGACGCGTTAATTTTTCGTACAAAGAAATGGACATCAATATAATAGGTTTCGATGAGCTGCTAATGGATATCGATCGAATTTGGGCAGAAATGGAACCATTTTATGCAAACATACCAGTAAGATACACCACTATTACAACTTTTTATATCTTATTAACTTAAATCCTTAATATAAATTTATAAATATATAATACATTTACAGATAGTTACGGAATTACCAGCTTGGCCTTTACATCAAGGAGAAGCCATTTGTTGTTCACTTTGTTTAACGATTATTACTAGTGGCGGGGTAGTTTATAATGAAAATAATTATCATGTTACTTGTGCAAATCTATGGCTTAATTGTGTAAACAGTCAGTTGCCAGTGATGCGGCATCCATCTTTTTATTCGCATTCAAACGTATGTCCAGGTAACAGTCATATTTGATATTAATCTGCATAAAAGAAGAAATTTATGTTCGTAAACTTTTATGTACACACATTAACTTATTCTGCAATGATCTGTAGGAAAGAAAGAAGACTAATTTTGTATTTCAGTCATTAGAAAATCAAACGTTAACATTTTTTTTTTAATATTCAGTACATAATGTTAATGGAACATGTGTATGATAAGAGAGAATGGGTTCGACACGAGATGTACATATGCTTTAAATTCAAAAGTTTTCAAGATATTACAAACTAGTCCATTTAAAAATCTGTACAAACACTTACAAAATATTAGAAGAGGATATTAATATACTGTAATCTTTTGAAATAGGGAGAGAGTAAAGTCGCGAGGAAATGTCAGAAAAATTTTAAACATAGTCAAATAGGTTGAAGGAATACAGGAAAATTCTGAAACCTAAACAAAAGTTCATATCAATCAAATTGAATTAATATTTTCGAGATGATCTTATAAAACTTTTAGTGCAAAAAATGAAAAAATTATTCTATTAAATATAACAATAGAATATGATAGTGATCTTACAAGTTGAAAATTATCGTTGACTTGTATCGCGCGGTCTATACACTATTCCTCTGCTTTTCATCTCTCTTATAACACCTGCTGGTAATCTACCTGATACCGATATTGCGTATACGCCTTTACAGAAACGATCTGAAAAAAAAAGAATAATCGAATCTCAGTTATAACAAATATTTATAATTAGCAATTTCTGTCCATTACTTCGACTTAGTTTAAAAAGGAAATTATAAGATAATGAAAAACAATATGTAAAAATTAATACAAATACGTGAAATTAATGAAATCTTAAAATATAATCTTATGTACGCACATGAGCATGTTCCTTAATAATTATACATAGATAGTGTCATGCATTACTAGTAAACAATTCTGTATAAATGTATAATACTTAAAATTAAGAATCTCAAATGCAATCTTCTTAAATTAGAAATGTATTTACCGCATTAATTTGTATTAGTTGCATTGTTTGTATCAAATTATTGGCTTTAAAACTTGTACAAAATGCTGCCTTTCAATATATTTACAAATATAATGCAAAAAATGATTTAGATTATTGTCATTTGCACTGCCAAAAGTAAGAGCATAGAAAAAGAAAGGATTAATTTATTATTAGGTAGTTGGGTAAATACTATAAAATTAAAGTAATGTAGAACAAAGGACAACAATTTATATTATGATTTACTATGAAATAATGTAACTGTTATAATTTTGTAAAGATGTACAAGAATAAAATAACAATATTTCTCTTGCTGAATCCTAAGTTATTTAGTACAGATACTACTTACTTATTCTCTGCCATTTGCAAACCCAGCTATCTTCAGGGCTCATTGCAGCGATCATACTGAAAACCAATTGAACTTTATAAAGTTGATTTCAAAACTTAACTTGCTTAAATGACTTACCCATCGAAGTTAGAGCTTGTGCAGTCAAAAACATTGTCTTTATTATTTTTCATACGTAAAAATTCATCACAATTGTCGCAACCATCGAATTCAAACTGATCAAATGTCTGAAATAACATCAAAAATTTTAATTACATAAGTTTATGTAAAAATTATGATTAAAATTATGAAAAAATATACCTTAACCAATGAACATACTAAACACGCTCTTAATCCACGTAAATCTTTGGGAACTGTTTCCATTGACATAATTAGAATTAAGCGTTATAATTATCTTTCAATTTATTAAGAAATATATAATATTTAACTTTGTTTTGAACGTAAAAGTTATTATAAATTGCGTATGTACAGGCTAAACACACATCACATTGTCTACTATACCGCAGTTCACCAGAGTCCATAACTGCGACGCGCAGATTGGGCGATGGTGGGGGAGATGGGGAGTATCGCCAATCAGGGCGAAGATGCGTACTGGAGATGCGCTAAGAACGAAAACTGGTCTTTTCGCAGTTATGGACTCTGGTGAACTGCGGTATATATATATACATTTACTTAAAGCAGAATTCTTATGAAGAATCTTTATGAAGATTTCTTTGCGGAATTGAAGTTTTCCAATTTTCTATTTTCTTGAAACTTAATTTCAATTAATATATTTATAGAGACTGGTCTTTCTTGTACCTTTTAATAAGACTAAGACTTTTTTATGTGCCTGTTTATATAAATTTTCATAGAAATTATAATTCAAAGCTTGTAACTATTTAAAACGAATGTTTTGGAGCTTGATGCATTAAACGCGGGAAAGTACTACACTATTCGTTACCAGCGTTCGTTGCACGATTGGGATGACGGTGTCTCATCTGAATTTGTGTATAAAAAATACGTGAATATTTATTACAATAACCATATAGTTTTAAAATAGAACTAACAGAACGCTATTTTAGTATTTTATGCATAAATATCATTTAGTATTAATTTCTTTAAACAATTTTATTGACTCGCGTCTGTAACGGCCGCTATCATGAAACCTGGAGGTGGTACGAAAGTTTCTGCCGCCAAAACTGCTGCTTCTGAGGTTAGTAATTAACATGGTTTTTTATTATTTTAATTAAAATGAACAAAAGAGTAGGGATTATCATTTGCACCTTGATTGTATAACAATTTGTACATCTTCAAAAATGCAAACCACTGTGATTTGAAAAGGATTTTATTTGTCCTTATTTCTGATCTCATGATTGTATTAGAAACTTTTCATTATTTAATGCTTGCATACTGCATATTAATTTATTCCATTTAACTTTTCCAATTCATATTTTCATTCAGCTTCTAACTTTACGCAGTATAAATGCATGCTTGAGCTTCACGTTAGATCATATATTTTTATCTTTTATTGAAACAGGATAAGGTCAGAAAGTCTTTGCACGTTTTGCAGCCATCAGCCACGGACAAAGAAAATTTAGTTGGTGGAGGGAGAATGCTTAGATCCGCTCTGCCAGTGAAAGATGCAAATAAAAAGTAAGCGAACAAGCAAGCCTTGTAATTTACTTGCATCCTGAATATAAGGTTTAAGCTAAATCCTATGTTTCAGCGAAGTGAAAGAGAAACCAAAAACTGAGCCCACAAAACGTAAGAAGGTAACTTTTAAGGATAAAGCTGTTCAGACCCCTAGAGGTGGAAAGATTAAAATCGAGGTTGAAGATCTCACTTCTGAAGGTATAATTCTTTTTACCATAGAAACATAAGTAGTTAAATAATTATCAAGTTACAAATGTATTTTGCTATTCGTCGATAGCCGGACCTAGCGAAAATTATTGGGAAGTATTAGCTGAAAGACGACGAATAGCGCTGGAAGACGCTTTAGAAGACAACAGAGAATTAAATGATCGCGTTGAAAAACTGCAGGAAGAAAATCGCGTATATAAAGAAATGTTGGACGAATCGCGAGCACTAATCGAAGTTCTGCAGGTATTATTAAAAGCAATTCTAAATCTTAATTGTTGAAATTACTCTCGTATAATTAAACGTGATCTCTGTGTTTCAGGAAATGCTTGGAGAAGACAGAAATGATATAAATAATTCTCTGGATGATAGTACACTTTAATTCAGTGTTTTGTAATTAACTTTCAACCAGTGCCTTATGATTCAAACATAAAAATAAACATCTCCATATTGGAGATTTATATGACAAAAAAGAGAGTCTGAGTAAAAAAAAAAAGTTTTTATATAGTTAGGGTTAATTTTAGTTATGTATTCACGAAAGAATCGTTCATAATTTACCAGTTATTTGAATAAGATTATAACTGCGACTACGATCATGTTCACCTCATAGGATACTACTTATAATGATATAAATATATATATAACTTTCATTATAATTAATAAATTAATTTTCTAGAATTCACGGTAATCTTCATTTTTTTATATTCCAGCACCGAGTGTAAACCCTATTAAAATTGATCAATTAAATCTTCACACCGGTCGGCTCTACGACGAGAAAGAACGGTACTAACGAAGTCGCTAAGATCACGTATTTATTTCACAAATCTTTGGCATAAAAGACCTTGAATTCCATCGGAAACACCAACGCTATTCATCAGAGTTTTGGCAACGTTTGACTATGGTTTAGTTAATACACCAGCCATAGGTACTACTTGTTCGAGGAAGCCGTAATCTTTATCATCATCATTCGGCGTAAAGTTTATCGGAAGGCTGCCAGGAAAACGGTGTGTAGAAAAATGTTGCTGCATGCGTTGCTGAATGCTGGTTGCACAAAAGCGAACCATTTGGGTTCATCTTGGCCGAGGATTGCCCTCGACAGTTCTCATCTTTCTCGTCCCGTTTAATTGGAGAAGTATACTGTTTCCTTGACGATCAATCGAACGAATAGCGGACCGTCTCACGAATCGTGAGAAGCGGTGAACGTCGGGCTTGCACTGCAGAACGCCGTCGAGAAGCGTCGAAGCCAGTCCTTAATCTTCGTCTTTGAAGCGGCGATAGATGGACTGCACGTAGGTGAAGACGCACTTCCAATCTGGTCGGCGCATCATCACCATGTCCTCGACATCGAGTAAAGGTGCGATCCCGGCGAGTTCACTGTAGAAATATTTCATTACTAAACGATCTACCATATTGATAATAAGAGAGAGAAAAAGTCTGTAAATAGTTGATCAGATTAATTTAAGAAAAATTTAGTTTTAGCGTTACGCTTTCAGATAATCTAATCAACTTTGATTCTTTCTGTTCTAGCAGCTTAGAGCCTATTGAAAGTTTAAAGTATCATTAGTACTCGGCTTTTGTAAACGCCAGTTCGAAGTTCATCCTGCGGTTCTCCGGTCGTAGCGAATGATAGTCGAAAGCGTCTGGTCTGAAATGATGAAGCAAAGCGCAGAATGCCAAACCGTTGTTCCAGCTGGTCGAGAAATTATCCAGCTGCACATTCTGTAACGGAAACGATGGTCCATCAGAGCTATTTCGCGATATTTCAAAATGCGATTATTCTTTGCGTTTCCGTAAATAAAACGCGAGTAACTCCATTTATTAAACGGATTTACCTCGTACTCTTTGGTCTTAGAACGGCACCACGCCAACAGCCGCTCTTTTATTTGCGCCGCGTTGTCCCGCACTGCTGGCTCGGTAAACTTGAATCGAAATTCTGTTGCCGGTGACTTTACAGGACTAAATATAGAGGAAAGCAGCCTTTAAATTTTATTGAACATTCAACAAATATCATTTCTGTTTATGTTATCAATTACAGTTAGATGTTTAGAACTTTGGTAATCTGGCAGACAATTTATGGAAATAGAATTTCAGAAAAATTTAATGAAATGATTAGTTGAAGGTTTAAGTTGGAGTTGTTTTGATCCATCTAAACAATCATTATAGAAATTTTAATTAACTCCTGAACTTTTAGTGGATCACTAAATAAGCTTTCTGAGTCATGAAACAATGAAGACACTTTGAACCAGTTCTAAATGTTTCCTCTGCAAAAGTTCAAAGTACAGTAATAGAAAAAAAGCGTCTTAAAATACTATTATATAAATAAACAACGGTTGTAAAAAGGTTCTCTGGATTACCTGGGTGACGAGGCGGCGCTATTTTGTCTGTCGAGTTCGCGAAACTTGGCAAACGGCGATTGCGGCTTCTTGCGTGCTGAAAAAACGGAACGGAACCATCTGTACAGACAAGCGATAAATGAAAGAACGTATTGCAAACGTTAAAAGGTTCACCATCGAAACGCATTCTGTCATTTTTGTCAATGTTAATCTTCTCTATCTAGTTTGTCAATAAAATTGTTGCGCATGTGAGAAGATTATTAGGAGGATCTTAGCAAAGTTCAACAAAAGAAAAAGAAAAGAAAAGAAATCATTTTCGTTCTTCAGCCTCGTCGACGTCTCTGGATCACCGGACGAGTTCCTCCTTCGGAAGGAAAATCAAAGTGAAGAGATTTTCAGCGTTACAAATCGTTTATAATCGCGATTTGAATCTCGTATTATAAAATTATCCTTCGCCCTGGTGATCCAAGCCGCAACAAGGTGATGACGAAATCGCTTCAACAACAAGAAACACGTGGAGCTGGATCTAAAACTAAAGTTCTAAATTCAAGTGTTATATTCTATCGATTTTCTAAGAAGAGCGTTTAATCTTTCTTTCATGAAATTAAACAGATGTTGATAATATAACGTAGATGAAAAGATTGAATGCTCTTTTTTTTTTAAATGAAGGTATGTGTACGCGCGCAGTGACAATTTTTCACGATCAGAACAGCGGAAATATTTTTAAATTCTAACTCGGTCCGTTTGTTTTAACATTTCCTTCATATTTTCGAACGAAAGTTATTTAACACTTTGACTGCCACGCTAAATTTGTTTTCACAAATCTTATGTATATTATCTTTGATTTTCATTATATTTTTATCCATGATTTCAAGTATCTCTATACGACAAAGAATTTCTAATAATATTAGTGATGGATTCTTATTGAAATTCAAGCGTCACCCATATATGGAGAACTGGTTCAAAGTGTTAAAAAAATACATTCGTTCGACAATCGAAAACGCTAGGAGATTCAGCTCATTGGATAAAGACTTGGAAACTTGGCTGGCGCGTGTTCCGGTTGTTTACAATCTCCAAATAAATTCACGTGTACGAGTCGCTATTTTTGCGTCGATAGAGGACGAATTGCTTCTTCGTCGATCGAAGAATCATTCGTCAGTTCTTTCAGAATCGTTTCTTTAATCAGCCCATTTGCGAATCTTTTTTTACATTTATAATTCTTTAACCCTTTCGCTACTAATGACTTCAGTCACCCGTCCCATTAGACGGTGAATTTCGCATTCATTTTAAACTTTGATAGAGCAGAATATTATTTACATTGTTATTTCTATATTTAATTTCTATTTTACTTTATATTACCAGATTATTATTTTGTTATTTTTATTTTTTAAGCGCGTCCGCGTTAAGATTGCCCCGTACCGGGACAGCGCATGCACGAGCAAGTCCTCCGTAGCGAAAGGGTTAAGATTATATTCCATGTATTGGTAGCTTGGTAGTCGATTTAATTTCGTATAGAAAGATCGTTTCCTCGTGAACGAATGGAACCGGTTAGATTAGTAGGTGAGAGAGGAAAGCATGTCGGCTCGCGAGCTGTTAATAGAGCGGATTTAAGATCGTTCTCGTGTCGCAGGAGCAACATCCTTTCGATTATTCTGCGGTCTGTTAACGCGGCACGCAGGAAATCAGCTCGTTTCCGCCAAGAATCCAAGCGTCGTACTATTCTTTTTATTTTATATAAAATTGTGTGCAGTGTAGTCTGTTCAACGATCAACATTGTCCAAGTATAATCTTCACCTCCCCAAAAATTGTATTAATAAAAAAATAAAATGGATAGACAGTAGACGCTAATTATATTGCCACGGGGATGATTCGAGCTTCGCTCTATTAGCGGCAATATAACGAGAGGCTACTGTAGTTACAGATACCCCTTGCGTTTAGAAAACATACTGCATACTGTTTAGAATTCCAGTAAAGAAAGCATTGTTAGATAAACGTTTACACGATCCTCGTTCATTCTATAGACGAACAGAGTAAGCTTCTAAGGTTTATTCACCTATTTCTGGATGGCTACGAAGAGAATAAACGAATCATACTTCTATAAAGGTCTCAGGCGACGACAACTTGGACAACGTCCCTCGTGAAATTCTATTGCGCCTAACATGTTCTCTAATATATCTATATGTATATGCTATGTTCAAACTTCGTGCACAGTCTCTGGCTGGTGCAAGCTAAAACGCTACTGCGCGGCAAAAAGAAAAAAAAAAGGATTAACAAAGAAGGGCTGTGACTCACTGCTTTATTCGGGCTTTGGCACGACCTTCTTAGCGACTCTGAACGTCCGTCCCGCGAAACGTGTTCGCAACAGCGCGACTCGAGTGGCTTATTAAAGAAAACAGAATGTGAAAATAACAAGAAACAAACAAAGCGCACGCAGGGCGTATCTGTCCGCCCCGTTGGCGCTGAAACGCGGGCAACAATTCAGTCTTGTCTCCTCGATGAACGATATCTTCCAAAGAGATTCTCAGATCTTCCGAGTCTGTCGCAACGGCGATTCTTCGATTGATCTTCCTTGGTTGTTTCTCTCGTCGTTCTTTCCACTCCATGCAGACGATAATGCTATGATAAAGAAAAGAAAAACGTGGTACCGTCGAACCGTCAGGGCACAGTGATCAGCGACGAGAAATTATTCGAACAGTCTTTCAGCAACCTGGCCAGGAATCAGTCTCAGCCAAAGAAACTCGACACGACGAATTTCCTGATTACGCACCGTGTCGAGTGTAACGCGTAGACGAAGAAGCATCCAGTTCGATCAGCACTGGCTGTCGGTCCTCGTGGCTTCCTCGAACAGGTCGTCGAACACTTTATCAACGTCCGCGGTGTTAACGTTCAACAGAGGAGCCTGTTGAGTAGCCGGGATCGATAGACGTAGCTTTTCATCGGACAATCCAGGCATGGTGCGACTGCGGGACAGTCCAACCATTCCTTTGTTCGCTAATCTCGGTGAACGTCTGTTTCTCAAAGTATCTCTATGTTCCACAGGGTCTGGCTGATCGAAGTACTGCCTGATTTTATCCTCCATCTTCTTCACGCTGTCCGCCATGGAGGAAGCTTCGAATTGCTTGGATCTCAATTTCTGAGAGGATGGCGACCTCGGTTTCGGTGGTTTAGGATGAGCAGCGTGAGAGAACGTAGAGACCGACGCTTGAACGTTCGTCCTAGTCGCGCGAGACTGACTGTTAGATAAGGCTAACTGGTGCCAGGACTCTGATTTCGAGAGGACGATGGATCTTGATGGTTTAGTAGCACAAGAGACTAGATACTCGTCGCTGGAGTCGATGTGAGTCGCACCGTTTGGTATCGGAGAGCGTTCTTTCTGAAGAGGTTTCGGTTGGGTGCTGTTGGGTGTCTGCTCGTAGGCTTCCCTGAGAGCAATCACTCTGTTCACGGTCATTGGAGCCGGTGAATGCGTTGCAGGAGGTTCTGGCTTCTTCTGAGGAACAGGCGCTAGGAATTTACCGTATCTGTTTGCTCCTTGAGAGCCAGCAGGTTGATCAAAGTTCGCTGGTTGGTCGAAGCTTCGTTGATGACTCTGACCTGCAGGATGATTAAAGCTCTTAGATTGATTCACTGTCAAATGCTGAGCGTAACTCGAGGTCTGATAACGAGCTGGTGGCTCGTTCAAGGATGTCACTTCGTTCTGCAGTCGACGAACGAGACTCTGCTGCAACAAGTTGTGCCGACGAATCTCGTCTTCGGGCGTGGTGTTCTCGTTGGTAGGTGGTCTGGATCTGGAGCAGGACCACTGTGAAGGAGACGGTGACGAGGATGTATCTACCGCCACTTCCTCGGAACGAGGCTCGGGACTGTCCACAGAGGATGCGACTGTAGCTATAGCGCAGGTGTATCTCGTCACGATTCCCACTTCAGGGCTGATATCCTGGTTCTGAATGTTTTCGTCGTCTGGGAAAGTGGAAGCTTCGTTAGGCCAGTCTGTTGCCTTTTGATCATGCGCGTCCAGAGCGTCGTCTGGTTGATTGTAGTCGTATAAATTAGGAGAGACGAAGGAGGATGGGTACTCACGGGTCTCAGGATCTTCAGTTGGTTTCTGGTAATCTTGGAAGGGCACTGGGTCCGCGAGGATCTGTTCACCTGCAACCTGACGCACGTTGCCAGACATCATCGGGCCATTGATCTCAGAGTCACTGGACAGAGTGTGGTAATTTTGATTATGATCTAAAATGAATCTTTGACGATCCTCGTAGGTCTGATCTGAGTCAGAGTGTTCATAGTGACCAGGTTTCCATTGCTTCCCAGTCTCGGTGTCACTGACCGATATCTTAGGCCTTTCCAAGTCTCCTGAAGTCTGGACGGAAACGTTGTTATAGACCAAGTTCGTACCTTTGGAGATCCTTGGCACCACTCGGAAAGAACGTCCCTCGTCCTGGTGCTCGTCGTTTATTCCAGTCTGCACAGCTACCGAAGAACTGCCACGCAATGTGGTATCCGTGAAATTCTTCGTCTTGGATCGTTCCATCTCTTCGCGTCCACGCTCTTCAAGTTTTACCATGGCACCTCTTATCGGTTCGAACTTCTCTTTCGACTCCCTACGCTTCGGTGAATATCGATGAACTTGTACGTGTTTCTCTGGGATTTTGAAGGAAATCTTACCGTCCACCACTCCAGGAATCTTCTCGCGTTGTTCCATCTTCTTTGAGTCGGTTGACGAAGATTTGCCAACAAACGGAGCGAACTGCTTGCAAAAAGAACGATAATCTAACTTTCCATTCTCCGTGACCGTACCGTTTGCTCTGTTTTCATGATCCAGCCATGGTGGACGAGGAAATCCATGCTTCTCCTGAGAATCCACTTCCGCTCTGGTAGATCTCGAAGACGGTTGTGCGCTTTCTCGGTCGAACATCATTCTGGCTTTCTCTTTCAATGTATTCGTCGGAACTGGAGCGTTCTTTGGCCGGTGATAAGCCGGGGGCACCTTCGACGGGGACACCGAAGACGGTTTCTCGATTTTCCGGAAAGGGGATGATGGAGCGTGTCGAAAACCGATCGTAGAGTCTGTCTTAGGGATGCTGTAATTTGAATTTGAGTCGGAACACATTTCAGACGCACCTGGAAACATTTTATTCGCACGAGTCTTAAGAGACATCTTGTTTCCTCTGTCTTCGGGCATAGCTGATTTATCGAAGCTCGTTTTGATGTTGGAGAACCTGCTGTTCCAGTTCTCGTTAGTCAACGACGACATATCCATTGTTTTCCCATTGATTTTGAAAGGAACCACAGGCGTGCTCGATGGAGCCTCGTTGTTCTTATTTATCAGAGCCAGAAATTTTCTGTCGTTCTCCGTTTTCGGTTGGAAAGTAGGCACGATAGCGTTGATGGAATTGAAGGAGACTTTGTCGCCCACGTTGATGGGCCTCCGGAGGGAAACGCAACCGGTGCTTTCGTGTCCGAGACTCTCTTGAAGCTTCAAATAACTCGGTATGTCTATAGTATTCGCACGCTTGATCTTCGATTTCTTCGCAATGAATTTATTATTCCCGTACTTACCAACACCGGAAGTAGCCAACTCGGCGCGTTGCCTGAGCGCAGCGGCTAGTTTGCTCACTCGAGATCTCTCCTCGTTATCCTCGCTGTTATTCTCGTTCTCTTTATAATTACCGTTTGTCCTGTACGAAGCTTGGTACATATCAGACTCTCCTGTAACCTTATCGTTCCCAGTCTCCAGCTGTTGGATCCCACGATACGCACAATTATCTCTGATCTCCTTATTTTTGTCCTCTAACAATTGACGCTGATTGATGGCGTCTTTGATACACTTGTCGCGGATCTCCTCTGATTTCACAGCCACGTTACAAGGGGACGTTAAGTCTTTCTGTTCCCTCGCGATTGTCAACACATCGTCTCGTTGGTAACCGTTCCTTTCTTCCTCTAACCACTTCCTCGCGCGAGCTAATTCCTCGGTGGAGACTCCTATCGTGTGCCTGGTCCCTCGACGTCTGCGACTCAACGAGGTAGATGGTAAAACCGTAACCTTCTCCGGTACTTCTTCGGGCACTTGCAGTCTGGATAACAAACTGGACACCAGACGCAGCAGTTGTATCTTGCTGGTAGGATCAGAAGCCGCACCGTGTCTAGCTAAAGCAGCCACGTCGATTCTTTCTAAAGTTTCTCTGAGACGCGACAACGCGGTCTCTATGTCGGACAATAAGAGATCCTCGAGGAACTTCAAGTCCTTCTTAAGCTCTGGCTCTTTGCTGTTACCACCCAGCGCTTGTTCCATCGAGCCACGTATACGGAAGTCCTCCTCAGAGTCGATGCCGGAATCCTCGGGCAACGCGGACGTCTCGTCGTCGCGACGGCTCCCTAGGGAGAGTTCGAGGGCCGCACGAAGACTCTCTACCAGTAGCGGCAATGAATTCCACTCACCGGCTGGCAGGTTCTCGTTACGTCCATCGGTGCTACCTGTCCTCACTTCCCGTCCAACGGATTTGTTGTTTTCGTTCGCCGCCGGTTCTATGCTCGAACACGCTGAAAAAGAAATGACACGAGACGATGGTTGAACCCAGACGACCCGAACAAGTCCGATCTACGACACGAGGAAGCGCACGCAACGCGGAGGTCTCTTCGTCTGTAGTCCTCGCCAGACAGTGTACAGCCGGTTGAAACGGAGGAGAGGAACGAGCGTGGAACGCATGACGCGTATTCGCGAGCTGAAAGGGAGGCTGCTGGCTTGACCGGCAATCGCGGCGCTGGCTTTATTTAAAAGCCACGGGATTCTCCGCGGGATTTATTTTCGGTCGCTCGTTCAACGCCTCGCGAGCGAGCGAGCAGCGCGAACGTCACACGGTCGATGCGGATTGGTGTCGGCTAATTCGAAGATCGATGGTACACCTTTCGCTTTTCACAATTTCCCTCTGTTTGTTTGCTTTACCGACGAATAACGAATAGCTCGTTTCTTTTTATCCTGATCTTATTTATATTTTGCAGACAGGTTGTTTGGTGATTTTCAGACTGACTTTAAATCTTTTACATCTATATCTTTCGAAATAACGCTTTTGTTAGATTTTTGTATGTTTTAAAAACTGATTTTTTCATAGAATCTAAGGGAAATACGTTTCTCGATTAATGTTACAGAATAGTTTCGCGCGACAGGTGATCCATTGATCTTTGAATTACACTCTGCATCACGAACCTGGTCGCGTGGCTTCTTTCTTCTCTAGTTCGATCGATTTTCTCTCGTTCTCTGCGAACGTTTCCTCTTTCTTCTTAATATCTTCCTGTTTAGTCTCAGCGAATCCCTTTGTAGTTTCCTTAGGGATGTCCTCGTAGGTGTCTAAGTAGTCCACCGAGCTGGATCTTCCGCTCTCTCCCTCGACGATGCTGTGGAAATCATTTCCGTCTACTATCGCTCGGATATCTGGAAACATTTATAACTATTCAACAGATGTACCAGAGAAACAGGTGGAAAGAACACTGCAGTCAATTGTATGTAATTTTATTTCAAACATTATTAGTTTGAAATAATGAACTGTAACGTGTTAATCCTTGAACTGTGGGTTATTATAAACTACAAAACTAAATCTGTTAAAACCTTTCATTTTTCTTTTTAGGTCACCAATGATCCATCTCCACCGTTCAAGGGTTGATTTAATTTACAGAACAATGTTACCCGATTAGGATGATGATGATTGAGTCTCTGGCTCGTCCATTCAGAAATGTACAGAAACAAAATGATAAAGAATAGTGCAAAGAACGAAAAGTGAATCGAATCGTTTAGTGTAAAAATAAGAGGTCGGTTTTCTGATGGCACACTCAGCAACGATGTTACTTGATTTATACAAGGTGTACGCGTTTTAGTAGCCACGTGCAAAACAGAATCAGATCGTTCCTCGAAACAGAATTGAAAAATGAGAGACAAAGGTGTCGTTAAATGATGGTTAGAAAAAGAAGTCGCGTACATTGGTGTCAGACCGCCACCACCTTCGTACATTGTTCTCTATTCCCTTAGCTTTTCTCGTCGACGTATCGCTCGTTCGTTATCTATTGTATCTACGAATATTCCTAGGCCAGAGATATTCAAAGAACATCGTGACGCCGTCTCGCAAAGAAGACCTCACCTTCCGTCTCCGACATTTTTGATCCTCTGCTACGACTGGGCGCCTAAAATAAAAAATCATTGTTCTTTTATTAATTTGTAATAATAAGTACGAACGAATGGCTCTTTGTCTTTTCAATCTACCTCTTTCATATTCCTGAAATTTAAATTTTCTATTTTCTTCTTTTTTTAAACTTTAACATTTCAATTCTAAATCTAATTTCATATTGAAAATAATGACTTTCTTTTTGATTTTTTCCGTTTTTTCGCGTCGATCCTTATTTAGACGACATTGAGCTACTTCTATTAAAACGGTCCGTTTACTTGCTCGTTTGACGCGGAATGTTTCAAGATGTTCCTAAGTGAACGACGAGACCTAAGGGATTCTCCGTTTCCGCGAAAGCACCGCATGTGACCACCAGCTTTAGGTCGAGACCGTAAAATGACTGACTCTAGGTCTAGCCTGATGCATTTCTCGATGGCGGAGTAGCGTTGGCGGCTGTTTCGGACACGGCAGGCCTCGCGCGAAAATAACTTTGACCCGTTTTCGCGGATACAGAAATTAGGAAGTCATCCGTTGATTCTATGCGAGCTACGATTAGAATTAGTATCCGTAAGTTTCGCGAATTTCAATCAACGTGCATAGAATATTTTTAGAATCCTCTGATGAGAAAACGTGTCTCTGTCCAACTTCTATTTTCTTATACTGTCCTCTATTAAAAATACGATATCGTATAAACATCCGCGTAGTCCATTAGACGAATTACAATTAAAATTCAATTTTATTTCGTTTTTCAATCTTTTTTCTTCGAAACCGTTATAAACAAACAAAAGTCAGTTGTCGTATTGCGAGCTATAATAAATGTTTCCGTGAAAACGTTGCGCAATCCCGTTTCGCTCATTCACTTCTTTCGCGCGATCAACGCGTAAGAACAACAAATCCGTATGTTTTTCCAAACCGTCTGTCTAGTTTTATTCGATCGTTTAGAAACGCTTAAATCATTGCTCGTGAAATGTACGACCGCGCCGCGTCGATATCTTAAAATAGCAACAATCTGTTTAACAACGTTCTATTAAAAAAAGAAAAAAAGAAAGAGAGCATTTTGAAGAGGATCTACACACGTGGACTGGAGTGGTAGAAATAGATACGATTAATTTTTCATTTCAATATAATGCTGTATAGATAATATAAATTTTATATTATCTTTTCTTGGTTTAATTGTTTCAGACGACAGTGAACGCGTTTTGACATTTTGATTTTTTCCAAACAACGCCAGAATTCTTAGCGACGACGAAGAGCCGAACGAAGGGTGAGAAAGCGGGCGAAAGTTCCGGTCAGTTTGCTTTGCACGCGAGACGACCATGATAGGCAAGCATTAGCGCGGCGTATGCGCGCGTGTTCGCGTCCACGAGGCCGCGCTTTTATAAATAGGTCCGTGCGAGTTTCACCGTGGTAGACGTCTCTCGATACCCCCTCGAGAAAGCACCTTCGTCGGCCTTCGACCGGTACGCTTTTTACCGAAATACGACGACGCTTCGCGACCTTCCCGTCCTCGTACACGCCGCGCGATACAAGCTTTTTCGAGTCGACCGGCTACCGGTGGAAGCATGCCAAGTCCCTCGGATTTGTTGCCCCGAAAGTTGGCCGATTTTGGCGACGTCGTACGTGAACGATGAATCGTAACGGGGCGTACGTCCAACGAGTCAATCGTCGGGCGTGCAGAAGAACCGATAGCGATGCGATGACGAATTTCTCTTCCGCGTGAACTCTTGCTATTTAGATACGCTAATCTCATCCTCTCTCTTCTGTAATTCTTGAAATTTCTCTTACAACGCTCGCAAGGTAATCGTCCTTAAGTCCGAGGTATTCGAGACAGACAAAAGAGCCACGGTTATGTTGGTCGACACTTATCTAATCACTCGAGGAACAACACACGATGGTAATAAACGTTCACAAATGTATAGAGAAGGTAAAAGTGATATTGGTTTACCTTGAAGGGTCAGAGGAGCAGTATCGGTGGTGTATTGGGAGCCTACGCGCTCAGGAGACTGAGCGAGTAACAGCCTCTCTGCCACCAGACTCGTCGTTCCGGTGGTTATCGTTGCCGTCGGAGGTGGTGGTGGTGATGCTGGTGGTGGTGGTGTAGCTGGTGGTGATGGTAGCGACGCTACCGTTAAAAGCTTACCGTCACCCGGCTCGAATTAGACCGCCCTGAAATAGTCCCAAGTTATTGCCGCCACTATGTACCAGCCTGGACGCATACCTTGCTATCGCGTACGTTGCACGGGATGCGGTGTACGCGGTGCTTCCGCTATCGTACGATCCGTCCTGTCCAACGATCGAAAACGCTGCCTCACCGGACTGACACCTGGTCGACATGAATGGAAAAGCGGTAGCTCGTATCCGGGATTTTACGTTCCAGTAACTGCATTGATCGGCACGTACCTGTGACGAGGCGGTTCTTGTGTTGCGAAGCGAGAATGCGGACGAGGAGAGTAGTTTCACGAGTTACCTTCGATAAGAGCAGATGGTAATGTATGTACTTGAGGATGTTTGCTTGGTAATTGGGTCAAGTATCAAGGTCTTGGAGGCGTCATTGCTCCTCTATCGTTTGGAGTAACTGGATTAATCTTTGATTAATCATTTTGTGTTTAATTTTGATTAAGGTATAATTGGTCCTTTCAAGATCATAAGGAGATTCTAAAACAGAAGATACGAAATAAACTAAATACTGACCTTCCAACGATATTTCTCTTCTAGTAACCAATACCTGATCATCGCAATCCTTATCTACCGACGTTCTCCCTTGCTCCTACCTTGAATTACAACACTTTTAATTAATATAAAATTTATAGTACCGTGATCAAATTTCCTGCAAACCCTGTCTTGTTTTAGTAGGAAAAAACCCGGAGGAGCGATCGACGTCATGGTTAGTGCAAGCGTTGAAGTCGCCCGCGTGCCATCGAGCATGCCGCGCGATCCGCGCTCACGTGTCACGTCTCGTGTAGTCATCCGGGATCATCGATCTCGGCCGATCAGCCGAAATAAAACGTCGAAGAGCTATGTTACGCTTCGGGCTACCTTTTCCTGACTCAGCTGATCGAGAACACCTTAAGTCTCCTTCGAATCAGTCCCGCTCGTCTTTCTCTTTCATGTCCCCCTCTCGAGGCTCTTGTCCCCTCTACCGTCATGCTGGAAATCACTTTCGAAGACCCGTTAACCTACTGGAGGCCTTAGTATTCGCGCTGTCTTCGAACCACCATGTTAACAGCGCGGGTGTACCTTTAGATCATCTGGCTTTCACAATAATTATCCTTGGATGCTGGTAACTCAGCTTAGCTACCTAAGGTAACAATATTAAACAAATTTCTTTAGCTTCTACTTAATTAAAATTCAATCTAATTTAATTAACTCTACGTCGTTTGATTGATAAACGCGCAGGAAGAGCCTCTGATGCTAAGAGGTTTGCAAGAAGAATTGGAACTGATTAGTTCCTTTAAGTTTGACGCACCAAAGATCATAATATAAACAGGATGAAGGGATGGTTCGATGCGTTCCGCATCGACGGAGGTCCAACGTTGTATAGCTACAGCAACCGCACTCCTGTCACGGGTGACGTACCTCTGGTGATCGTGTTCGTGATATTCGGTACCATCCTCACTGCGTTCCTAGTCATATTCCCTGGCATACGGAAAGAGGTCAGCATTCGTTCGTTCTTTAACAAGGGAAACTACCCCTTTGATACCTTGTAGAACTCGTCGAGCTGAACACGCTTATACCCCATTTTGGGGGCAGATGGCTACTTGTTTAAAAGATATTAACAATTAAAGTTAGTTACTCCTTGCATTGTGAAATATGACAAACTCACTGGCAATCTAAAGGTCCACGGTTCAAATCCATGGTTCCTAACTTCTTTTTTTTAAATTCTAATTTGTCTCTTTTTGAATAACTATTACAGCTGTCCTATAATCATTGCATTTATTAATAATTATGACAAAAGAATAATTACGTACCTTGCATCCTGTAGAGACTCAGCACGTTTCTCACGGTGACCTTGAGCCTCTTCGTCGGAGCGTCGATTCAAGGTTCGTTCGATCCACTTTACTTACTAATTACAATTGAACGAGTGTAAAAAGGTGGCTTCTTTATAATCGTAGTTGCACAGTATGGGTCTTCTTGGCACACCAGCTCAGCGACCATTGTCGGTACGTACAGTGCGTTCTCTAGACAGAAAACTGTTGCTGAAATAGGTGGATACATTGGACTAATGCACATAAACATCACTTACAAACGTGAGTCATTAAAGAAACATTTCTATTGTTCAGACAAAAGTAAGAGATCAATAAAATCTCTTTGGATGCATCAGTTGTTTTAAAAGGTACCTTATATTTTTGCTTAAATCATTTACTTATGTGTATCCAGTCCTACCCAGTACCGAGAATCCAATGGATGACGTGGAATATAATGAAAGATTCTGGTGGAGAAGCACAGGAGAGATGACCAGCGCCTTCAAACAGGCACTTTATCAAGGAGCACCATTCCCTATTGTTTCTCTGGCCGAGTATTTCAGCCTTCATCAAGAAGGCTTCTCCTGGGGAAGCAAATACCGACAAGCTGGGTATTACGCATCGCTCATACTCTGGTATAATCACAGATACACTTTCAACGTCGTTGACCTGTCTCTTCTTACCAGTTGACTAACTACTCTTCTTCAGGACATCATTTGCCTCCTGGATCATGACAAATCTACTTCTAGTAGTTGTACCAAGATATGGAGCATACGGAATGATCATCACCGGTATTTGTATGCTGATAACAAACCTAACTTATTGGGTGCTGTTACCCTGTGAACCATTGATAGCTCACATAGACGGTTCAATTCTTGCTTTCAATTTGGGATGGAATTATTGGCTGGTTCTTCTAGCTGGTTAGTAGTACTTCGTATGTTAATGGAAGAGAAGTTTGAAGATCGGAATTCTTCTAGGTATCGGATGCCTGTTCGCTGGGGCTGTGATCACAGCCATCGACATGATATTCCCTCATCAATTCTCCACTATACTGGAAGTTGACTACGACACACCGTACGACAGGCACGTTATCATCGAGGAGAGTTTTGACACGAGGAACATCAGGCGGAGATTACCTAAAATTGAGGATTCGTTTGGTGATCGGATAATAAGGTTTCGTCTCGATTCATTCGCGCTGTTTGTTAAATGAATTCAGCATCAATAACGAGTATCATTAAATATTTTGATGGTTTCAGTCAACTCTCGTCCAAGTTACAGAGCAGACACGACGCGAAGGAAGATACCCAAGGGGTGATCAATCGTGGATACACGTCGCACGAGTCTTCGGACTTTCAGCACGAAAGCAACGAAGAAACGACGAAGAACAACTGGTCTTACCCATTTCCATCATCCTCGCGAAGAACTATGAGTGGTTGACATTTGTTATTTATCTCTCAATTGTTAATAAATTCATTCACACTCGCACAAGTCTGTTTCATTGTTCGTTAACCCTAGAACTCCTATGGGAGAAATGGAGAGGAGTAAAATATAGCTATTTTTATTGTCTGAAGAATATACGTAGAACTAAGGAGAGCGAGGTTTCCTAGGAGTTCCAGAGCTGAAAGAGAAAATGATTCGTTTCGTGGTCATAAATAAGAAATATAATAATCGTTATAAATAAAGGATGCGCGTACACGCATGAATATGTACACTCGATAGAATTACATGAATATTCATGATAGAGTCCATCGTCCTTCTCCTGTTCATCGATCAGACTAGCCAAAGTTTTCGAAATGATGAATGAAGTACGGTAAACGACGACCTTTATTCACCTCGTCACAGGATGACATCACGCTCTTCGTCAGGGGGCGTGGTCCGCAGCTAAATACTCCTATTTTACTGACCTGTATAAATCCACAATCGTTATATCCTATATCAATCAACTGAACTAAAATAACGTAGAGAATTTATTTTTAAACAACTCACATAACTATGTTTCTTCTGAACAAACTTTAAAAACGAAGTCATGTCGGGCCGACCAAAGTGATTGATGGCTTTCAGCCCAGTGAATATGCTTTTTTTAGATAGCCTCTGAAAATGATTCTCGCAAATGTACTGTAACAAACATAGTCCCAATGTATATAACAAATAATTCTTAATATCTTGAGAAGTATATATAATGATTTACCAGCATGGTAGTACGTAAGTCGAACTTGTGAAAAAATTGCGTGATAAATATATGAATTTCTAATACGTCCGTTACATCCTTCCTCTCTACGTCCCTGAGCACGTCGATGAACCACTCAAAGTGTTTGTGCGATGGACAGATCCATAGGAAATAAACCTATAAGTATCGTAGAATTATTTTAATGAAATTAGAGTGCCATTGAACTATTTAATGGGTGCTCTGTAAATTCCAAGTACCTTTTTACAAGCAACACCTGAATATCTGTTGGTAGAGGTACCAAAAACGAGGTCGTTAAGCATGGACGCGTAAGGAGTGACTCCGATACCACCACCGACCATCACAGCGACCTCGAATTTATACCAGTCTTGGTTACCACCTCCAAACGGACCTTCTATTCTGATTTTCGGATGCTCATCCTCTGGATTATAATTGCAAGGATCGAAATAATTGCGCAGCTTCCAAGTCCAAGGTCCTTGCGCCTTGATGTGACACGACAGGAAGTTCTCGTGCGGTGCCGAAGTTAACGTGAAAGAATGAAACTCATTCGACCTGAAGGCGGTGCACGAGATACGCACCCATTGTCCAGATAGGTACTTTAAATTCGGAGGTCTGTAGAACTTAATTTTGATCACGTCTGATGGTAAAAGCTCGGTTTCAATGATGTCCAACGCCATGTATTTGGTTCGAAGACTCACTACCTAAAAGTTGACGTTAATAAATCATTATTTAACGTCTAAACGAATCTTTTTAATTCGATTTACCTTGTCGAGGGCGTAAATGATGGCGGGACCAACAAAGAATATCCAGAAACGTGGCGAACCCGTTAAGCGAGCTAAACCGTGGATCAAACACAAAGCGTATAATACAACGTACAAACTGTGGGTTGACCAGAAGAATTTATACGCTTTTTGACGGATAGTAGGATGAGCGAAGACGAAGATTATCGTCATCACGATGAACAGAAGGATTCCGGTCAAACCTAAGAGAATTAAACGTCAATAGCTGAAGGGTATAATCAATGTTCAAAAAATCTAATTTATTTCTCAGTCACCTGTTACCGTTTTGAAAAGCCAAAACGAGATCGTCAAACGAGCATCGCTTGGAAAACTGATCTCACTGGTCAGACACCGAAGATGAGCCAGTGGCTGGGTGGAGATATGATAAAAATTCACCATGTGACCCACTGTATGTAAAACGGAAAAGAACAGCGCGGTACACGCTGCAATTTTATGGAACTGTATATGAGAATCTAAAGGAATGTACTGTTGAATGGTGAATTCTTTCAGTTTTGTCAGCAGATTGCGTGACATGGTTAAAAGTAGCAGACTGTAACAAAAGGACAGGGCAGCCGCAGATCCTCTGGTAATGGCAATTCCGACACCCATTATGTGTCTCAGATCCGTATGTTCAGCCATAAATGAATAATCTACAATTGAAATAACCGTTAATCATATGACTCTTTGAATATAATTAAAAACCATTGCTGAAACGTACAGATAAATCTCTCGACGAAAAGAGCGATAGTCGTGACGTAAAACACGAACAGGTAAAATATATTCTGTCGATTTTCCTCGAGGAATGTCGACACAGCGTCCCACTGTTTGCGTGTCCAACTCTTTGAATCCTCTGGAGGAAGTTGATCGATATGGAAACTCGTCATACGAGCGACATTCGTCGACGTGTCGAGGAAATTTTGTTTCGCGCCTTTGCAATCGAGACCGATCGCCACGAAATCGCCTTTGTACTCTTTCATCATCAATTTGAAGTCGTTGTAAGTGAGGTAATCCTTCCTCTCTAGGCCAGCATCCTGAAGAACAGAGCAATTTAAGAATGCCTCGTTTATGTAACAGATAATATTATTGTAATTACTTGAAACATTCCGTCGATCAACTCGGTGACATGATCGTCAGACAGACTGGTAGTTCGTGCGATTTCTACTAAGGATCTAAGCATCTCTGATAGCTCTTCTTTGTCGATCACTCCGTTGCTATCCTTGTCGCACATGTCGAAGATGATTCTCAGTTTGTCCTCGGTTTTTCCTCGCGAGAAAAGTAAAACAGTATCGAGGAATTCCTGAAAGGCATAAATAATTTTGAGCTGTTTCCAAATCCCATAGAATATAACTATAAGATTTGGAGCTAAGAATCTTAATAATAGACTTCCATTAATCCTTTTGCTGCCACGGTGGTCCCATGGGACTTGTTTTTTCATTTTACTCATGGTGGTCACCAGTGACCATTGTACGGTTATTTTAATATATTTCGCAATTCTTTGCCATTATAAAATTTTTAATATGAAATTTCTATTGTGGCCCACTGGTGCGAGTTCAAAAATTTGCGTGGCAGCGGAAGGGTTAACATTGATTCACACCTGAAACGAAATACGTCCATCTCTGTCTTTATCAACGATGTTAAACATTTTTTTCACGAAGACCGCATCCGCCCGCATGCCTAGCGCGCTGGCGAACTCGCTTTTAGAAAGCGACGTCCTCATCACGGTGACCACTTCGCCGCTGTCGCTGTCCTCGGATCGTCGTCGCCTTTCACCAGGTCGCAGACCAAACGTCAGTGCATAAGCTTCCCTGAAGAACTGTCGCAAAAAAGACGATCTAACGTTACGTATACAGGAGACAGGAATACAGGTATTCAGCCTTAATAGGAATCGACTGGACTTCGAGTCGAAGAGGGAAATCGAAGGAAAAAAAAGAAACACCTGTTCAAGTTTCTTCTGTCGTCGCTCCTTCGTTTCCGCTTTTGCCAGCATTATGTCCCGACTCACTTGGGACATTGTGAAATGCTTCTTATGGGACGATAGAAATGCTTCCAATTTCGCAATAAACTTTCTACGCGAAGCCAAGGAATCCAGTTCAAGGACAAGGTCGTAGTCCCGTGGTATTCGTAACAATACCAATGCTTTCCGATGCCCATTCTCGTTCTCCTGCAAGATAATTAATGTTTAAAACATAAGATAACAATTACGTCTGTCTCTGTTACACAAGAGAAGATAACGCAAGGTAATCGTGATAATTAAAGGATCTCAACGAAAAATAATGAATAAAGGATCAGAAAGGTTTGTAAACGGCAATCATTTCGAACGGTATGAGGCAAGAGATATTTTTCGCCGTTCACGAAAGCGTGGAATTACAGGTTTCTACATTGAACGGCTAGATTTGGTTAATTCGAAAAGAACCAGTCGGAGGAATTTTCACGTGTTCGTTTTCCCCTTTGTGAGCAGGTATAGTTGCGCAACGACCGGGGTTCCGTTCGTTGGTGATTTCTTTGCGAGATTCCCCGGTGAAGTTTCATAAAACGTTCACGAGATCCACGAAGGATAGTTGCGGCAATCACCTGAGACTCCTCCATGGTAATCGTGTTCACATCGTTGAAATCGAAGGTGCGCAGTTTCTCCCCTTTACGATCGACGATGTGCAAAGCAGCTTCCGGGCCGAATTTCACCTTGACCAAACGACGATGGTTCGCGTGCAACCATTCGCGTACGATCATCTTGTCCACTGAAATTTTTCCGTCGTTTCGCTTTTGGATCGCTTCTTGGAGGATCTTTAAACGTCTTCTGCGCCGGTTTTGGAGCTTGACTAGGCCGTAACCGGCACCGGCGCAGAGAATTGGAACGAAACCGAGAAAAATACAGGCGTATATGTACACCAGTTCGCTTCCCTGTAAAGACACCATGGTATCGTTAATCTTATAGAATATTAAAAAATTATTTTTTAAGCTCAATACTTAAATTTTATACACAAATAAATCAAATTATATTTAATTTACCCATTATTGAATAATTAAAATTTTAAAGAAAATAACGTGATGTAAACCTGATCACCTCAAAATAATCGTAACGTTGCAATGGAATGCATGGCTCCAACATGGTGGAATTTAGCTGATAAGGTTGAGGGCAAGGGTCTCCTTCCTCCCATGTGAACACATTCATCTGAATAGCATCCGATGGTATTCCAGTCGCGTTTACTATTACATCCCATAAAGTAACGCGACGAATCTCCTCGATTTCACCTCTGGTAAAAATCCTATGGAACAGACCTTACAGTTATCTGTAAACTTCTTCGCTGATTACTCAATGAGGGTCGACGAGTTTTCTTACCCAGTCTCTGAATTCTCGAACCAAAACCTGTCCGAATCTCTCAAACGAAGGAACTGTTCTTTAATCACCGTTGAGAACAGTTCACCTGGACCAGCGCTGGACTCTAACATTCCACCAACGTATACGTCTACATTATTTAGATTGTTCGAATGGATCTCAACTAATGTACGTAGCAGAGAAGGGTTCTTGTTGAACAATTCTGGATTGATTTCGTTCCATGTTTTTCTACGGGGCAGTTTGAAATGCGCTCTGGCAGTGTTGTAATCCGGAAGACCGTTGTCCCTCCCACGCATGATATTCAGAGCACCTAAATCTCTGCGAGAGAATTCCATGGGGCCGAAAAGGTTGTTCCTAATATCGGTACCGAGAAGATTATCTTCTTTCTCAGATATCTGGGAACTCATACCCATGATTAGTTCCTCGATGGTACTGTTAGTTAAGACCTCCTGTAAAAGTCCATTGGAAGGGTAATTAATGTTGCATATTGTAAAAGAGTTACAAATTTCATTACAAAACTTCCACTTTCGCTTACATTCGAGTCCCACCAGGTGGAACACAGTCGTATCGCTGCTTGATCCGTATTGGTTCTCCTATATTCGCAACTCTCATCGCGCCTGTATATACCAGGCGGTATCAGAGTGTGTCCAAATCTAAAGGCGGCGCTTTGAAATATGTGACTGATACCAGGATGGAGATCTGGTTTGTATCCAGCGTAAGGAGGCACGTCCTCGTTCAACAATATAGGAATATACTCGTACAAAATGATATTCTGCGAACAGAGGAATAAAAGAAAGTTTGAAAACGGGCTGTACGAACGGAACTGAAAGATTTCACGAAAGATTACACCTCCTGATTTCATATTAGTTCTTCTAAATAGTACAAAATTAGTATATGTCCAGTTAAGCTGTCACGGTGTACAATTACAAAGGAATCGTATAGCATTACGACAACAATGAGATGACAATTTATATACCGTGTGCAGAGAGGATGAATTACATTCGTGTCGGTGTAATTAACGCGGGTAGCCTGAATTAATGGCTACATTATTACAAGCTCTACTGAAGACCATACTACCTGAAGAGTTCCTATAACTATTCGGCGTGCTTTCTGAAAGATATCCTCGTCAGACATATTAGGATTCTCTTGTTGTATACGAGCTGCTAGAACATTGTGCCATCGATAAAAAAGTATTCCCAATGCCAACAACGGTGGATGTTGATTCGTTCGTGGATCTCCGAGAACTGAACAGATTAATCGAATTATCATTATTTTTATGAAATATTAAATACCAATATAAAAGACACTTGTACGATGATGTTAAGCTTACGATAGAGACGTTCAGGACTGAGCATCCTCATCACATGTGGCACCGCATGATTAAAAAGCGGAGCGCGCATCGTGTTTCTCACAGGAAATTTTCTTGTTGGTTCCATGAGGAGGCTGCCGTTCTTGAAGGATCTCATAGTATTCGCCCATGCCTCGCTGCTCGAATAAATGAAGCTACCGTCGATCCAGCTCGTCACTTTGTTTATCTGCAACCTCACGTATTCAGAGCTACTTTTCACCACTTATTTCCCAGATTTAAACATTAATCTGTAGACTGTTGTTTATCAATTTGGATTTCATAGAAGTAGGACTCCTTGTTCGGGCAGAGATTTCTCATGGAGGTATTCGATGCACCTTATTTAGCAATGCAATTATGATACGCGTTGAAAAAAAAAAAATACCTTAAGAGACGCCTTATGGGCTACTTAATGACTCCTACTTTCCCCGTCATTAACGGTAACGCTTATATACTTGTTTCGTGTACAAGAAGAGTATTGCGTAGGATTCTCTTATTTTTTTCATAAACGAGTTACGAGTAACAAAAGATGGATGCTGATTTTAAACTTAAATTTTTCATTGCATTCGTTTTGTACATATTCAGATCTCAATGTCGAACGATTCTAACCGGACACGAAATTTCAATGACGAATCTGAATGCGAGTCATTGAACGTCATCTTGACCACACCTATCAGTGAAGGGGTATATACTTTTGAAAGCAGGGTCTCGTTACATTTACACCTTTTCTTCTGGCTGTTATATTATAGGATGCATGAGATCATCAATTATTATTAGGATAAATAACGAAGGATGTACAATGTAGCAGTGGGGTCAAAATTATTCGCTCACCGTTTAAAACAGAATACCTCATTTAAAATTGGACCAATTGACACGAGGTTTCACGAGAAACTATAAAAATTAATTTACTAAAAGCTTTGAATGAAAAGTTTCAATAGAAATATAAAATCGCCCGGCGGGCCGCGTGTTGGCCAGGCCTGATGTAGATTATCCCAAAGGTGTTAATTATGTTTAGTTAGGAAAACAAGGAATTACCTGTTCACGAGGGCTATTAGGGCTTCGTCCGGTTTGTCGATCGTAATCAGCCCGACGGAAGGGAATGTACTTGTTACCTTGGCACTCCTTGTCGAAAACCGGATCGCATTTGTCCACGTCGATTCGGTGATACTCTATGGGGCAGCCGCTTTCGCTGGCCATGATTATTTCTGACGTGACCAGTTGCCCTGAAAAATGTTTCCGTCTACGCTGGTGAAAAGGGTTGCCTCAAGGAAACGTGGAAATACGTAAGGTGCAACGAGCGACCGGTTCTCTCCCATAAACTTTTCCCCTGAATTCGTTTCCCATCGGATCCAATGCGAATCGTGCACCAATGGAATTTAGGGAACCGTCCTAGTTTTTACTTTCCACCTCGAGAATCCAGCACGCTTTCCTCAACCTGCACTCGTTTAGCCTTCAAATTTCATCGTCTCGAGTTTCGGGAACGAAAGCGGATAAGTGGAAAGTGTTTACGCTGCTCTGAACAGCCGAAGGAATCGTCTGATTTTAGTTTTCTTCTTTTTCAACTCTTTAGTCTCCAAGGCACCTTGTGACTTATAAACGAGCTTGAATATTCATATCTAAAAGGTCCAGTTACACTGCTTCAAGATGAGCAGATAGCAGGAACAATAGAAACATTTATCTCCAAAGAAATGTTTTTTCATTAACTCTTAACGTACCAAGGGGAGTCCTCGAAAGACCCCAGAGAGTGATTTTTGATTCACTACTTCCACAGTAAAATGTTGAGAAATTTTAAAAATACCATAGGGTCCTCAGAAGACTGTTATGTTAAGTATTAAAAAAAGGCTTGGTATGTTAAGTATTAAAAAAAAATTGGAATAATCTCAATAACTCTGAATGCAAATAAAAGAACAGTACGAAGATGATCAGACTGAACCAAATAAGTTGCACGTCTGCTGCATGAAACATTTTAAAACGAAAAGTGGATGAAAAAGTTCTGAGCAGTACCCGTTTCGATTCCGATACCCGGACACCTTGCCGTTTACGCAACAAACGTAATATAGATATTCGAATGTACCGTCACGGTAATTTCTTCGCTTGGTAATTCTACATTCTATCCTTGCGATTATCAGATTGATCGTGAATACGAGTAAATGAAGATTTAGTCGATAAATCAAACACGCGTACGCTGCGAGCATCGATAATCAATTTTCTCCAAAAGAAATCATCGCTATATTCTACTTCACGATATTACGTGTTACTCTTCTGTTATAATTCTTCTTTTCTTGAATAAGCACATCCAGGAAAATCCAGATCCTGATTCATGAAAAATATCTTCATAAATCACAGGAGAGCATGCTCAAAAAACAAGTGAAATAGATTTTGTTGAGAAAGAAACTCTTGCATGACGCATCAGGGTTTTTTAATCCCTTTGTTGAAATGTTAATTAGTTCAGACACATTCTGAATCTCTCTGATTTATACGTGAATCATGAAGAATTCCCTAATTAAGGAAATTTAACGTGTCATAAATTTAACTCTGCATATAATAAAGATTTTTTGCCCCTATGCGGTATTTGTCCTTCAAAGAAGAATACTGTCGCAATAAATAAATTTTCAAACAAAACTTTTCAATTCCAAGTTGGTCTTTTCTTCTTCAAATAACAGCCATTAAAGTTTCTTATGTCCTCTATAATCTTCCTTTGATATTCAGTTAACAGCTTTTCCTCTCTCGTAAAATATCCGTTTTTATCTTTCTTAACGAGATGAACGACGAGCAATTCGACATCGACAGAGCCAAATTGGATCCTTTCCAAATTTCAATTTTATTTTCGCCATGTGATCCGTGAACTCTGTACTTGAACCGGTTGCTCGTGCAAAAAGTTGAATGAATATTAAAGCTTCAATGACTTGCTTTGGGTGTTAGTGACTTTTCACATTACTATTCGTATCCACTGTATCGTGGAATAACTATTCGTATATTAAGAAAAAGCTTTCCCAATCTTATCAGTAATTACGATAAATTGAAATTACACATTAACGAAGCAAAGTTTGAAACACCAAATCAGAAGATACGAGTACGTTAACACGTTACTCAGGGTAATGAACGAATCTCGTGTCTAACGTAGAAAACCTGAAACAGGTATTAATTAACGATCAATAAATTCTGGATAAAATTGGTTTACGTAACACGAGTAGTTCCCATAATTTTGATCAGTTCGTTGAAACAGGAGACGCGTTAATTACCGTGAGCAACGTTTCGGGAATATTAAGATTCTCACCAAAAAACGCGAACAACGCTGTTCTGTTCTTGACCGAAGGAAGACCGTCGTCACCTTGCATGAATAACTGACTCAATTTTCTTGGCGAAGGTCTATCCTGTCCTGCCATCATGTACACCCCATCTGAATATGCTGCTGGCATCTTTCGTATCAGCCTGCTGTCTACGGAGGTAGAAAACGTGTCAAAGATCGTTGGATACATCAAAATTTCATTAATAAAGGGCGTTAAGTGTTTTCGACATCTGTGAAGTTTTATATTTATTTGCTCGGTAAATTTAACTATTAATACGTTAAGAAATTAATGTCGTAGATTCGTTTGCTGCATCCTGTAAAATTAATTAATTGCTAATGTTTTCATTGGCGACGCGATTCAAAGAAAAAATTTGAAAACGAATCGCATAAAAAAAAAAAAAAAAAAAAAAAACAGCCCTGCTTCTTTGAAGTCCAAGAGCAGACTGACTGGCCTCCGCGCAAAGCAACTGGCTTTATCAGATACACCTGATCCATTTACCTAGGGGTGAAGTAACGAGCCCTCTGATTGGCGGAGTACGACCGATCAGATAAGCGCAGCTATGTGATTGGTCGCAAGTGTTTAATCAGTGCGACTATTATCGAAATAACGTATGGTAATATGCTAATATACATAGGACTAAATGAAATATTTGAACAAGTGATTGGAACCTCGTTAATACTATTTTAGAAACTTCCCATTACCACATTAAAAAATCATAAAAGATTACATTATTTCAATTGCCAGAGATAGAAAGTTGTTGTACAAAAAAAGCAATGGATATTTGAAAGACATTCAGTGTACAGACCTGCTAACGACAGAAAATAAAACATAACTGAATTTTGATTAGGATTGCGGTACACATTTGCGGCTATTAGTAGAATCGACAGAGACCGCAATTTTCAAGTTTAAAGAACCATAACATTTCTGCCCTCCGAACAGATTACGTCTTTCACGTGGCTAACTTTTTACCACTCGTTTTATTGCGGCCGTACTGGAACAAAATAGCGACTTTTTTCGCCTTTCACTCTTCTCACGCGATTGATTTGCACGTTGTTGCAATTCGAGCCGCATCGCAATGTCAAGAAGAATATTCACAACAATTTATAGCAACCGATAGCCGTTCCGTTTCTTTTATCTTCGCTTTAGACGATCATTCCTCTGTATCTAAATGTTAATCAAGAATCAACATTCCACCGAACAGATTTGTTACATTGGATTTTCAAATTGTACATTTTGTTTAATAAAAATCGTACTTAACTTATTTCTGGCAATTATTATACATAAATCATCATCAATACCTATTTCCAATGCTAAAATCTCAGAGCCGGCCCTGCCTATTTCCTTCCAACAGCAATTTTAAGGGAATTCAATTGAAATGGAACAGCAAGTAAAGTTTACTTATTCTTCCTGACAGGAATTTACAAAACAAGCAAACAATTTGAAATAACTTGCCAATTGATCCCCAATCCGGATGCGCGAGATTGTTGTACCATCCGTCGTATCTCTGTTTATCCGCATAATTGTGCAGCACTCCTGAAACAAGCGACATCGAGTCGGTCAGAATTTTATATTGAAAACATTTCTGAGAAAACGCTAATGAAATGGGACAATCAGTTTTTGTACAATAGACTGTGAATTACGTTCTTAGAATAGGCAGGATGATCTACGCTAGCGAAAAACTCGAGGCTAAGCTCTGGATCAATCCATCATCGCGAACAATCATCAACATTGAACGAATCATTCCTGAAACGATCACGGTTAAACAATAATTATTCGGAGATTCTAGCATGTACATAAATTAATTCGAGTCTGAGATTTCAGTTAAGATATCCAAGAGATCCGGCTATCATCTTCTAATTTACGACTGACAAGGCTGCTTGTTGGTCGTAAAATATTACACATTAGAATTTCCATAATTTATTTTACAAAATTACTAATTTTTAAATTATAGGAGATGAGCAGCATAAAAAATGACATATTAAAGTCATCAAAATATCAATAAAACTTGGAAAGCTTATAATTAAAAGAAAAAATAAAATCAAACAGAAATTCTTATCCAAATCTTTTTACCAACTAAGCTTACAGCCGCGACCGTTGTACACCGCATCGCTAGTAGGCTGACATAAATATTTCATTAAAATACTCGAGTATCTCTCAGAGCACTCGTATTTGTACAAATGTAAAATATCAAAAAATGAAATTCATTGAAGCATCATTCCTCTACAATTTCACTCTCGATACACTTTCGTCGCTGATTCAAACGACTAACGGAATCGCGCGCTTGCAAGATTAGAGCGTACCGGTTCCAGCAGGCAGGACGATCCAAAGTAGCCAGATGAGGGAGCAGAGTAACGGCGATTGTCCTCTGGGTGGTCGTCGTCGGATCATCGTCACCACAGAACCAACACACACCCTTGCATTTCTCTCTTACAATTCAATGTTTCATAAACTCCTTGTTTGGTCCTCGCACTAATCACTCGCGGGCCAACGAAAACCGATAATGTGCGATTCAATGGCAAGAGCGCATATTGACTGTCGCGAGATCTCTTCTGGAGGAAAGGATCCGCGTGCACCACGGCACGGTACGGCACGGCTAACGCAAGGTGACAAAGGAGAGACCGTAAATTCGTCACGGTGAATAAAATCGAGGCGAAGGAATCGACGATGCGTTGGCGAACGGAACAGCGGAGCACCGGCCAAAGGACAGAGACAACACGTGCGACACGGCCGAAAGAAAAAGAATCGAGGACCGTTCGCTGCTCAGGGTATGCCTCGTGTCCGCTTCTCCAAGCAGGATTCCCCCCACCTGCGCGGTGTTAAAGCACGGGAACGGTGAACGAGGGTATACACTCGTACTCGAGTGGTTTGGGCCAAGAGCGCTCGGTTGTTGGCTGTGTCGTGTATAGCCGTTCTTGGCTACGCGGTGAAAGTCGCCGGCCTATTTGTTTCGTTACCGCGAACGCACCTCGCTCTATCCCTTTCTCTCTCTTACTCGTTCCACCTTCGGCATCCTCCGTTCGCCTTCCACCTACCCTCCGCCTCTCAACGTCCCTCTTCGTGTCTCGTTCATATTCGCGTACATCGCGACGTAGCGGCGACGTCACCGCAGGCGCAGGCCTAGTTTTCGAGTCCGCGGCACCGATTACCCAAGGCGAAACCTCTCTCGGTTCTCCGACCTGGTGTTTCAAGGTCGACGCCTGACGACCAACAACGTCCCGACGGGTCCCGCGACCCGGGTCGCTGATTCTCTTCTTCGGCTATCCATGCTGCAGGCTGAAACTATGAGAAGCGGATGAGAGGAGGTAACCTTGACACGAGGAACTACTGTTCTGAAGTATAGCTTGGAATGTTTACTAATCACCCTTCACATTTAGTCCAGGATATAATTTATCTTTTAGAGTATAGAGGGAGGAAATTTCTTCCTCTTTTCTAAGTGATTATTTTGTACAGTTCTATTCGGTTATCAACAAGCATGTTACCTTACTAATTGAAGAACAGTCCTCTTTGTTCGCAGCATGGGAACATTTGTGTAAACTTTCATCCTCCCAGCACGCATAACGAAGTTTAGACAGCAACGTAGTGTAATCAAGTTAAGGCGTTGATACCTTGTCAGCTTTCGCAATGTTAGTCTTCTATAAAATGTTAGTAGTGTTATAAGATCAGTAGAAAATTTTGAATATCCCTAATGAGGTAATAGAATTAGACGTTCTCCAGTTGGAGGTGAGTCAACCGGCAGAGAGATCGCTACCGGGCAATTTTTATCGCCCTTGGCACGAATCAGCAATGGCGATTGCATTTCGAGAAGGAGATCACAGGAGCATATTCCTTATTAAGAGTATATGTCACGCGAAGCATCGTTCTTTTTCTGCTTGGCCGCTCCCTTCATATTTTCTACGATAAGTCATCAATCACCAGTCTGCCTATATCTAGGAAAAATTACCTGAGATTAGTACAAATAGGGTGAAGAACGATATAGCAAAGTTAAATGAAAATTCTAGCACCTGTATTTTAATAACTCATTCGCTATTGTGCTCGAATATCGTGGTCCGTATATACATATACAGAGATTGTTCGACATTGGAGTTTCATATACCCAGGGTATAATACCACAAGGTAAAACGACGTTAAAATCACATTTATCCATCGCTTACTCCATATGTGACTATTCAGATCGTTCCGCATAAGGGTCGTTTATTAGCATATCGTTCACTCATGCTTTCATTCGATTCGTTTCTTCTTTTTTTTTATATGTACTTAGTACCATCGTGTTTACGGAAAAAGCTGAGGAAAATTCGCGGTTCGTGATCTTCCGCAAACAATTACCACACATGCTCTATACAAACACCAGCTCCGTCCAAATCATTCGTCACGCATACATGACTGAATTTCAATGTCCACTCTTAACCGTGAACCTGCGATCTCAACTCGTTCAAAGAGCGATCCTCACGCGATAATTCAGCCAAACGACGTGCCAGTTTCATGTGTCCCGATTTCTTAACCCATTGCCTTACTAACGAGACAATTTCTAACTTGGAACAGCAGATGCGCAGTTTCCAGCACCGAGTCGATGAGTTACCGATTCCCAAGTGGACATCAATGTCATTCCTTGCAATGGAGCGCGATACCAATTGTCATAAATCTTTCTGTTTTTCACGGGATTCGTGCGAGGCACAAATTCATTCGGTCTTTCTTGTCAGCGGATAAACGTTATTCGAAGAATTCACGAAAAAGAAGCGTTTATTATAAACGAAATGGATGGCTTTAGTTCACAGCTCGAAGTAATTAGAGGAGAATATTACAGTGTTTTTTTGTAAAACTTTCAACGATTTCTTGAAACACTAAATCCTCTAATTAGTTCAAACGGTTACAGAACGTTACACAGCTACACTCCACGCGAAGAATATACCAACTGCGATATAAATGAATATTTGCACGATAATCAGGCGTATAAAAGCAACACGCTTACTTTTTTTACGCCCGTAGTCGCCGCCGACAGCGTTTTCATTACATATGACCCGCACATTCTATGCGTATATTCAAGTACAAACCATTCCATTAACGTGCTCGCACCCACTTAACGCACACGCAAGGAACCGAGAAATGGACGGAGGATTTGAAAAGTTGGAAGATCATTTGGAGGTCGATCCAGGGTAATAGTAAACGACCGCTGGTGCTGGAAGCTGCCAATGCGCGGCATGAAGTTCGATCAATTGCAAAATGGTCTTTTTAACCGATGGTAATATCGTTTCCTCCGCGAGGAAGGCGTCCCTTAAGCTTCCTAACAATTGTTGCAGCTGGGCTGGCAACTCGGTGTCCAGATCTTTGCCGATGCACGTCAAGATGAAGAACAGACAATCCGTCTTTAACGCGAGAAAAAGAAAAAAAAAGATCATTACCTAAACTAATTCGAAGAGTTAAGATACTTCCTTTTTATAAGCATGATTCATCAAACCCACCTCTGCCAAGGAATTTACAACCGGAGGCTGTAGGCAATCCTGACAGCACTTCCAAAGTAACGTTAGAAGGACGCGTCCAGGTGGAACACCCTCCTGTTGCGTCTTTAACTGTAGCTGCCTTCGTTTCAACTGTAATCATGAATATAGATGAGAACGGATGCCCACGTCAATCGTTTTGACTCATGCTCGAGACGAAAAAATAGATTGGTTTGCAGTTAAGGTAGCGTTACGGAACCCAGCGATTGCGTGATCAATCAAACAGCGCTCAACGATATCTATACGACTCGGCTATATACAAAAAGTACATCCGTATTGCTTACCTGACAATACATCTCATTTAAAAACGTCATGAAAGCAGAATAACGATGACAACTTGATCCGTCGTAGAGCAATTTAGCGCGATCCTGATACCATTGTTGACACGTGTTCAACAAGGACTCCAGGAAAGTCTCCTTACTTTCTTTCTGCATAGAAAAGACTACTTTGTTAGCAACTTGAAACGAATAGAGTTATAATACGGATAGTAACCTCGATGATTGTGATGCAAATTTTCGCAGCCGGTTCTGCGTATCTGCGATGCTCGACGACCCTGTCCAGGATGTGACGCACCAATTCCATTAATCCTCTTGCGTTCAATACATTTGGATCTATACAAGAATCATTACATAATATATATTTCATTCAGAGTATAGTTATTGACCATTTTAATTTGTCGTTTATACCTTCGATGGCTTTTAAAAGTGTGTCCTGAATGGCAGCAGGGAATTTGCCTAACTCAGACGCGTCTGAAATATTCACCGCCTTCGCAGCTAGTACGTCAGCTGCATTCAAGCTCTTCGATCGTTTCAGGCCATAAGTAGAAACGAATGATAATGATTTAGTGAGTCTGCCTGGTTTACCTGGGTTCGGTTTCACTTCGTTTTGATCCATACTGAAGTGAACCCTACCCGAGCCCTGTTTCACAAAATGCGTTTAATGTACAGCATACTTTCTCACGTTCAGCATACGTACAGCTATTTTGCAAACTGTTTCACCGTTCTAAAACACAACTTAGCTAATTTAAAGATAGTTGATCAATCTAACTGTAGCTCCAAATAAACAACTGTTATTATTTCTGAAAAAAGTAAGACATACATGTAAAATATTTCCACTGGATGCCGAGGTATCGAGCGGATGAGACTGTCGCAGCGCGGATTGATGACCACCTTGAAGATGACGAGACGTTTGATGATGTTGTTGTTGAAGAGCATGCTGTATTTGTTGCTGTTGCTGGGCGTAGAGATATCGATGGATGTTACCGCTTGATTTGCTATGTTGCAAATAGTATGGAGATCTCTCTGAAGCATTCGTCCGAGACCTGATTCAACATCATTAAATTCCAATTACTATAATACACGACAAAGACATTCTCTATTTTATCACATACGCAGGTAGCATTACGATTATTCAATGTTTATTTGCAGAGCTAATGTAATAACACTATCAGAATTATAACAATTCATCAAAATGATTCATCAAAATATTACAACACGCTGATATAATTCTTTCACTTGAACGATGATCGGAATACTAATCTATAATATCAGAATTGTGCAAGGTCCATTAAAAAATGAATCTGATTTCGAAATTTTTCAGTGAAATTTCTTTAAATAAGACATCGTGTTAGCGCTTCAATCCGTAGTAGTTTCTTTAAAAATAATCTCGTTTAGAAGAATTTCATATCGGCTTTCTCGACATTCTTTCGAACGTTCTCCTATTTCGTAAGTAGTTTATGCTCACTTAGAAGGATGCGAATCGTTCTGCTTCATAGTGAACTCCTTGGCATGTACGTTTAGACGTGGATTAGGAGAGTTCGCCGTGGTTCCTTCCGTTCTTCCACCTAAAAACCATGAAATATCAAATCGTATTTCAAAATATATAGAATACAGAAAAGGATGTAAAATACGAACCTGGAGGCCGATAAATCTCCAAAGATGGTTTACTCTTTAGCGTAGTTGCGTTATTGTTATTGTTGTTGTTATTATTAGTATTATTATTGTTGTTATTTCCTTTCTGCGGAACCGCATCCCTCATCTGAAAAACATAAAATTTCTTTTTTTAAATAATTTCTCAATTAAAAATGCCTCGTTTCTATGCAGAAATTCAGAGTATTTCAGACACCATGGGTAAAACCATCACGAGTCATCGCGGCATCGATCACCTACCCGAACGAAAACTAAATTTAAGGCAACTGAACTTTGACGACGGTTCCCATCGAAGACGAATATTCCTCAGAAAACGTATAAGCATTTGAAATACAAAGCTGTATTTATTTAAACCTATTAAGCGACAAGGTGGTTCAGAATTGAAAAGAAGTTTCAGACATATTCATTGATACACATTCCACAATTTCTTATTTAAAATCAATTTCAAACTACACTGTGTATAATATCTAAGAAGGTTTTAAAGAAACTCGCTGCTTTCCAAGAAAAGAAATTCGATCGACAAACGTGATCGCAACGAAGAGATGATCGACAGAGTCTGCAACGAAAAAAGACGCAGTACCCGAGACAACGGGGGGAGACTCACAGTGGAAAGCGTGCGAGAATCATCGTTTCCAAGGGCCTTGAAAGAGTCGGGATGGAAATCCTTGTTCCGAGAGGGTGTCAGTGACGCTGGGAACGGCGAACAGGCCGGTAACAAGAACCAAGATGAATCGTTTCCTTCGACGGCACGTGTTTAGAGGAAAAATCTCGCGGGATCCGTGCGTTTTCTCGTCGAATTTTCTTCCAGCTTTTTCCGCTTGTTGTGACTCGGCCGCGCGTTTACAGCCGACTCCGATGACTGTCGACTAATAATAGACGGCACGGCCACGAGCGAGCGAGCGAAACGAAACGAAAACGAATGCGAATATACAGCCACACGATACCAGCTTACATACGTATCAACGCGAGCTGCACCGTGCTCTAACAGTGGACTGAAAATATCTCAACGGGAGTCATCCTCGGGTGTCGCCGAAACGCGCGTTTAGGGTAGATCCGAAAATTGTCGAACATGGGACGTTGTAAGGCCTCCTCGTGCGCGGATCGCTGCTTCAACGCGCCTGTTCGATCGCTTCTTGAGAAAGGCTAAAGAAGAATGAGTGACGGTTAATGACTGGGATGATGTGTAGGGTGATTAAATTTCATGCTTCAGAATTTCATCATTAGGAGTGTGATAAATAAAAGTTGAACCGTTACCGTAATGGATGTACAAACAATGAGAATTATGATGATGTTAGGAAACTCAGAGCAATTGGTGAACACAGTGCTTCCTTAGAATCGTTTCTAGTCAATCAACAGAAAGCTCTATTGATAGCATTTGGAATTCCTTTCAGCTGTAACCAAATTATTTCCAAGATGAAATACCTCTAACAGTTTACACTATTCTTCAGAGTACTTTTTCAAGCAACAATTCAATACTAACGAAAATTACAGAGAGAAATGAATGAAAAACGTGCACCACGTTTTTGGCTTTGGTTTCATTTCCGTTTAGCTCTGAAATACCTATGACTAACGTCGTATCATGTTAATGTATTCATAATTTTATGTGTACAACGTTTACATTAGGATGTCCTTCATTTTACATTATTCATTGCATCTTCATAAGCGTGAAATAACTCACCTTTGTCGCTTCTTCTTTTGTGTGAGCCAAACGTGCAACGCGCACCATCTTCCTCGGTGATTATTTAATTAAAGTTATCGTTGAAGAAATTGGTGAACCACACCAACGGTAATTACACTGCGTATATCAATAAACATACTATTATTATTAATGTTAACACATGTTATATTATTTAAATTATAAAATGTGCCATCTCTATTGGCGAATAACTATTGAAATATTTAACTGCTGTATTTAAAATTTTTTTTTTCGCATACGGACCAATCAGGGTCAAGCGTGTATTCAATATGGTTGCCCGATTCAACGAACACCGATGTTAGTAACAAAAGTTAATTACATCTACATTGTAAATATCTTACTAACCTTTAATACATCGCAAAAGATGAAAACATTTGAGCGAAATTACTTGGAATTTGAATAATCTTCAAATAATTCCAGGATTCGTTAAAAAACTTCTTGATAATCGTTCGTTCGGTCGCAGTTTCGTATAACCGGTGCTGAAGACCGGAAGTGAGCCGCGGCACTAACGTATTTCTCGATGCTGGCATTCGATCAACCGATTCGAGACGACCGCGAACCTGTATTCAAATTATCACGATGAATCATCGTTCTCCGCGATTCTAGGCTCAATCTAAGTAGAATATTCAAATATTATCTACGCCGTATTTATAAGCTAAATATAATTATTTGCCTGACATATTAATACGAAATAGAAATTATTTATACGCCAGAGCGAAACTTTTATAACCATAAATTCAACACCAATTTCAAACACGATCTATGCACCAATTAAATTAAACTTACAATTAAAAAAAAACTTTTGCGAACTTTCAAATTTAATGGTTAGCGTTTCACAGCACTTGAAACTTTTCATTAAAATCACTCGTAACATGAAAATGATTAATACTTGAAACTAATAGTAATGAGAATACTTGATACCTGGAACTACGACGTAACCATCTAGATTTAAACATACGTTTTGTATGTTACGCGTTCACGCTTTCGAAATGTTGTGTTTCGCCGAGAACGGAAGGATGCATGGCGTTGGTAAGTAATGCCGTTTACCTGTGCACATGTCGAGACTGTAGAGGCAACTCAGGCGGCGACAATCGAGCTGGATCATCTACGATCCGTTCGACCGTCCATGAATCTTCAACCACGCACAAATCCCACCCACGCAAATGACGCTGGTTCTCCATTCTTGTTGCATACACGCACGTGCAATTATGCATTAGTATGGTATACGGCACACGCATGATTTATAAGTTCTTTGCACACAATTAGCTGTTTTCATTAAACTATTAACCGTTTAAACTTGACTGTAGTACTTTGCTGATACTGTAGCGCTTAGATCCTTTGAGCGCCATCAGTAGGAGAAACGATATTATTACTTTGATAATAATAATATTGGCAATCAAAAATAGTAGATTTAAATGGCGCCAAATTTAAAATACCAACGATAAATCCTTTTTTTTATTTTTTCATAGAACTGGAATAAAATGATAAGTGTTGTCACAAATCATTATTTATTTTTAAATACGATTTAGAGGATTACAAACCATAATAGCAATGAATCAATTGTAGAATCTATATTTCTTTTTAATTGGAAGCATCAAACCATTTATCACTTATTTCGGCCAATGGCTAGTGTTTAATTTACATACATCATTCGATGATAACTTTACTTTTCTTCTTTCAAACTCTTAACTAATATATGTTGTGCCTCGTGGGGTAACTATAACACTTCTTTGTCATTAATACATCAAACAGAATATTATAAAAAATAAATCTTAACTTTTTGCTAAATTCATTTAGTACGTTCTTCTCGGTTGTTGCGATCAAACGTAAACATAGAAGATCTAAATAGAGCACTAAGTGCTACGACAATTGATTTCTTAAGGTGTAAAAATCAATTACAGTAATGCAGGCCGCTTAGGATTGAATCAAATTAACGAGTATCAGCACCAAGAATTGGTTGTTACAAAGCATACTGGTAGAATCTACCTACAAAGTTCATTTATATCAACAATGAAAGTCCATATAAATTCAAATATCTTTCAAACGATTTCAATCTTACCCGATGTTGGTAGTTATCAAAAAACGCATAAAAAATTATAGTACATTACACAGATATGGTAATACGTTACGTCGTTACATCATAACCGGATGCAATTATTGATTTTTTATTTTATATCGTTATCAATTAAATACTAATTCCCCTCGTTATAAACCTGAAAAATCAACTTCATTTACATACGTTTTTTTGTCTTAAGTCTTAACATCTTACTACAGAAAAATCCTTGAACGTTAAACACGACGAATAACTCTGTAGACAGATTCTCGCTTCAACATCGAAAATACACCATTCGACACGTACAGAAAATGTGGCTTATAAATTATCCTCTCTGAATATACGCTTCTTTATAATACAATACAATTGCGAATATCATTATACGCATTTGTTTTTTATTTTTTCTTCTTCGTGTAATGTAATCTTACATATATTATATACGCAATTTGTTTGAATGTAATGCATAGTCGAAATGTAGCGTCAAATTCGCAGCAGAAAGACCATGGGATTATAACATTCTAACATTTCGACTATGGGGTATATTCGCTGTAAATACAGCTAAAATTGTAATGCCATCTATGGCCTGTGAACACTTGGGTAGTTTGAAATTTTCTTGATGAGCGGCCAACAATCATTCTAAACACTTATTCTTTCCACTATTATAGTTTTATCTTTTTACTAATATTGTGTGTACGACAAAATCAATATATTAGTTGCTTTTTGTTTCAATAATACATATATAAATACATGTAACAAATAGACGTCAATTAAATAAATTGCAATACAATATTGATGTCTCACTAAGCATGTACATAAACATTAGTGTGAAATACGAAATACAATAGTTTATGATATATCGGTAGCAAGTCAACATTTCGCAGTAACATTGTTACCATGGTAACTTGTTTTCGTACTAAAATAATCAGAAAAAATTTATGCATCTTTGTTAGACATAACTGGATGAAAATAATAACGATTTTAACATTTAACGAATGCACGAGTGCCTTTACAAAAAATATTTGTTTGTTGAAGATTGGAATACATTGCAGTTTAAACTCACGTGTCTCTTAGGAACTTTCAATTGTACAAATGCAATTCCGTTGCAATATTTTACATAAACATTGTTCTATGACTATCGTGCAAACTTTGTTATCGTTTACATTATTGCCATGGAAACGTTATTACTGCTGAAAAGATTTTTCTTAAATGAACAACCAGATATGGAATTTTGAGCGGCGGAGCGGTTGTGGCAGCTGTATTCATCGTATATTAAGTCTATCCGTCTTTTTTTATCCCCTTACTTTTTAATTAATTATCATTTAAGCACGCGTACACTGTAATAAAATTACACGCACCGTGTACGGGCTTTGAAATATACAAGTGTTACAGGATGGTTGAACCTCAAACTTGTATTAACAGTGTAATTTATGAAACCTCTAAAAGTGCTGGAATTTTTCAGTCTGTTGCACTTAGCATAAATGACGTTTATAGATATCTATGTATATATGAATATCCAACCAACCTGTGCATCATATATACAAAACACAACAGGTGATTACGTATCAACGGTTTAATAAAACGTACATGTGTAGCATTTGGCTATAATGTATGCAAATAACGAATTCCATTACAACTTTTAGCAGATTGTAATTAACGGCAAATAAGTAAATAAAAATCTTTCCTTCCTGATTATTTATCATTCACAAATATATATATTATATATAGTGTGTATGTATGTGTACGTACTCTTATTGCATGCTACCAAATAACTGCTGCGTCGCTGTTCTTAAAGCATAATCTTAATTCGTATTTTTATTGTAATTATATTTGATTAAAAAAAAAAAGAAATTAGCTAAATTTAACTGCTGAATATCCAATCAAGTATTGGGTATTGGACCTATCCTTTTGCTACTCCATCTACATTTTTATAAAATCCCTCCCTGAGACACAAGGATTGGCCATGGATATCCAGCAGTTAGGCCGAAATGATAAGCATTTTCCACTATAAAGAAATTGGCAGTTAGCCTATTTCGATCATTTCTGTATCTTCTATGTTTCCATGTCCAACTCCATTATGTCTATAAATTAGTATGTTACTAATTACTAAGCGTAAATAATTAAATAAACATGTATTTCAAATCAAGCGTATTGCGTAACGCTTGCGCACGATAACGTGACGCATTATTAAAACCGAGGAATACACTTACCTATGATTCTGTACATGTGAACTATGTAAATGAAAATGCGTTCCTCGTGGTGAAAAACCTCGCATATTACCTCTGCGTGGACTTCTAGCATTTATTACCCGTGGTTGAGAATACATATCTTCCAGTATGCTAGGGGCTACATACGTGAATCCCTAAAACATGTTCCAACTTACTGGTAACAAAATGAAACTTTCCAGTGATTATATTAAATGAGGATATACATGAGAACACACTTGAAATACTCTATTAGCAGATTCACTTAATGTATACTCAGCAGGAGAATCTATTGGTGCAGATGTTGTAAATGTTTGGTCAAACTGAGACACATCATCTTCGCTGGTTAAAGTCGGTTTAAAAGGTGGTTCTAACTTTCGAGAAATCACGTCATCCCAATTGATATGCTTGAAAAATTGATGGCTCTTTATTTGCTCAGCATCTGATGGACCAGATCCTAATCTTTGAGTAACTTGTCTCTATAAATAATAAATACAAAGTTACGTTTCATGTATGACTCGAGGAATAATAGCTTCTATGGTTCGTGAAATTAACCTTCAACAATTTTCGAATAAGATCCCTAGAATCAGGTGTTAAGTATTGGGGAAGATTTAATTTACCGCGTAGGATCTTTTCAATGGTCTTCTTTCTATTGTCAGACGTAAATGGTGGCTAAAAATTTTAAATATGAAAATTAAAAAATTTATCATGGTAAACTAAATTCAAACGTTTAAGGACACTTACCAAACCAGTAAGCATATCATACAGCAATGTTCCCAAACTCCACCAATCTACTGCCTTACCATGACCGCTTCTTGTTAATATTTCTGGGGCCCTTTTATCAAAGCATAATTATTAATATCAATAAACTGAAAAACTCAAATTGTGATTATATTAAAACGTTTGCCTTACATATATTCAATAGTACCACAGAATGTATGGGTAACAGTACCATCCTGTATATGCTCTTTACACAAACCAAAATCAGTTAATTTTATATGTCCTTCTGCATCTAAAAGGATATTCTCTGGTTTTAAATCTCTGAAAATTTATTGATGATATAATAGTTAGGTCAATGATATAAGAATACGATTAAGCACTGTATTTAAATTCATATTTATAAACAGATTAATATACCTATAAATAATTCCCTGTAAATGAAGATGTTGAAGGGCCAGTATTATTTCTGATAAGTAGAAACTATAAAATTGAAATTCATATACAGCTTATAAATTTCATTACAGAAACTAAGTAATAATTCACCTTGTTATCACTTAGTTTTTCACTCACCAAGCAGTTTCTTCAAGAAAAATTCCTTCATCATTTAAGTGTCTAAACAATTCACCTCCGCACATGTATTCCAAGATCAAATATAATTTACCACCAGTTTGAAAAGCATACATGAGGTCCACGATAAAAGGATGCTGTCAAACAAAAAATAAAATATATATATATAATGTATGTATTATAACAAATTTTTGTTATATCTTAACTGATAAAATTATAACTTTGAATTCTTTATACCTTATAAATATTAATATCTGTCTATTATATATTTCATTCTTTTTACTTTCTTTTTAGAATTCACTCTAAAAAAAATCAGACGGCCAAAGATCAAATCTCCGTCTGTATTAATTAAACAAATGCAATTTAAACTCACTTTCACAGCTTCCAAAATGTTTCTTTCAGCCTTGGTATGTGCGGTATCTTTTTGATTTCTTATAATGGAGGCTTTGCGCAAGACCTATTTTTTAAATAAACAGAGTTAACATAAAGCATACAATTATAATGTAAATGTTAAGCAATAAATCAGTACTTTATATATTCATTTTTATTTTCCATATAAGAAACAGTTAAAAGGTGAAACTTATTATTGTATTTTACATTTTTCTGGTACTCTTAAGAAAAAAACACATTGAAAATTTTATGCTAATAGACGTTAAGATATTCAAAACAACATGTTGACTTGTATTTTTATGAAGCTGAAAGTAAAAAATCTATTAACTAATGTTATTTTTTATTACACATTATGTTCGTATCACGTTTAAAATGAAAATTCACAAACAATGACAATTGCTGCGCAGTCCCGATCAAAACAAAGGAAGAGAAAAGACTTATATAATTGAGAACGGAATGTTCATTTAAAATAATTCGTCGAAGATCGATGGTATATTTTTATTATTTCTTCATACGTACATTGTACATCAGTAAAGTATCTAATAAAGAGAAAATAGTAAATTGAAAATTTTGCCCTACCTTCATCGCAAAGATCGTCCCCCTGTCATTACCAGTGATCTTACGCACTTGAAAAACCTTGCCATAGCCACCTTTCCCGATAACTTTACACAGTTCGAAATCTTGAGGCCCAGCTCTTTCCCGGCCGCGATTGACATTCTGTTCCGATATAGCTACCGTTTCGACACCTTCCGTTCTAAGAAAATAAAATTTTCATTTACCTCGGGATACCATGAACCGTACGAGACATGCCATAACTGGGGGAAAGCTTACTCACTCAGTTATCTCATTCACGTTTGGGTTTGCATCGTACTCTTCCTACACGTGAAAAGAAAAATGAGTAGGAAAGTGTTACGGAACGTGGAAAGAAACTGACGATAAGGAAATTGGAGTGCTCGTGTGCAGATGGAGAATTACCTCGCCGATCTCGATAACATCATCGTCCGACTCGTCCCTATTTACCGTGTCCGCATCGTGCAATTCAATATCGAAAACTGCGGCCATTCCTATACCCGACTAACTTAAAATCAACGAGATTTCGCGGTTCCCGAGAAGGCGAATTATTTCTTTTGTAACAAACACGATGATAACACAACAATATTGTTACACGGTCAAAACCTTGAATTACTGTGAACAAGCTGCCCTGTCTCAAGGCATACCAAACACCCTCTCCTTCGCGTACACTCCGATTGGTTGTACAGTCTCGTCAGTCTCAGGTTATCAGAGCGGGATGGTACATGGTTTCAACCAATCAGACAATACAGTTCAAGTTTCACGAGAAACTGACAACTATGAAATTCCTTGAACCTTTCCTATGTTTTCTGGTTTAAATACTGGAATTCCACGCGGTCTGTTTAAATTTTATTACAATTTTATTAATAACTAAAACTGACGATGCACTACATCGTTGAAAATATGTATTACTGGAGATAGAAACGATATATCATGGATATTGAACATGATTCACATACTATAATTTATGAGCCTTATTAATTGGCAAAGTATGTTTTAGATAAATGACCAATACTTAAGGCAGAAAGGTGAATAAACTTTCCTTTATTTCTTACCATTAGTTGAAAGATTGTTGAAATTAGAGCTGCACTTCGTCTTAGGGGACCAAAAATTTTTGGTTAAAAAATATCAAATCTTACAGTTTTCGACCTGAAACTTTCAAAAATGTACTTTAAAAATTCAAGAAATAACTGGTTTAGAAAATACGTTATGTAAAAATGTACGTATTTAACATATTTTGACAAGTTGTTATGACGCCATATTGCTTCTACTCATATAAATGCCTTGGATAGGTTAGGTTAGGTTAGGCCTATATCCTTTGGAAGATTTCTACCACATATAAAAAAAAAGGTTAGGCCTATATCAAATTTTCCGTCCGCCTAAACTTATTTCTACTTACCTGCGACCTGGGTATATTTAAAAACCTACAAGAAAATATAGTAGGATACTTACCTGAATTTACATATTGACATTATGGCATCCGGGGTGTCAGGGACCCCGGTAACTCTGCGCACCGACAAAGTATCATCTTGGGGTGTTAGGGACCCCGAAGTACGGGTGATGCTCTTTGCATACCGACATTATGGCGGGGGGGTCAAGGACCCCTTAGCTAAAATGTGCGACCCATAGAGTTTCTATAGAAAAATTGAAACCTCTGTAACTTTTGACTCCTGATATTTCCTTCTTTCAATGTTTTATACTCTTTCTAGGTCTAATCTTTTACTATTATAGGTCATATCTATCACTATCTTGCAATTACTATTTCGCGATTTGTTTGGTTTTTAGGTCTTATATTTCCCTATTCCCGGTCAAATCCATCGCTATCCTGAACAAATGTTTCACGATTTGTTCGTTTTTAGGTCTTATATTTCGCTAGATCAGGTCAAACCCATCACTATTCCGAACAAGTGACTTTCACGATTTGTTTGTTTTTAGGTCTTATATTTCGCTAGATCCGGTCAAACCCATCACTATTCCGAACAAGTGAGTTTCAGGATTTGTTTGTTTTTAGGTCTTATATTTCGCTAGATCCGGTCAAACCCATCACTATTCCGAACAAGTGAGTTTCACGATTTGTTTGTTTTTAGGTCTTATATTTCGCTAGATCCGGTGCTTCGGGGTCCCTGGAACCCCAAGATGGTAGTGCGGTATACAGCCAGTGCCACTGATGCTTCGGGGTCCCTGGAACCCCAAGATGGTAGTACGGTATACAGCCAGTGCCACTGATGCTTCGGGGTCCCTGGAACCCCAAGATGGTGGTGCGGTATACAGCCAGTGCCACTGATGCTTCGGGGTCCCTGAAACCCCAAGATGGTAGTGCGGTATACAGCCAGTGCCACTGATGCTTCGGGGTCCCTGAAACCCCAAGATGGTAGTGCGGTATACTGCCAGTGCCACTGATGCTTCGGGGTCCCTGAAACCCCAAGATGGTACTGCGGTATACAGCCAGTGCCACTGATGCTTCGGGGTCCCTGGAACCCCAAGATGGTAGTACGGTATACAGCCAGTGCCACTGATGCTTTGGGGTCCCAGACACCCCAGTATAGATTCAAATCGGTATGCAAAGAGCGCCAATTGTGCCTCGGGGTCTCTGACACCCCAGGATGAAATCAGGGCCGTACCTAGAGGGCACTCCAGTATAATAATCATCCTCTAATTTTTTTCCGGAGTTTATTTAATTTACTTGTTTACTTGTTTCATGGATACACATTACTTACCGGTGAATTTTCAGATGCATATGAATGTGTAATTGTACATACACCATAGACTTATGTATATAAATACATGTAATATATACAGTAAGAAGTTATAAATTTAAAAAACTTTTTATTAACTAAAAACTTAACGTTTAAAAAATGATAGAAGTAACAAGAATTATCTTGAAAATGAGTGCTGTGACCACCATAGGCTTTGGTGGTTGGTTTTTGGGTAAATATTCGGAACAGAAACGATACTTGAACGTAGCAAAAGAAGACGATGGATTGTGTAATTTTTCAAATACACCTGTTAAAAAAATGCCTGGTTTGCCTTTATTTGGAACAGTTTCTGCGGCAACTGCAATTGTTCCCACAGAAACTGAAATTGATATGGGTTCAAAATTATCAGCAACAGGTAAAAGGGTGTCTGAAGTAAGTTTATATTTTTGTTTATTATTTTTAACCTTGATGTTATACAATGAAATTTGCTGTATTCATTTTCTATGTTATGAAATTTTTAAACTAGAGTAGTTAGTTAATCTATTTTTGTAAAATGTGAACATATAGTAACATATGTTTTGATGTACGATAGATTATGAAATATGGATTTCCTGGATTGGATCAAGTCAGATCTTATGATGACTTTGTTCTATCTTATGATAGAAGAAATAGGGTAGCACATTGGGTATTTGAACATTTGAATAGAGAAAGATTAAAACCTAATGGTGAGATATCACGTGCTAAATGTGAATTTAAACCTGATCCAAGTATACATCCATTTTTCAGGTAATTATTTTTATCTATTATTTATACCAGGGGTTGGTTAATTGTTTCTATAAAGGATCAGATATTAAATATTTTAGGGTTTAGCAGGCCTGGAGGTAAGATTGAAATTATCTAGGTAGCTGGTTATAGAATAAAAAATGTTTGCCGACCCCTGAACTATACCTTTTCTAAACTACTACTTTAATTAATTTATTGGAAATTAGAGCTGATAACAGTGATTATAAAGGTAGTGGATATGATCGTGGGCATTTAGCAGCTGCTGGGAATCATAAATTTTGTCAGGCTCATATAGATCAGACATTCTATTTAACAAATATGGCACCACAAGTAGGTCAGGGTTTCAATAGAGATTCCTGGAATAGATTGGAGAAATATGTTAGGCATTTAACTAAATTTTATAAGGATGTATATGTTTGTTCAGGTCCTCTCTATTTACCAAAGTAAGTAAGGTTTTTTAATTTGTTGTGTATCTTTTTTTTACCAAAGATTTAAGAAGTTGAGATATATTATTAATACAGAATAGAATCTGATGGAAAGAAATACGTGCGATATGAAGTTATTGGTGCTAATCATGTAGCAGTACCAACTCATTTTTATAAAATAGTTGTTGGGGAAACACATGATTCAAAACTAGAAATGGAGGCATTTGTAATGCCAAATACTCCTATAGATGACAGGGTTCCTTTAACAAATTTTCAGGTAAATTTCATTTGTTAATCATACAAATTATATAGATTATAGTAAGTAATGGTAACATCTTGTAATAGGTACCGCCAGAGAGCGTCGAACGCGCAGCTGGACTTTTATTCTTTGATAAAATCTCACGCGATAAATTAAATAAAATAAATGGAAGAAAAGTTAGATAATTATAATGCAAAGTTAGAAAATTGCAGTAAATGTTTTGATATAATTATTTAAAATGTATCAACTAGTTTTATCTTCTAATCAATTTAAAAATAGAAATTTTGCAATAATACTTTTATGTATTATTGTATGTTTAATCTTGTATAGGTGTACGTTTTATTTAGAAACAATCATTGTATATTATCATATAGTCTTTAAAATACACATACGCACTAAATTTTCGTATTTTTATAAAGCAGTTCAATTACTTTAGTCTCTATTTTATGTCATCTTATAAATAATACTGAAATGAAATATTTAAATTTTTATTATTTTTGTACATTCAGCAATTATTTACATACAATATTGCATGTTGTCACATCTTGTCATAAAATAAGTATTCACATGAAAAGCGCATGCACTCTTATTTAGGTATTTTTCTTAGTATCCAAAGTTTCAGTCTTGAATAAAACATTTATGATATTTAATTTATAGTAGATATTGAACAAGGATTATTTTTCATAATTTACGATAATGCAATACAGTCATTTTTATCTTTCGAAATATAAATTATTCACATCATAAAGGTCGTATTTGTTTTTTGATTGGTACTTCGTTAAAACATTTTCATATTACATACGCTGCGTTTCTTAAAAACTTTGTCATTTGATATTAAAATTCAATGTAACGAATTTTGTATTCGTTTAAGAGAAAATAATGATACATTAAAATTAATATATTTAAGACAGACGATACATCACTTTTTTCATTTCCGTAAAGAACAATTATTTTGTTGTTACCGAAGAGAAACGATATTTTTATTGTTTATGATTAGTAGACGAGAAAAATTCTCGCTATTACTTTGGTCGTGGTAGTAAGTGGTTACGTACCAAATAATATTCGTTATTAAATACTATATCCATATAAAATGCTAATGGTAAAATCGTTAATAATTTCAACTTATACTCTAATTTATGTACAAAATTAACAAGCACGTTGGTACTGGGAAACGTACAAACGCACGAACGACAATTAACCACCATCTACGAAATTTTTACAAAGTTCCGTTTATCTTTGTAATAAGTCGTAACATTACTACGATTTCATAATGATATCTATATATTATAGTTGCCTGGTAGCTAGCAAGTAAAATAATGAGTAACGAATACCATTATGCTTTAGAGATCTCAACGTACACATCTATGTTTAACGCGTTTCTAAAATGCACACTTGAAATTCTTTTATATTCATTGCTTATAAATAACATTTTCACGTAGGATTGATTAGGCACTAAAATGGACGGGTCTCGTTGCTTAGGAGCTTTTCTTGAGTATTGCTTGCAAGTTAAGGACACTTAACGAAGTTTTAAGTACACTTTGTGTAGTTACATTGATTCATGAAAATCAACAAATTTGGTAATACACTGTTCAGTGCTGTATTCGTTCAATAAAGCTCCTTAATAATCAATTTTTCTCTAAGATTTTGTTCTTCGTTTTGTCGTGTTTCATCTCCAGCGACGTTTTCCAAATGCTTTAAAATTATTGTTCTTCGTGTTGCTCGCTTGATTTCTTAGGTCAATTTGATAGTTGTGTAATTGCATTGACTAGAAAACGTGAGATGAAACTTGACATTTTCCTTTCTTTCTTGCTGTCACTGTAGTAACGATGCATATTCTTGGCAGACTAGGATCCAGTGACGCGAAACACTTACTTATCCCCCTTCGTCGCAAGAAAGTTCTTAGATTAATCTCTCTTCTGGTGGTGGTTTCATTACATTGTCCATTTCTACTCGTGGATTACTGAATTCTTGAGCACTTGGACTATATGTACCCCTAGTCGCTCGTTTCTTCCTGGCCATCATAAATAATGCAACTAAAGAGCCTGCTGCGATCAGGAAGAGACATCCAACGATAGGACCAACTATAACTGCTATGTCCATCGCTTGACTGCTCAAAAAGTGTTCCGTCTACAAAGAAAAATATTTATGATGGACGTGATTAACCAAATATCTTTTTAAAACATTGGAATGTACCTCTGTGCAATTTTGACCAGTATACTCTGCTGTACACTGACACCTGTAACCACCGTCATCTCCACAATCGCATGTACCTCCATTCTGACAGTAATCCTATTTAAAAGAAAAAGAAGATATGTATAAAATGAAGAATGTGCCAAAAATTTAAGTAAAGTAATAATACCTCTTTGCAAGGATTCACCATTCCACAATTGTATCCACAATAACCTGGTTCACAAATGCATCGATAAGTTCCTGGTTCATTTTCACACTGACCATGACCACAATCTGTCGTTGTATCCTGACATTCATTTATATCCAAAGAACAATCAGGTCCTGTGTAACCTGTATCACTACAATCACAAGTGAAATTGTTTACTCCATCGTAACATTTCCCATCATTTTTACATGGTACATTTCCTTCTGCATCTGGCGCACAGTCATCAATATTAATTTCACAGTACATTCCCGAGTACCCAGGCAAACAAGTGCATCGAGGTGTCTGGTACTTTAAAATAATAGATTATTAAGAATCGCAGGCAATCGATTATTTAAACAATAAGTAAATGAATTTATGATTAAGTATGGATCACATACAATATGCATACCTGGTACAAGAAATCACATTTGCCACCGTTCTGACATTTTCGACCGATGCAATAAGGAACATTACAAATTGATCCTTCGTAACCGGTCATACAAGTACAGGTGAAATTGTCACCAGTTTGCGGATTTACTACGTCTGTGCAAATACCACCGTTTTTACACGGTTGATTTTCACAAGTGATCAAACGGAAATTCTGGCAAAGATTGCCAGTGAATTGATCTGGACATTCACAATGGAAATAACCAGGATAATTCACGCATACTCCATCATGCTGGCAAGGGTTGAGTGGTACACATTCATTGATGTCGCTATCACATCTATAATAAACAATAAAATCAATTAAAAATTAAAAATCTGAATTTTGTAGTATTTGCTTATAAATTTATACAAAAATATGGACATTTAAAACTTATTTCTTTGATATAAAAATTTCTAAATAATGATGACACTATAATATAATATATTTTTTATACTAACAGCCATCCTTGCCATCCACTATTACACACACATGTGTAATTAGCAATTCCATCAACACAGGTTGCTCCATTTTGACACTTATTATCAAGGCATTCGTCAATGTTAAACGAACAATCGTTCTCCGTGTAACCAGCAGGACATTCACAAATGTAACTATTCGCTTTATCCAGACAATAACCATCGTTTTTGCAATCAGAATCGAAGCAGAGCTGGCAACCGATATTATCGTGATGGGTCGCGTTATCTTCTTGTAATGCTAAATATTCCAATGGTGTAAAATTAGCATTTTGATAAACCTCTTCATATGTGAAATAATGTAGCAGCATGCTGCCAATTCTTACTTCTCCTAAACATCCTTTAAAAGTTTCACCTATAAAATGAAATTTTAGTATTAATGGTGACAAAGTAAATAAAAATTATGACGTTAATTTGATTACCTGACATTGCATCATGAGGTGGTGATGCAGTGGTTAATACGCGTTCATTGAAGTCTATGGAATTTTCATTAATTCCATTTCTATTTTCCAAATTCTGTTTACTAGAACCGATGGTCACGTAGCTGTGTTCATTAGACAAGGTGGAACCAAGTCCACCAAGGGTGACCGTCCCAGTAATTAATAAATCATACCATAAGGAGAAACTAAAATTCGGACTAACACGTGATGCATTCTCATCATTAGAGTTTGCATAGCTACACTCCATGGAATTGTTGTTTAATCTCAATATTATCGATGTCCAATTTCCATCAGCTTCAGATTTACCAAAAGTCAATACTCCTTGGTTCTGCGTATCCAAACGCCATGATACTGTGATCTTGTCCTTGTAAACGTAAACTGTGAAATGCAGGTCGCCCACGCGAGGAGCAATATGCATCAGAGTACCGCCTGTACTCGAACGATAAGTAATTTGAATGCTATCAATCGTCGAGTCTGTCACGTTTCTTTCTTCCACTTGATTGTAGACGTAACTGAAGGAAGTGTTTACTCCGTTGAAAGTAGCATTAGCGATGCATTCATAGCCGTCATCCAAGTTCTGGCATTTCGAGCCAGCTGGACAATCTTGCAATTGACAGAATTCCATTTCTTGACACGTCTTCCCGGTATATCCACGTGGACACTGACACCAAAAGTCATTCCACGTGACATGGCAGGTTCCATTGTGATTGCACGGATTGCTTACGCAGACATTATCAGATATTACTCCCTTGAGAACTTTGTTGTAATCAAAAGTTACGTTGCCAAATTGTATCGGTGTTGGAATGTCATTTGCCTGTGAAACGGATATACGATTTATATTTAACAACGTTGAGATTAGAAATTTTATTTTTTCAAACATACCTTTAGAGGGAAGAATTCAACAACCATGGTTTCAGTGCCATTGGATATTTGAACATCTTGAATAATACCCTTGAAATTAACTTGAAGAGCTTGCGACACTTCTATCTGACGATTATCTACTTGTCGTATGTATCTAGACGCTTGTGGCAAGCCTCCCAGATACAAAACGGTCACGTTCAATTGACCAGAAGCACTGATGGTTTTCCTAAAGTATTCGGTACCATTGATCCTTACTTGAACCAACGTCACATTTCTAATTACTTGTATCAGGTGATTGTTTCCATCGTTCAGTTTTACACCTCCAACTGTGTAAGCTTCGGTACCATTGAACTGAATTCTGACAAGTAATTCACCTCCTTCCAGCTGAGCCGCTATGTAAGTTTTCTCTTGAGACTTTGACTCAGCTGGTGGATTTGGTTCTGATCCTAGATAAAATATATCACCCCTATCTTGTCTAGTGCGAATGAACATGGAAATATCGACAATAGATCTGACTGCTTTCCTAGCCATATCTGTCACTTTCACGGTCACGTATCCATTTGTGATATTCTCGTATCCAAATGTGGCTGCTGTCATGTTGTATTGGCAGGTATGCCCTAGATATGGTCGCTCACATTTGCAAGAAAAGTCTCGCCACCTGTCAGTACAGTGTCCACCATTTTTACAAGGATTTGGCGAGCACTGAGCTTCCCTTGGACAACCTGATTCAACATGCTCCATATATATGGTCGTAGATGAGGTACCAGAGTATACCTAAACATATATTAATGACTTAAACTTTGCCCATAGTTCTGCGATGATATTTTACCACTTACCCATTCTCCATTAATAACAACATCCTCGGTGCAACCCACAAAAAATGACGGGCCATGGGTTAATCTTTGAAGATAGCTAGTAGTACCACCAACGTAAGTCATTGGGAAAGATGTGTGATTAGAATTGGAACCTTCGTTCAGACTAATAGGATAAATTGTTTGTTCTTCGTTAGCTGAGAGTACTAAATGGGTTGCATTGATAGCAACGAACACTTTCTGCCAAGTAGAGTCGTTCAAACCGCTGCCAATAAATACACCCTCCCACTTGTTCAGGAGACTCGAATGCAGATTCAGTTTGCCATTTACAAGTTCAAGGATGTAAAACGTTGATCCTTTTCCAATAGCTAGCAGTCCATTTGGTAGAGTTGTTCGGAAGCGAAATTGTATATCATATCCCTCGTCACGAGTAGTATTCACCAGAACGTATGATCTTCCACTTAAGGACATTGTTGTTACCTGTGGACAGAAAATAATGTTATACCCATGCAAGATGGTTCAAATTTTTATCTTTATTTCTACGCACCTTCTTCTGTATTTTGTGCAAAAAATGACAAGTGCAAGTAAATTACATAAGTTAATAAGCAGTTATATGTACGTACATAGGGCTATAGGAGTACAATAAGAAAATAAGATACTTTAAAATACAGTGACTTACATAATCACAGACTTCTCCGTGGAATCCATTTGGACAGGTGCAATTGAATTTATGTATCGTTTCATCCACAAGATATGGCCAGCAAGTGCCGCCATTCTGACAAGCATTCCCTTGACAACCGATCAGCTCTACCGAACAATTCTTGCCACCATACTCTGGTTCACAGGTACAAGTATAATCAGCCCTTCCATCGATGCATACACCGTGCTCGCAAGGTGTGTACCGTTTGCATTCGTCGATATCGTGCTGACAGTGATCACCTTCATAACCATCCTCGCACTCACAGGTGTAACCACCGATACGGTCTACGCAAGCTCCAGCTTTGCACGGATTGCTGTCGCATTCGTTGATATTTAATTCGCAATTTTTACCCATTACACCTTGTACACACAGACATTCGTATCTGAAATAAATAATATTTAAATGAAAACTGTTCTTTACGTTTTTGTCGACTCTATTTCTGTGAACACTTTGCGGTCCTATGTCTAATGAGCTAATAGATCTATTAGTGGCACTATAATAATAATAATATAAGATAAAAGATTAAGAGCTTAAATTTGGAAATTAACTATTTGAAGATACACAGATATATTTTACATAGTTATAGAATAGTTGAGATTTAACTATTATATCAGTATACCTCCTTGAAACATAAAAAGGAGCATAAAATCATAAAGTCATGAATTATTCAACCTCTAAAGCGCTAATTGAGACCACAAAGTGTTAATTTCTTTCAAATAACTTCGATACTTGCCCACTTGCGTTCGCGTAACTAAATTCTTGATTAAATATCGAAGGTAACGTCACTGCATCGCTCTTATATAATTCAATATTGGATCTTTCTAGACAAGTTCCATTATACTGGCAAGGTGAGCTCTCGCATTCGTTTACATCAACCTCGCAATTCTTCCCAGTGTAACCAGCGTAACACTGACATTTATAATTCTTAATATCATCTATGCAGAGAGCACCGTTCACGCAGGGCTCCGATCGGCAATCATCGATATTTTGTTCGCAGCGTGCACCTTCGAAACCCGTGTCGCTGCAGTCACAGGTATAATTGTTTATACCGTCGATGCATAGGCCGTGATTCAGACAAGGCGATGGATCGCAATCGTCGATATTAATCTCACAATTTGTACCACTAAAGCCCAGCGAACAGACGCACATATAACTAGCGATTTCATCGACGCAGCTCGCACCGTTTAGGCAAGGATCGCTTTCGCATTCGTCCACGTCCATGTCGCATGTTTTCCCGGAGTAACCAGGCGGACAGCGACATTCGAAAGTGTTAATACCGTCGATACACGTGGCGTTGTTCTTGCAGGGTCCGCATAAACATTCGTCGATGTTGATGTCGCAGTGGTCCCCAGAGAATCCAGGTCTGCAGAAGCAGTTATAACTGCCATCGTTGTTCACGCATATTCCGTTATTGCAGAGAGAACTACCTCCAATTTTGCATTCGTCCATGTCTTCCTCACAAAATTGTCCTGCAAAGATGAACAATTAATTGCTAATTAAATAAAGAGGAATTCTGAAGAGATACATTAGGAAAACGAGGAAATTAACGGTAATAATAATTATATGTTCAAACGTTTTGATAGCGACTTTATACCCATTGAAGTATCGTTCCTAGGAATATACATATGTGTCCTTCGGTACAGTATAGTCATGTGCAAAAATATTTGTAGATACATATTTCATGTAATGAAACTTTTATTTCATGAAATTTACCTTGATATCCGTCTTTGCACTTGCATTCGAAACCATGGTCTCCAAGGTCGATGCACGTGCCGCCGTTGCAGGGTTTCGTCGCGCAATGGTCGACGATTAGGGTACAATTAGGGTCTCTGTAACCCTCGCGACATTTGCATTCGTAACCAGCGATACCGTCGACGCAAATCTTCCCGTCAGGACATACGACGTCGACACAATCGTCCACGTTGATGTCGCATATCTTTCCCTCGAAACCCCGTGGGCATTCGCAAACGAATTCCCGCCTCGATCTCGGTATCAGTGTGCAGTTTCCATTATTCAGGCAGGGATTTACCGCGCATGCATTGTACTCGCGTTCACAGTTTTCATCCATGAAGTCTTTGGTGCAGTTGCACGTGTACCCGTTGATTCGATCGATACACGTGCCTCCGTTCTGGCAAGGTTGGGATAAACATTCGTCCACGTTTATTTGACAGTTCTTACCTAGAAGTATTGCAACGTTTGTTATTAAATTAAATACTGATTGAGAAAAGAAATAATTTAATTGGGCAGTACAGGTGAATAAATTGTACCACGATTTAAACATAAATTTTGAATAAAACAAAGACATTTGAGAAGATTTTTTAGGAACGAACACATCACAGACAGTGAAATAGACAAAGCTTAGCACGAATACGTTTGTGAATCATATGGTTACCGGTGTATCCCGGAAGGCACTGACAGTAGTAGCTATTTTGCTGATCAATACAGATGCCACCGTTGCGACAGGGATCACTGATGCACTCATCCTCGTCGATGGAACACTCAGGACCAGCCCATCCTGGCTCGCAGGTGCAATAATAGCCTCCAGGCTGCAGGTTGCGACAGAGACGATGCGACGTAACAAAGAAAGCAACGAGGCCACATAGAGATACGTTCGACACGGTTGATTAATCGGGCTAGATGTGCATGCAAAAAGCTAGGTGCGATTATCCAACTCACGTAGTCGTGACAAGCGGAAGCTTGCTTGCAAGGTAGATCACGACAGGTGATCGGATCCTTGCATTGGGGTCCTGTCCAAAATCTTGGGCACTGACACATAATACCGAAACGTGTCTCGAGGCAACTACCTCCGTTGTAACAGGTGGAACACCAATCCGAAGCAGGTGACAAGCACGTTGGTCCTGATCGTACGTAACACATCACACACAAACGTCACATGAAGACAAATGGAAAACATGTAAGATTAACGTGGAAGAATAACGAGGAGAATTAGTTGTAACAAAGAAGTGTTTTTGTCTTTTCATATTAGATGCAACAAGTATCTTGTTTCTTCAATAAGGTATTAATACTAATATGATTTAGTTTTGTTATGAAATTTTGAACATAAAGAAATGTTTAAATGTATATGTGATAACAGTATTAGCTACAAAGTGATCTTAAACTGATGGTACAGTTGAATAGTTTTATTCAATAATAATACAGAAGTGTTATTAAAAATTTATTTTTTCCTTTTTTATTTAATTATTGATATCATTAATTTTTGATTTTTAGCAACATTAGGTGAATAATAGTGTTAGAGTTTAATTTGAAAATCTCTATATTCCTTCTTCACAACATCTTATAAAATCTATGAGTACCTTTGCAACTGTACAATTAGTTTAAAGACAGCATGTATCATTTTCAGTAGGTACATGATTAAAGTGGTTCGATTGAAACTTTCTCAATCATATCTTGTATTCCTCCTTTACCTTTCCATTCTGGTGGACAGGTACAATTGTATCCATCCTTATTGCTCGTGCATGTCCCACCATTGCTACATGGATTGTTGGCACAATAATTGATAGTGCAATTTGGAGGATTGCCCATGAATCCAGGATTACAGACACATTGTGGTCCGTGAGCATCTTCAACGCAAATACTATTCGCCGGGCATGCTGCATTTTCGCATAAACTTCTGAGCTCGCAGTGACGACCCGCGTATCCGGGTAGACAGTTACAATGATAGGAACCAACGTCGTCTACACAATCACCACCGTGTGTACACGGATTTGATAAGCACTCGTTCAAGTTCAATTCACAGTTTTGTCCTTCAAAACCGTTCGGACAATGGCAGATATAACCACCATAATTGTCGTAGCATATACCATTGTTCAGACAGGGGTCCGCTAGGCATTCGTCGATATCAATCTCGCAGTTTGCACCTTCGTACCTGTAATTAATGATTCATTCTTATTTTGGAATACAATTAACCCTTTGCGTTCTGTAATCTTTTCTATATTTGGTGGAGGACGGCTTTGATGAGAATTCAATAAAATGAGCAAGAGAGATAACAAATGATAAAATTTTATAATTATAGTTTTACAATTTTGAAACTTTGAAATATCAAACTTTAATAATATCAAATAATTACAAAACGTACCCTGTTCTATCGCATATGCAAGTGTAATTATTGATACCGTCGTTGCAAATTCCCCCGTGTCTGCAGGGATTCGAGGAACATTCGTTGATGTTAGTATCGCAATTTTTTCCGGTCCATCCAGGTAAGCATTCGCACCTGTAGTCGGTTTCAGTGAGCGCTAAGCAAACACCGTCATTTCTACAAGGATTTTGCTCGCAAAGTCGTACTCCCAGTTGAGATTCGCAGAATGTTCCAGTGAATCCTGGCTTGCATGCGCAACTGTAATCTCCTTTCGCATCCTCGTTACACGTACCACCATTCCGGCAAGGAGTACTCAAACACGGTGAACCTAATTTGATTTGATAATATTATGAAAAGTTATATGGAACGCTGAATGAAGAGCTTAGCGAGAGAGAAGCGTTAAATCAAAGAACAATTTTGTGCAAAAATACGTGATGATGCCAGTGCGCCCGAAATCCAAATACCTATTTAATAAGCTATCAAAGAGAAAATAGGGAAATGTGATGTTATGAGTATGATATTTATTTTTAAGAAGCATTGATAATTACGGTGGAAAATAAGGATTCTTTTTTAACCCATATGGCTGATGATAATTTTCTTACTTTTGATTAATATTACTTTTGAAAACATTCGGAAGGTCAATTGCATAATTATTCACGCAACGTAAGATTCTTATTGCAATTGTCCCAAGTATTTTCATGAAACTGTAGTAGAAGATAAAGCTCAAAAAAGAAATAATGAATTTCATGCAAGAACCAATCGCGAAGACTAGAAACAGAATTCATGGCCAAGTATAATTTTATAATAATTTGTATAATTTTTGATGTTCTAAATTTTCAATTATTCTTTTCAAAAACCTAAAAATGATTACACATCTAATCTCACATTCATTGTTTGAGGGTAAAAATAAGAAAAATAAATTAATTTCTAAAATTTGCAAAGAGTAACAGTAAGCAATTATAACGATTATAGTTCCAAAGCCATGGAATCAATTTCCAGCTCGTATTCTCTGCCCAAAAGCCCATATTCAACGTCGAGGTCTACCATTGTCAATTTGACAGTTGTTGCCGGAATATCGGGCGTAACAGTGGCACTCGTAACGATCCTGCCGTGACACGCATTTACCATGCATCATGCATGGCTCATGATTGCAGAAATCCATGGTGGTGATTGAGCTCGGTCCTAGACTTCCGAGTCCGCCTGTACCACCTGAAAGTTTCGTACGAGAATCTGGCATGCAATCTACTGCTTAGGTATAATAGGTGATCACACACGATCACACACGTGTCTATGTGGGTACAAACCAAATATACGTGGATCTTCAATCTGATAGTGTGCTATGCTTCAAATTCTACGTTGTTGAAGCTACTGTTTACTAGCTGTTTTAATTATATACTAATTACTAATTATATTACTTTTCAAAGAATTAATTAGAATAATTAATGCGAGTAATTAATTCTTTTAAAAATGAATCGTTTAATAATTTTTATTTCTCAATAGTATGGTATTCGGTTATTCAATTGTACGGTATTTATAATAGGAAAATAAAAAATTCTTACATCCTTTGTTATCCACAGGACAGGGACCAAAAACAGCTCCGTTATTGATAGAGTCGTTAAAAAGAATTCCAGGACCTTGAAGAATGCATCCTCTGAATCCTTCTCCCACAATGAGAGAACCATTCATATCGTAGTCAGGAAGCGTAAGAATCGCAGAGTTGTACGTGGCATTAGCAATTACCTAAATACAATAGATTAACATTGCGTCAAAGATTAGAAGTCTCTTCATTCATTATTTTTACTATTTAATGCTTAATTGCATTATATTGCTATATAAAATAAAATAAAATAATAAAATGTATCATTTTTTAATGCAAAGGTTTCATATACTGAATTAAAATTGAGGCTTTCTCCATGGTCCGCCATCCGAGGGTTCAGATATTTCAGCTTTCAATCCGACCACGCTTCGAATCATCGTCAAAAAAAGAAAATATGGCATAAAAAATATTCCAACTTAATATAAATAAGAAAATAAGCACTTCTGTTTCATAATTAAACATAATTATCCTCCCCTCCCACTTAATAACTGAATCCGGATCATTCTCAAACTTCGAACGGGCCAGAATTTTATTTCCTACATTATCATTTTAATTGTAATATACCTAAATTATAATTTCAATAATTGTAATAAAAATATATGAATTACCTGTGTGTGACCTGCTGCGTTTAAAGTAAGATTGCCAAGTCTAAAAAATAGATTAACATTGTTCCAAGCGTTGTTGAGTAACCTGGCGTTAAGTCTTGCTTTATAACGTTGTTGATCAACGATAGCCACGAAGAGGAGTCCTTCTGGAGTCACTTCGAGACTGATCGAATCATCGTTGTACTTCTGAATGAAAAGTTGACCACCATCGCAGGTTCGAAAGCTTAAACCACTGTGCCTATGTACCGACACGAACGATCTCAATTTGAGGAAAGAGGAGCCGCCGTCGAAGTAAGCTTCTCGGGGATGTTCATCGTACTCTTTGTGTCTGATGTCCTGCGGCGCTTCGTCAGTGACTACTAACAAGCTAGTAAGTACTGAAACAGAAATTTCAATCATCTTTGATTATTTTGAAATTATTTAAACTTGCCGGGAAGTTTCAATTAAATTCTATTATTTTAGATTGTCGCATATTATTATAAGTGGTCGATTCGAAGACATTCAAAGTCTGACAAAAAATAACATAAAAGAATCGTAAAGAAACATTTATAATATATCAGTTTGAAGTATGTAGCTTCGTTTAAAAAGGTGAAGGTGATCTTGACATTTCTGAAATGTCTCCATTTCTGGAATCGATGAATATGTCAGGTAATAATTCATCCAGTGCCATTTAATTTTGACTAATAAAATTTTTCTCTATTTTTTACCATTCTTTAGCACACGTTTCTGTGTGTCATAAATGCATTAGCATTTGTAGTTTAATGATAAGGATAAAAATTTGTATTGACTCTAGGACGCTATAACTAGGTCAGTTGTAATCTAAATCTACGAGAGGTGCACAATGGTACACTGGCAATCAAACACTTCTCTAAATAAATTTAAAAAAAAAATGGAAAACGGAATAAATGTAGAAAACAAATTAATTTAATGTCCCTTCTTTTTAATTAAAAATTTAGATTTTAAAAATTATGATAATTTCAATTATTAAAATAATCGCTATCATTGAGGCGTGGTAAAATATTGAAATCAATTTGTGAGATACTAGTAATTAGGAAGAGATAATGTCAAAGGCACCTAATAAATCAAACTTAATATATGCTAATAATTATTGATGAGCGCCAACAGCAATTTTTACGATCAAATATTCGAATGGACATAGATATTGATTCAGAGCAGGAAATAGAAGACACCATGATCGATAGGGTATAGTACACGTCTGTCCTAATTTCTGTTATCATTAGTGGCTTGCAACTTCGGGGAGATAATGTACGTATTCCAATTGACATGTGTTGAAGATCTGGTTCCTATGCTCGTCATAAACCATCAACTCCTATCACGGTAATCGTATAACTACTAAACAGTAAAATTCGATCAATTATTTATCCATACGTATAAAAATAAAAATACTTTATTTTTAAAGAAAATCAAATAAATCTTATTGCAAAGATTTTCAAATTACTATTATTTATTTTGATATTTTCAAAATAATGAATGTAACTTTTGATGAGTAATGTATAGACAAATTTTTCACTCTTCCATTATTTTGACTATATAAACGTACGTTAGAAGGATAATAATAATCCATGACTTTTAAGCCGGTTGATGAAGTGCAGTGCACCTACACCAGGATCGATGGTGACCAATAAATAATGCATGAGATGCATCTGCATGCTCTGGTAAGGCTGTGTGGCAGACTGTCGTTTAAAGTGGACATTACGGTTATACGTTGGCGAAAATCTGATGAGATTGTATAATTTAACTCGTTATAACATTACACGTTATTCTGAATTTTTGGACGTGATTTATGTGTTTCACAATTGTGTTATGCAATTAAAGTACTCAAAATTTCATTAATTTACAAATATTACAAATTGTATTTAAACGTAAGAAAAGAAAATTGTGTCAAATAAGGTAAGGTGACATACTTGTGCAATGACATGCGATAAGTTAATTGAACATAGTGTGTTGTGTCATACCTAGGCACTTTTCTGTCCGATATCAACAACGAAGATAAAGTAAATTTTTCAGATGATTCACGTAGTATAACATGTGTGTATATTGTAACTGCTGCTATAAGTTGAAATGTAACAAGAAAAGAAGTCGAAACTGGGAAATAAATGTTTTTCATATGGGATTTCTTTTATTAATCCTTGTATGGTGGAGTTGGATCTCTGTCCTCTCCGTGCATAATTTAGAGATTTTTAATTTGAATACTCTTTTCCATTCTCGTTTTCTAAGTTTTATGTACATTACATGATTTTTTAAACATTTGCTGATTTAATTAGGTATTTATAAAATCATTACGCTTAATTACTGTAATGACTTTATTCTACATGCCAGAAAGTATATATATTGAAAAGAAAACGATTGTAATTTCGGATTTTCAATAAAGAAAAGTTGTTTTCTATCAAAATGACAAATATGTATGTGGAGAAATCACCATATGTGATGATATTCCACAAATGGTCAAAGTATTTGTCAACTCTGAAAGTTAGCAGAAGGAGAAATTGTAAAATAGCTTTCTCATCTTTAACTTTCAACAATTTAACTAGAACTTTATTACGGTCCAAATATTTATTTCTATTAAGATTTCATGAGCTGAGGAATGTTTATATTTATTCCAATCATTTTTGGTGAAGCAATCAAATTACTAATCAAATGTATCATTGAAAAACTAGATAAAATTAAGATAAATCTTTAAAAAACTGACTAAATCTTGCTTCGTTCTTTCGCGATCAAAGGAGACTTGAACGCCGGCATAGCGAATGAAACAGAACGTCTTTCTATCGAGTCATTCGTTGAACTCGAGCCTGCAAAACCAGACACGTCACCATATTGGTCGTGCGAAGAAGAAGGGGATAGTACTTCCGGTTGTTCCGTTGTTGTCCTGATACAAACTTGTATAAACCGTTTCCAGTTATACGTGCAGCGTGTAATCGAATTAACATTTACCCCAAGATGATGATGTTAATGATAATTATAATTACCATCACATTATGTGAAAATATTTAGCACACAATAGGATTAAAATAAAGTACCTGTAAATGATAATATAACTTTTAAAATTGAAATTAATCTCTATTACTCGTGACAATAAAAAATTATTATAGGTAATTATAATTCTTATTTTTTTTTTTTTTTTAATTTCTTGTTGCAAAACTACTATGTAACATAATATGCTACGAAGTTCATGTATTTTTTATTAGGGAGTCACTTATGATTCCCTAGCAATCAATATATTAATATTTCATTAAACAATAAATAGCTCATTCTAAAATATTAAATCGCTAAAAAGCAATTCCGAAGCAATTCTTAAATTGACTAAAAATTCTGATATTCATGCAAAATGGTGTATATTTCTTATTCTGTTGAAATATATTCAAAGAATACTGAATTATCATAAACAGGAAGTACAAGAATAATTGTAGTAATTCTCAGATTACTAATTTGATAGTTTTTAATTGCTCTTCAAATCTGATATTATTCTTTAAAAAACACACAATAATTCATCTTTTAATTAGACAATTCTTGAACGGAGGGTAACGATAGTGTCTCAGAGTGAACTTGTTAAGCAGCATGTACTTCAAGTTAATTCATCTGTGATTCGCGTATAATATTCACAAGATAAAAAAGAAAATGATGTATGCACATGGTACATTAGAAAGGAGTTTACTGTTAGAAAGCATAACGGTCAGACAGACTGTGTAAAATTTCACGATTCGTTTGCTACGTCGATCTTTGGAGGAATTCCTTTTTGTTAGGAAAGAATATACAACAGTTGTTCAGCGTAACTCGTGAAAGCATAGTAACTGCGACGTCATTAAATTTAATATTATAAAAATATTAGAGGAATAAGTACAATACAAAACTATAAATTTTTTATTTAAATAATTTTGAATTTTTTAATATTTAGTTTCAGCCAGCAATGCAACTGGAGAGGAGATGCGTTAAGAAGGGTCAGTTGATCCTCTTTCATTAAGAAATTAAAAACTTTTCTTTTGTAATGTAATGGTAATCTAGTATAATTTTAATCGAAGCATCTTTGTTTACTTTTGATAGACCTGGGTCACGATTGACCCAGGCTTTGATTTTCAAGGGTTAATTAAATTGATCATATTTTATCAAAATGACCAATTCAATTATGATATTATATAACAGTAAATTATTATTTATTACAATAATTTCTGGTGGGAGAAGCAGTCGGTATTTCAAAGGGTTCAGGATAAGTCTATCCAGTTACTCCAATGTCTATGCCACAGCATTCGAAGGTTCATTGAAATAAGCTGAGGTATTTTGAATATGAAAGTGGATTCATAGACTTCTTTCACGTGGAAAATACCTGTCGGTATTCACCTATGACTTCAATTATATGACTCAACAGCATGGTGAGTCTTGCCACGCCTTTGTTAACTTGGTAGAAGTTTCTTTGTTGCTTCGTTGAGAAGCTGCTTACCCGGGATACCGACGTTTGTAAAGTAATAGATGCAATGCACTAGTGCTGTATTTAGATGCAACGATAGTAACTGAGGCAAGAAGAATGGATTAAGTAATAGCTAACGGTAAACAGAAACATATCTGATATAATATAGAAACGTATAGATATAAGAAGATATGTATTAATTATTGTTGAGAATTTGCGAATTTGAGAATTTGAAAATTTTAGAATTTTAGCACTTTAGTACATTAAGTGTACTTATTCAATTTTAGATAAATTGCTTTTATACGTCTACAGGTTTAGCATTTCTAAATGGTAGTACGGTATATGTATCTACATATATGGTAAAATTCGTTGTATATTGAATGGGGTACGTATGGTAATTAAAAATACGAATAATGCCTCTGTTTGAATAAGAAATACATCGTGACATGCTAAAAATACGACGATGTTCGAATAATCAAATTACAAACAGAATATTCATACAGTGGGAATTTGGGCGCTAATAAAAATTCTATTGTAACTGTATGTTTAATTTACTCAGTTGACATGAATAATTATTTCTGACAAATCAAAAAACACCTAAATTCCATTCAAATTATAATATTTTCTCGAAAACCAAATTTTAGTTAATTTAAACTCTGCTGTTAAGAAAAATAATATATAACTATTCTTTTTTTCAATTTTCAATTTAATCTTGAATTTTACGTAACATTAAAGAAACGAAGAAAATTTATTGTTACGTCTAATTCATTAGGAACTGAAATTATTATCACGCGGAATGTTTCATTTAAAATTCTTACAGAATGTTTGCTAATTTTTTTACAGATTTACAATTTTAGCACGTAATTAACGAATTTGCGTTCCATCTACGAACGGTTTTCGTTATCGTTGCGTAACACGGCTGTTAATTTTATTAAGAAGCACGAACATCCTGCTGGG